AAAAGAAAGTTATTGGTCTTTGAAAGTTGAAAATCCATATCGAGAAACTCATGTGTATGTGACGAAGCATCACTACTGCTCATTTTATGGCGGTAAAAAATCCCTGTAAAGAAGCAGCCCCAGAAGGCAGCAGTACTAATCGTAGCAGCTGGTGACAATCGCTGCTATGATGTTGAAACCTTTGGACAAAACAGAGGCAAAACTGTCATTAAATCTGTCTGTGTGGCAAATCCTGACAGGCTTAGGCCTGGTCATACTGCGCCACCAAAGGGCATGAATCCCGTTCTACCTGCTGACCAGCCATGGTCGGACCCATATGATCGATGGCTTTAATGTTTCGCAGCGCTAGGTCTGGAGAAGTACCATGGCCCCTTATCTGGCTCTGGACCATCAGACCTTTTAACTAGAATTTTGTGTTTGTCAAATAGTTCGATTTCGTCAATGGTTTTGTTAACAAAAAAGTCCACGAGGTTGCCAATGATGAGAGGGAAACTAAACCAATCGAGTGACCAGTAGGTATCACCATCTTTAAACAGGATTAAGTCGTGTTCCGAATCGCGGTCACACATATCACACTCCCAGGTATACCAGTCTATTTCGGTTTGAGGTAGCTGATAGAGACAGTATCCATTGACATCCTTGATGAAATAACGCGTGTAATCGACCATTTTCAGAATGATCCGATGTGGCCTCGGAGGTAAGGGATGGAAGAGCGTAAGGTAAAAGGGAGGGGGGACTCGAGCGCGTATTTATAGATTCTAGATGGATTCAATGGGGATGAGTCAGGAGCAAGTCAGCGGCATGCATAATCCAGAATTGTGTATAGACAAAGGATCAAGTCAAGACATTCCAAGCTTAATCCATTAATGTGCTGCCGTCTAGCAGGTGAGGTCACCTGCCTTTGTTCATCGTGCCCGCACAACCTTGGTCGCCAGTGCAGCAGATCTACAGACAACTGTTGCCGCAACTGGGCTCGGTCCCTCTCTTTCAAACCCCGGCCAAACACATGCAGTGCGTCTCGGAACCCTTTTAACTGGCCTATTATGGTCACAGTCCAATGGCACGCACATGGTTGCAGAGGCTATATTTGCGCTCCTTCCTGCGCCACTTTTTTCCCAGCGTCTGCGTTATCCGCCCCCACAGCACCGCCCTGCGCGCGTCTGCCGCGCTGCTCATGCCCGTGGTCGAGATCACCACTTGCACTTGCTGATCCCACTGTGCGCGCTTCGTGCAATTGGCCTGTCGGCTTCAGTGTCACTTTGTGGCGGCCGGTCCGCTCCATTCTCGACCCTGTCACTTCTCGAATGAACAGTTCCTAGTGCATCTTGGACCCAGGGCCCGCGTGCAGTCCCCGTACCAGCAAGTCACTCCGTTCTTGCCGGCCAGGTACAATGCGTGCCTCACGCTTCACCTCGAAATGCGCATTCCGCTGGACATGCTTGTACAGCACGTCACGCACTCTGTTGTGACACAGTGTCTGTCCGTGGATCCATCGGTCTTCACAGTGCTCGATGTGACTGAGCCGTGCTCCGATCACCGCCCATGCCTAGCATCCTGCCGCATGGGCCGGACACATGGTCCGTACCTGGAGTCCTATGCTCATGTCGTAGTCTGCAGGGACAGTGCCCTGAATCGAGGCAGCACCTGCAGCCACGGACGAACCAAAGGTACACTTTGCTCCGGCAGATCCTGGCCCACGCCATCCGGCGCATGCAGCAGGCGATGATATGCCAGCCTCTTGTACATGTCGTTTTTTTAGCATGCCCTCGGTGGCTTCAACAGCCCCACATCCAGCACTTAATTTACAGGTGCTATACAGTCTCGTAGTCAAGGAATCGGAACCCCTCCCCCCACTAGGCTATTTGCACAGGGCTAGCCACAAAACTCACTGGAGGCGAGGGTATACAAGCGTGCACAGGAGGGATAAAACAGTTGTTTGTTTATTGGGTCGTTTGATATGACGAGGTGCAACCAGTCAATTGGCGACGGTAACATCAAGGCTGGGAGTATGACGGTGTGAGGTGAAAAGCACTTAGCTGGGTAACTCCCACGTTTCGACACGGTGTCAAGATGCACTCTACTTCATACATCAATCCATATCCTCATTATCTTTCTACCGGCAGATATCCGAGATATGAGAATACTCGTAACAGAATTCTGGTCCCTCTATTGGATATGACAAGAAGTGGGCCAAAGCGGTATTCGGGGGGTGACCTAGCGGCTTGGTAGAGGAGGCAAGTGACGTAATCGTATGGATAGTATAAAGTGAACGAACAGCTTGAACGTACCAATAATCAACTATGCGTCTTATGAAGCTAACAATAGCTTTCTCATTGATCGGATTGAATTGTATGACCGCAGAAGGGGTCCTTATGACTTTGTGCAAGGATCATTTTAGTACCCAAGATTGTATAACCGCAGATCTCAATGAAAACAATTACATGCCAGAAGGTACACTCAAAGATAGTTATTGGTCCCTTCGAGTTGAAAATTCACATCAGGCAACAAATGTGTAAGTATCAAAACACCACTTCTGTTCCTATTACGGCGGTTGTGAAACGCACCATCAAAAACATCCACAAGCAGCAGCATTACTGACAGTCAAAGCTAGTGATACCAGCTGCAATGATGTTGCAGAATCTGGTCAAAACAATGGCGCTACAGTCATAAATTCTATTTGTGTGGCTAAACCGAACAGACTATGACCCGGTGATAATGCGCCACCCGTAGATATCGACCCTATGCTACCAGCTTATCAACCTTGGTCAGCGAGAGCAAAGCCGGAAAATCCAAGCATATTGGATTCAGTATGGTTCTACGTCAAAATCCTTTATCTGACGGGGGGGCGAATTTCGGTTTTAAGTCAAGTCCAAACTTTTCCAACAGTTCACTCTCATTTTACAGAACATGTAACATTGACACTGGGCCACTAGACTCTAGGGAAATTAAGCTATCAGCTTTACAACCATGGTGGACACTGGAAAATTTGATCAATCAGAGTTTTCCAACAACTGTATAGACGGAAATCAATTATCATACTTCTATCATTAATTTGAATGACTCCATAAAAACTAAGCTGAATTCATCCATCAATACGTTGTCGTCAAACAGGCCAGGACCAAGTCATACTGCGCCACTAGTAGTGTCGAATATATTTTCACGAATAAACAACTTTTGGCAGCAACAATCTCGGTCTATTATAGTTTCCCAGCATCTGGTTTGGTGAAGAACCACGGACCCTTGTCTAGTTCTGATCCGATTGAACATCTTACAACAATCTTGTACTTCTCAAACAATTGATTCTCATCAATAAATTTTTCAACAAAAAACTTAGAGAGAGCATCAATGTTTAAAATTCCAGAATACCATATAAGTGACCAGTATGTATCACCATCTTGAAAAAGGATTGTATCTTGATCAGAGTCCCGGTCACACATGTCCAATTCCCAATGAAACCACTCATATCTAGATTTAGGCAGGTGATAGAGTAAATATCCATTAATTTCTTTGATGAAATACCGGGTGTAGCATATGTTTGTCTCATCCATATTCTCAGTACAGTTTTAAGTGGCGATACGATGGATCCGTAAAAATAGGGGGAAGGAAGCAGAGGTGCGAATTTATAATTGTGTTTTGCTCTTAATGAGCTTTGTCATAGTCGAGTCAGCTGCCTGCAGTGTGCAAATTTACTTAGTTCAGGATGTGAGGAAATTTAAATATGTTTACTTTTCTTTGCATGCGGAAGCGGGGGCCAAAAGTGCTGTGAAGTGGCGCACGGAAACACTCAGCTCGTTAGATATTCTAAGGGTTACAGATGGCTCGATCCTAAGTAATTGTCGTGCTTACCACGAAATATGAGGTGGTCTACGAGCACATCGGGATTGTCCTCGCCTAAATCCCTCTTCCCTCTCACCAACAAGTCGTCGAATCTCGTACTATGTGCAATTAATGACCTGGAAAGTGGCGGCGATCCATGCGCAGGGTGCTCAATAGCTTGCGAATGTGTCAGTTGCAGCATGACCTACCAATCATAGAGCTAATAATCCTGCTGCTTTCCAAGCTGAGTGTCTTTTTCTCGTTGCATAAGCGCATATATGTTGAAGGGCACGACTACCAGCTTGCGATTCGGGGGGCATTCCCCGAGTCGCAATGAAAGGTGCTCATCCGGCAGACTTTGGGAAAGGAACAGTGGAATAAACGAACTCGCAATAATTCTGGGGGTGACAGGGATCAAGGATAAAGGCCTCTGGGATGCACTGCATGCGTTCGGTCAGGTTCTAACGTAGAATGAACTATTTAATTAGGAAATTATAATGACGGAAGGTGCATCAGGTCGTGGCATCTGACGAAGTAAAGGCATTCTGAAAGAACCTCTTTCTGGGTGGTAGATATATTTTCGATTGGTTTGGAAGGTTTTGCACTATGAACGGTCATAAATACTAAATTTCGACTAGCTTTCTTTTCGCCCATCAAAACTCAATCATTTTACAAAGTGCTCGATTCATCCAACATATTAATTCAATCTAGATCTGGAAAGTACTTGGGAGAGGGGTACTAGATGCCAAAGCTAGGCGTCTTAGGAACGTTGTCTTTGCTCTGCTGTCAGGCATGTGGATAATATTTGCGAGTTAGATCATTCCAAACTAATATTTACACAGGCAGACGTCGTCGAGGGATGCCAAAAATCTTCACCACTCATGATCATGCTAGAAAACTGCATTATTTCGATCTATTTTTAAACTTCTACTTTGATCACTGTATAGCTAACGAAGGGATAGACCCCTTTGAATATAACTCAGGTCGGCCCCTAGCGCCAAATTGCTTACTGATCCACGCAGTTAATTATTATGCAGCGTGCGCAATTTAGCCAACCCCTTACCAATTCAATTTTACTAAACGGATGGCAAATCCCAGCGAACGTGCCCGCACGTGCACAGAACACGGACCGAGATTCAGCCTGTCGGCCACTAGGGCCCGCCGGCTCGTTGCCTCTGCTGATCATGCTTTCCTTGGCATTCTGTGCTTCTTTTGTTCTGCTGGCATCATCCGCGCTGGCCACGAGCCCTATCAAGCCGAACCGCACGGTGCTGTTCCACTCGCACAACGACTACAAACAGCCTCGCCCCGTGTACGACGCATTTGACCACGGGTTCCGCAGCTTTGAGTCGGACCTCTGGTGGGACAAGGGCGCTGGCAAATTCTATGTGGCTCACACCATTATTACAATTGACCACTCCAAGACCTTCCAGACCCAAACGCTTGACCGTGTCATGAAGATCTTGGAGGGCGACTACTCGTCTGACTACAAGAAAGACGCACCCAATAAGTTCCTCAATGATCCTGACAACCAGCCGACGAGTGAGCCGGATTGGTACAAGTACTATGCTGAGGGATTCGGTGGTGTACGTCCCATCCAACTTCTGTTGGAGATAAAGTCGAACGATGGCGAGACTAGCTGGCCTCATCTGATGGACCAGCTGCAGCCCCTGCGTGAACGTGGTTGGCTCACCAAGTGGGAGGGCGGCAAGATCCACTATGGCCCCGTTATTGTGGTAGGTACGGGAGGCACACCCGCCGACGAGATGGCTCCCAAGACCTCGCGCGACTACTTCTTTGACTGCCCCGCGGGCTCACTCAATGGCACGATTCAGACCTCATCAGGCTCGAGCTTCCACTTCAATTCGACGCTGTGTCCAATGTCCTCAGCGTCCTACATCAATGTGCCCGACTCGAACCTCGGCTTGCTCCCCCCGCCGCGCAAGGCGCCGGCGCAGTTCCACCGTGAGATTGTGGAGACCCACCACCACAACTCCACGACGCGCTTCTACGGTGTTGTGCCCTTCGCCCCGGCCCGCATCGATGACTTTAATATGTTAATTCAGCAGGGCAGTGACTGGATTAACTCGGATGTGATGAGCGACCAGGCCGCGTACAATGGTCGTAGTTGATTAGGCAATCATGAGGTTATGACATGCAGATGTCCCTGAGCACGTGGCTTATGTGAACCCAACGAGGTGCCGCGTCTCATCTCCACGGCCACTCCACCATCCATGGATTCGCAGTCAAGTGTCGGTGCGGGGTCCGATATTGGGACTCCGCATATGGACACCGAGTCAGGGAGCTTTGCGAATGATGCCACTAGTATGGCACCAATGGCTCCCGACTCAACGTCCGAGCCGACGACCGCGTCTCGCGCGCGTCCGCAGGCCATACCCAAGATGGACGAGATTCCTGTGGTGACGGACGAGACGGGTGAACGTGTGCGTGAAAGCTTTGCCTCTTTCTTGGAGCGGTATGTCCATACTTCTCACGCCTCAGGTTCACGCTCGAGGATATGGCTGGGCGCCAGCCCGAGTATGTCGAGCAGCTATATATTATGCGCGATTACGGTCGCACGACGCTCTATGTGGACTATCGCCACATTCTCCAACATGACGAGGTTTTAGCGCGTGCAATCAGCGAACAATATTACCGCTTCCTTCCCTACCTTCGACGCGCTCTGATCGATTGTGTCACAGTGTACATCCCTGGCTACCTATACCTCAATTCCCATATGGCCTCAACGGCCTCGTCGGGTCTGGTCACCCGCGACTTTCACCTAGCGTTTCATCGTCTTCCTATCGTTTCTGGTATCCGCTCCTTGCATACCGACAAGATCGGTCGCCTGCTCGCGATCAGTGGCACAGTGACACGCACGTCGGAAGTGCGTCCTGAGCTGCTGCTCGGCACATTCACATGCGTTGAGTGCAAGACGAGCGTACCTGATGTCGAACAACAGTTCCGCTATACGGAACCAATCATGTGCCGCAACCCCCTGTGCCAGAACCGGACGCAGTGGGAGCTGGACGTGGAGAAGAGCCGCTTTTGTGACTGGCAAAAGGTACGAATCCAGGAGAACCCCAACGAGATTCCTACAGGCAGCATGCCGCGCAGCATGGATGTGATTCTGCGCTCTGAGATCGTCGAGCGAGCAAAGGCTGGCGATAAGTGCACTTTTACGGGCACCTTGATTGTTCTGCCAGATGTATCCCAGATGGGTGTCCCCGGCGTCAATGCACAGATCCAGCGGCAGACACACACGGGCGCGGCAGTCGAAGGAATTACGAACCAGGGTGTGACGGGCCTCAAGAGCCTTGGTGTGCGTGACCTGACCTATCGCACGGCCTTCCTAGCTTGTATGGTACAGAGCAGTACGGAGACGACTGAGAGCCTCACGGGCTCCTCGGATGAAGAGCCAGATGCGGCCACAGTCTTAGATGGACTCACAGAGGAGGAACGTGAGGAACTGGAAGCCATGGTCGTTAGTTCGGACATTTACCCTCGCCTTGTACGGAGTATGGCTCCGACCATGTACGGCCACGAGATCATCAAGAAGGGTATTCTTCTTCAGCTCATGGGCGGTGTGCACAAGCAGACCAACGATGGCATTCATCTGCGTGGCGATATCAACATTTGTATTGTCGGCGATCCCAGCACGAGCAAGTCACAGTTTCTCAAGTATGTGTGTGGCTTTATGCCGCGGGCCGTCTACACATCCGGCAAAGCGTCTTCTGCTGCCGGTCTCACAGCTGCTGTCGTGCGCGACGAGGAAACAGGTGAATTCACCATCGAGGCAGGTGCACTCATGCTGGCCGACAATGGAATCTGTGCAATTGACGAGTTTGACAAAATGGACCTGGCAGATCAGGTCGCGATTCACGAGGCGATGGAGCAGCAAACCATTTCGATCGCTAAGGCTGGTATCCAGGCAACGCTCAATGCACGAACCTCGATCCTGGCCGCGGCCAACCCCATTGGCGGTCGCTATAACCGCAAGCAGACCTTGCGTGCGAACGTGGCCATGAGCGCGCCCATCATGTCGCGTTTCGATCTCTTCTTCGTGGTACTGGACGAGTGCAACGAGGCTGTCGACTGGAACATTGCTCAACACATTGTGAATATCCATCGCTTCCGCGATGCTGCGATTGCCCCTGAATTTTCGACGGAGGCATTGCAGCGCTATATTCGTTACGCTCGCACATTCCAGCCGAAGCTGACGCCAGAAGCCAGCGATGTACTTGTCGAAAAGTATCTGCAGCTGCGGCAGGACGACTCGGGTGGCTCGGTCGGTCGCAACTCGTATCGCATTACTGTGCGTCAACTGGAAAGCATTATTCGACTGTCAGAAGCGATTGCGCGGGCCAATTGCCGATCGGACATTACGCCGGCGTTTGTACGCGAGGCCTATTCCCTCCTGCGCCAATCCATTATCCACGTTGAAAAGGATGACATTCTCATCGACGACGACGACGACATGGGCGGCGACGAACCTCCTCCGCCGTCTACCGCAGCTCCGGAGGCAGATCAGCGCCGCAGCATCACGTATGACCGCTACATGGAGCTGGTCCATCAACTCGTGCTAAAGGTGAATGCCGTGGAGCGCGACACCTCGCGCGGCCTCTCGCGTGCCGAGCTAATCCAATGGTACTTGGAGTCGCATGAACACGAGATCGATACGGTGCAGCAACTGCATGAAGAGCAGGATTTAATTGGCCGTGTGATCAGCAAGATGATTCGAGATGGCTACCTTGTACTTCTCCCCGTCGATGAGGCGGATCGCGACGCGCCTGACGAGCGCCGAGTCTTGATGGTCCATCCACAGGTGGATGTCGACAGTCTCCAGTAGCTGCTGCTCTTTAGTCATCTAACCTCGCGCGTAGCGCCGACGATCATCGGTGGCCGTGCGTAGATGGCCACGGTCAACGAACCTCTACGCGGTGCGCGCATAGCCACGCTGCGTACATGGCCACAAGAACGCATAATCATGTCGTGCTCCGGCTGCCATGTCCAAGTCGAAATTCCGACGGCGACGCGCAGCCTGGGGGGGCACGGCACCATCCTGCTGACCGACCGGCGCGTACGTCGTATCACTGACGTGCAGCTGGTGTTTCTGCATCGCGACGCAGGGTCGGTGCTAGATACACTACAGGTGCCCCTACACCGGCTGGGTACAGGCCAGTACAAGATTCCCCTGTGGCGTGCGCCGACGTGGCAGGCACAAGTGGTGTATTCGCTGGACGACGACACACATCACCTTGGCACACTTACGATCCGCTTCCTACAAGGCGGCGGCGCCGCCTTTCAACAGTCATGCGCACATACCCAGGCGCAGTGGGATGTAAATCGGCGGCAGGAGGCATGTCTACGTATGTGCAGGCACATTGACAGCAGCCCCGTACGAGCCGCCCATGGGTATCGAGGAAGATGCTCCGCCACACTACGATACAGTCGCAGGCGATCAGTAGCTAGGGTCAGATAATGTGTACATACGGCTTGTAGCGAAGGAGTGCTTTGCGTTGGGCAACCTTTTTCTTGTCCGCTTCGAACTGCGCGCGCAAGTTCGCGAATTCTGCCTGTCAGGGTCCAGCACGTACGCTGCCGTTTCTTTTCGCGGAACTGGAACCGGTAAAAGTCGACCAGCTCCTTCGGCTTCTTCTTTTCTGGGTTCTGCCGCATTTCCTCCTCGAATTCAGGCGTAATCGCTGCAAATGTGTTGTCCTCAGCACCAGAACGTCCATAGCGGTTCCCTTTCTGCACAATCACAAAGCCGTCCTCGTCCAGCAGCTCGCCATTCGGACCTACACTAGCCGCCTGGATACCCACGCCCATACTGGACTTGGTGTCGCCCTGCATACGCTGATCCAGCAGCCACTGCGGGTGGTTTCGAATCCATGTGTATCGGGCAATGGCTGAATCGACGTGGCGCTTCACAATCTCATGCGGCGGGTGGTGCAAGCGGAAGCGCTCCAGGAAGAACGGAAGCCCGACAAGGCTCGCGGTAGGTTCAGACTCTCGGCGCGCGTCGGGCTGGGGCCACTTCGGAGGCTTGGCCGCGTGGCGCTTAGGCAGCTTCATCGCGCGATCCAACGACGACTCGTCGACAAACACGATGTGCGCGCTCGAACATGAGCTGAGGAGCACCTGGGGTTCCAGCTGCGGCAGCGGCTCGACCTTGGGCGGTGCATTCTTCTGGTCCACAGAAGGCTCGACGCTGTCCGTCGCTGTGGCAGCCTCTTCGTCCTCGTCGTCCCCGTCCTGGATTGGTCGATCACCCACATTATGCACCTGGACGGACTCTACAGCTCCCGCCTTGCGGAAGAGCTCGCGCAGCGTACCGCGCGACGCATCGACCGGCACATTCACAACAAAAAGCGTGCGGCCAGCAGGGAGGTCGCTGTCTTCGCTTGTGCTCGCATGGGGACGAACATACATATAATGGAGAATGTCCCTCTCGTTTGCATCGACTCCATACGATACAGGTAGCGGCTCGAAGCCAGCTAGGGGCGCTTCGCTGCGAGCCATGATCGTACAGGTGGCGAGGCGTCGACGAGGCTGGGTTCAGCGCTGCGGTAAGAAACACACCTCCATTTTCCAACGTGTGCTTCGCTGCGAGCCTTCGACGCCGCGATCGACGACCATGTGGGCACGCGCCTCTCTTGTGCGTGCGTCGCTTCGTGTGCCTTCCCGGGCCCTGCATTCCGGACCAGCGCTATTTCAGAGGCAGGGACGTGAGCGCGGGTCTGCGCGGGCGCATGAAAACCCGCTGGAGCTGAACAAGATGGGGTACTTCCAATTTGACGATGTCCCTACGTTTGGCCACATGCGTCTCCAAAAGCAGCGCCAGATGCTCGCCTACTATCGGCTGTTGGCTAACCAACTGCCAGCGCTCAAAGGTATGCTTTCACGCTCACCCTATGCAGACATGCATGAGCCGTTCTCGCCGCCGCCCGCGACGCACTTTCTGACGTTCCGCTTCGTGCACTACCAGGGCGAGGAGCACCCTGATACGAGCAAGGTGGTGCTCACGTTTGATATCAAGGACCTGTTTCGTGCGAATGTGCTCCGCACGCCGCAGGCAAAGCACAAGTTCCTCCTTCTCGCGGGGCCACGATGGCAGCCGCCTTCGCCCGCATTTGTTCAGCGATGGAACGATGCCTTGGAGCGCGGCGAGGAGGAGCTCGCTACACTGGCTACGGAAGACACTCTAGGCTCCGTCAAGATCGCATCGAGCGACCTACCTCACGAGTCGCAAAACATGAAGTGGTGCAGCGACGTGCTAGATAGCATGATCCGCGAAGCCAATGTACGTGAGGATCACTGACCGCAGGCGGAGCCATCGTTCACAGAGGTGCCACTGGATGTGCGTCCCTACATCAAGTCGAATGCCCGCGGCGGCCAAACGCCGCGACCAAGCATTGCCGACTTCCCGAAAGAGTGGTTGTAGCTCATGTACTTGCGGCCCATGCCAAGCACGATACTGTCAACCAGTGGTTCCGCTGCTGGATCGTCTCGTCGTCTGCTGTGGCCGTGGGGCGCGCCGTGCGGAATGCCCGTCGCGCGCCAGTGAGGCAGGGCTCTCTTTGTGATGCGCCCGTGTCGTCCCAGTCACCGCCGACTTCGAGCTCGAGCACATGCTCACTGCCACGCAGCGCGGGATCACTCTCGCTCTCGTCCGTGCTTAGCATTGGCCACTGGTCCAAGTGTGGGAGCGGCACCAGCTGCAGGCCTGCCTCGAGGGCGCGCCGGAAAAACTGCACGAGCGTCGATCGTCCAGTGTGTAGACCTGCGACCATGTAGATACGCGCCTCAGGTGTACGTGCCAGTAAATGCGTGATTGACTTGAGCAAAATATCGTGCGAGAAGCGCTCCCAGACACAGTCGGCTAGCAGAAGCACGTCGAAATGCGGCGAAGGCTCTGTTGGCGTGCAGGGCAGCAGGTCGAGGACATCATCGATACGATGACCCCAGGTATGCCCCGCCACAGTCAGCGGAGCCATTTTCCGCTGGGGGTTCGCTGCAGCACAATCAGCTGCGTTCGTACGCAGTGCCTGGACGATCGCTGCATCGTCGTAGTCGGTCACGACCACTTTGCGCGGATGTCTTGTCAGCGCCACGGCAAGCGCAGGCAGACCTGTTCCTGCACCTAGCTCGAGTATCCACTGGTCGTCCACAGGCACCCATCCTGCATATATGGCATCGGCAAGAAGCATCCCCGCACGCCATTGGCGGTGCGCAAATAGCATGTATATGGTCGTCTCTGGTATCATGATGGGAAGTACAGGCGCTTCATCGTCAGCTTTCAAAGAATCTGGTCGTTTTAGTCGGTAGTGCAGCACCGTACCGGGCCGCCCGAACGACGGCGACACATCGGTGCTCATGCGGCGTCGGCGTGGGGGGCCAGGCAGGTGATCTTCTCGCTTATATAATACTAGGTGTAGCAGCACCGCTGCCGGTCACGCTGTTCTTTCGATTGTGCGATGGTCGTCGCAGCGCTGGCCGTCTCGATGCGCGCAGCCGTCGCGCCACGGAGCATGCGCGTTTTTGCACCCCGCATATTTTTGAACCGCCGATTCTTGTCGTCACCTGTGCCACCGCGTAAGGAGGGCGAGGACGCACCGTCCAAGGCACCCACACCAGAGCCGCTTCCGCTGAAGAAGGGTCTGCAGCTCGACATTGATGCCTCCTCGCTCGTCGATGCACAAGCCCTTGAGGCACCTTCGGAAGAGGGTGAGGAAGGTAAACGTACGAATGCCAAGGCGCGCTCCGACCGCGCACAGAGCTCCTCTGCCGCTCGTCAGCGCTCGTTTCTTGTGCGTGGAACGCTGATTGGCGGAGTGCTCTTGTGTGGATACACGGTGTGGATGCTCGGCCGTGACCTGGATGAGCATGAGCATGAAGTGTTCCACGACAAGGAGGGTGTGAACTCGTTCCTTGGCCGCCTGTGGTTGCGCTTCCAGTCGATGCGCGAGGGGCTCAACAAGCCGGTGTGGGACAGTCTGCTTCCTGACCCGCTGCCGTACCCTTACTCCCGGCCGTATACGCTCGTGGTCGATTTGGACCAGCTTCTTGTTGCCTCGTCTTGGAGCACCTCGCACGGCTGGCGTACCGCGAAGCGCCCTGGCCTCGACTATTTCCTGGGATACCTTTCCCAGTGGTATGAGATTGTGCTGTTTACTACACAGCCGTTCTATGTCGTTGAAAAAACTATTGAAAAGCTTGATCCCGACCGCCGCTACTTTGCCTACCAGCTGTTCCGTGAGAGCTGCCGTGTGCATGACGGCAAGCTCGTCAAGGACATTCGCCACCTGAACCGTGACCCGCGGAAGGTCGTGCTGCTGGATATCAACCCCGAGCATGTGTCGATGCAGCCTGAAAACTCGATTGTGCTCCCACCGTGGAAGGGCGACAAGCACGACCGCGACTTGCTGGGACTCGTGCCATTCCTGGATGCCATCGGTATTTATGGCGTAGACGATGTGCGCAACACGCTCCAGGCGTACCAGGGCCTGCACATTCCCTCCGCGTACGCTGAGAGCGAGGCGCGGCTCAAGGCGCGCCACGAAGAAGAGTGGCGCGCGAAGAAGGAGCGTCTCGGCGGGCTCTCCAGCGTGTTTGGCGGCGTCACGTCTGGCCAGTCTATGAAGGGTGGCCCTCCGCCCATGTTTGTCGAGCAGGAGCGCATCCGCTTCCAGCAGGGCTACCTCGAGGACCAAAAGTTCTGGCGCGAGAATGGCGAGGCTCTCCGCCAGCAGATGAAGGAGGAGCAGGAGAAGCAGCTCCGCGAGATGAAGATGAATGCCTGGGAGGGGGTCACGCGTATGTTTACCGGTGCGCCGCCACCACCGCCTGCGCATGAACCGCCGCCCGGCGAGGCGCCTGCCACCCCGTCGACTGCATAGACGTCCATAACCGTCTGCTGACCTAATGCGACGCTCGTTCGACCGCCAGTGAGAACCTCCACCGTCGCCGTCGCTCCCTCCATGTCGAGTGCCGTGCAAGAAGTGCGCAAGAGCCTGCTGAAACTGGCGCAGACATGGCCGAAGGACCCGCTGCGTCCTACTATGGACTTTGGTGGAGCGATACGTCGTGCGACTGAGGCGGAGCTGTCAGGTCCACAGGCTCGGCAACACCTCGCTGAAGCACGCAAATCGCTCGCCGCGCTCGAGCGCATCCGCAGCAATGAAAGCATGCGCGAAGTACGTTTCATGACTAACGCAGTACCCGACACCCCGGCACATTCTGCAGCCTGAGTCGGCGCCGACGCACTACACCGACTTGGTCGACGCCATGAACCGCGTGGCCCGCGGTCAGTCAGTCGCTCCGACCATGACTCAACGTGTGCGGCGCTTCTTTGGGTTGCGCGTATAAGTTCTACCTAGGCATGCAGATCGAGACCTTCTTGCTCCTTGACAGTGAATAGCAGGCGCCCGGTACTGAGTCCATGCTCCAGGTTCCGCAGACACACCGCCTCCATGTCCGTCTGCGTCTGTAGACTGAGAGTGCCAACATGCGGGAGCAACAAGGCCTTGCTTGTCGATAGACGCACGAGGCCGGGGTGTATGTGGGGCTGGGAATAAGCTGCCTACACGTACCTCGTTAGCATACACATCGAGGCCTGCGCCCGCGATCACGTCATGGTCCAGGGCATGCACAAGCGCCTCTTCATCCACGATGGGCCCACGCGCCGTGTTGATAAGAACTGCGTGCGACTGCATACGCGCAAACTGCGGGCCACTGATCAGACCCTTCGTCTCTGGCGTGAGAGGGCAGTGGATGCTCACGACGTCACTTTGTCCCAGCAGTGAATCGAGCGAGAGCGCATACTCCATCTTCTTACCCTCTGGCATCCCCTGCGTCTCCAGCTCCTCGCTTAGCCGGTGCCGATTGTGGTACACAACGTGCATACCCAGTGCATGCGCAGCCTTGCGGGCGAGCGTGCGGCCAATGCCGCCAGCGCCCACAATACCGAGCGTAAGGCCCTCAGGATCACTCGCCTGTGCAAACGAGAACTGCTGGTGAAAGACGCCTTTCTGCAAGTCGCCCATCGCGCGGGGAAACTGACGCAGAGCGCCGATAAGCAGGAACAATGCCGTATCGGCTGTGGCCTCGTTGACAACCGTCGGTACATTCGCCACCTGGATCCCGCGCTTCGACAGTGACGGAATGTCCAGCTGGTCATAGCCCGCCCCATTGTGCACCACAAACCGCAGGCTCAGCGGCAGCGACTGTACGAGCTCCTCGTCAAACCGACCAGAGACTTTGATGGATCGCGTACCACCAAAGTGCCTGTAAATGCCGCTTACGCTGCTGTAGCGTCCCCCCGGCTGGAAGGCCGTCATTAGCTCACCACGCGTGCGCGTCTCGTTACGCTGCTATAAGTGTTGCACGCGTACCAGAATGTCCGCATGCGCCGACAGACGCTCAAGATCCGTCTTGGCCAGCTGAATTTCATCCATAAGGAGCACTTGAGGGCGCGATGAATAGGCGCGAGCGTGCGGCGCAAGTCGCACACACGTCCGCCGCCAAGCGTGTCCGAACATGGTCGTCGGGGCACAACCGCCCACCTCCACCTACCGACCCTCGGCGCCTCCGACGCGGTGTCCAGGCCATGCTCCATGTCGTACTGGAGCTGATCAAGTATGTGTCTGACAGTGCTCACACAGTACGGTGGTTATTCTTCTTCACGTCCACCGCGCCATGGTAGCCCTGCCGACGCCCCGTGGCGCATCGCCGGCCGTGTGGGGCCAGTCCCACGCCGCCGGGCCCAAAGGGCGTGTGCGACGCGTCGGTTCTCAGCGTCGACGAACTGCCGTTGCAGATGCGCTCCGTCTCGTGGCTATATGGGTATGTGATTTTATACTAAATACAGAGCACCTACCTGGCCTTGCGGCCGCTGATTGACCGTGTCCTAGTTTGGATTGTGCCGTTCTGCCGCACGTTCCAGCTGGTCTGGCTCGTGTGGTTGCTGCTGAACCCCGCCATGGTACGTGTACTCTTCTTACGCAGGCCTCACGTGCTACGTTCTCGCTAGTCCGCCCCTGGGTTCGTCGAAACGAGCCGTGGATCGACGAAGCCTGTCTATGGGCACAGGGCATATACCTGGTGACCCTGCATATGGCCAGGCAGGTCACCCAGCGATGGCCAGGCACATGGTCGAGACGACCCTCACATACTCTGGCGGACGAACTTGAGGTCGAGACCAGCTTGCCTGTGGACCGCGACCGACCCACCGTGCCTGGAGCAATGGTTACGCCCCATGCGACGCCCCTCAGACCCCCGAGAGAGAGCGCCGCGATTGTTTCGTCGGAACATACCCCCGCACCGGCCGCTATGCCGCCGGCAAGGCCCGCTACCTGCGAAGCATCGGCCCCTGTTGTTCCACAGCCCGAGACACTCAAAGCGTCGCCGCCTGGTACGCACGCCCATACACGGCCACGGCGCGACACGGGGCGGAAGGCTCTCCCTCATCAGCAAGATACCCAGAATTCGCCACCTATCCCGGCGTCCATCGCCTCCGGCTCCCCATCGGCCAAGCGGAAGCGCGCCTCACAAGATGAGAGCATTGCTCTTGCCCATATCGAGGCGAGAATCCAGGCGCAGGGCGAGCCGGCTGCCAAGGTGCGGCGCCGAACGCCGACATCGGCGGCACGAGCGTCAAATCGGCGCGTGCCGTCGCAGACATCGTTGCTTCCGCGTCCGCGTCGCGAGACGCCACGCGCCTCGCAGTCCAGCAGGTCCACGATCCAGACACGTGCACAGCGCGCTCGGACCGCCGCCCGTAGCTCGTAGGCTCCACATCCCAGTTGAACTACATACACCTACCTATGAGTTCGTCCACGGCGCTGCCCCTTGTGATGCAGCTCATTGTGGATCGGGATCTAATCAAGGTGCGTCTCGCCGATTGACACAGTCTGGCTGGACGATGGGGCCCATGATGGCGCAAGCGGCCCACGCTACGGCTGCGGTACGCGCTCCGCGCTGACCAACCAGGTTCTGGTCCAGAGTATGGGACGTCCAGACACACAAGCGTATGTATCTGCAGAGAACCTGCCAAACATGCACAAGATTGTGCTGCAGGCGCCAAAGAATGTGAGCCTCACGGAGCTTGCAGCACAACTCGCAGCTGAAACGCACGACGAGATGCCGCCGTACTACCTCTGGCATGAGCAGCCGGAAAACATTCCGACGTGCCTCGCCGTAGCGCCAAATCGCAAGCCAGAGGTGCGCTTGGAGACTAACAACAGTGTCTTAAAGCCATTCTGAACAAATGTACATTGCTGCGAGCCTAGTGAGAGGCAGGGTATCTACTGGAGGAGGCGCTGGATTTCTCGATCGAACGCATCGATGCGGATGGGCATTTCGGCAATGTAGAAGGGATTCTTCATGACATGCTCCGCATAGAGCTCGTATGCGCGCTGGAGCACATCGGACGAGTTGGGATGTGTCGCGTCAGCGAGAAGTACCAGCTTTGTACCTGTCGCGGTCATTTTCACACGGATAAGCAAATTGTCCGCCTCGAGGACCTCAAGCCCCTGACTCTCTTTGCCGGGAGCAGGCGTAATGCGCGAGGCGATCGCGTGGATCCCATGCAGCGTGCCAGCCAAAACGAGGTAGTCATTCGATGACAGATTCACGTCCTTTGGATACTGAAAATACTCGGCCTGGTAGATAAGGCCGCCGGCTTTATTGATGATCCACAGCGACGACATGTCGACCGACGGCGCGCAACGCGCCGCGGTCTGGGACGCCCCAGCCTGGCCTCACGCACGTGGAATCACGTGATTTACAAAGTGCTGCGTTCTTTGCGGCGCTGCTGACGGCGACTCTGCTACGATGCGATCGGATTTGGTAGCGGTGCTGAGCGAGAGCACGCTGCGTGAATACGCAGACGAGTGTACGCTCTTGCTCTCGCGCGCTTTTCCTGAGGAGCAGCGCGTGGACTGGGCGGAGGCACTCAGCAAAGAGGCTGCCCAGGCCGACGAGGCTGCGGACGCGGAGGCTGCCAAACCCAAGGCCCGCGAGGTGGTCACCAAGCTCGTGCAGTCGGCGACCGGTGTCGTCGATGGTACAGATCGCGAGGTCGAGGGCGTGTACAACCTGCTCATGGCGCTGCTTCTGCAGTACTTTGACGAGGATGACGCACAGTTCCAGGATCTAGTCGGCCACCTGGTGCAGGTGGTCGGCGATGCGCAGTCTTCGACGGCCATGGAGCGCAGTGTGATCAAATATCGTGTGCTGGCAAACATCTTCAACATGTTGTCATCCACTAGCGCTCTGCGCCTCGCCGTATTTGAGGCGCTGCTGGCGCTTGCGTCGGTCAACGGCGACATGGACTTTTTGGAAATGGCGCTCAAGTCGCTGCCTACGTGGCTGGCCCAGTGGAATGTGAGTATCGAGCAGAAGAGTGCATGTCTTGGCCGCGTCGCTGAGGCGCTCCAGACTACCGACTGCCGGCTCGAGCATATCGACAAGGCGTACGAGTTTGAGCTGCTGCACCTCCGCTTCCTGTCAGCGGAGCCCTCTCTGCCCCAGGAATTGCGTCATTCCGCGGCCGAAAAGGCGGTCGCGAATGTATTGCGGCTTCCCAAGCTCTTCGAGATGGAAGAGCTGCTCCAGGTGCCCGTTACGATGGAGCTCGGCACGGCGCCTGTGTTGGCGCTGCTTAAGGTGTTTGTCAGCGGCACCCGCGCCGATCTGGAGCAGTGGCTCGCGTCCAGTGAGGGAGCCTCGACGCTGCAGCGCCTCGCACTGGATGAGAACGATCTGCGCCACAAGATGCGCCTGCTCGACCTGGCCTCCCTGTGTGCACAGAGTGTGTCAGCGGAGGTGTCCTACAAAGATATCGCGCAGGTCCTCGACGTGAACGTCGATGACGTCGAGTCGTGGGTAATTGACGTCATCCGCGCAGGCTTGGTCTCCGGCAAGCTATCGCAGGTATCGCAGTCATTCCGAGTGTACCGCTCTACATACCGCACCTTTGACCACGCACAGTGGGCTTCGCTCGAGCAGCGCTTGACACAGTGGCAGTCGAGCATCCAGACGCTGCTTCAGACAATGGAGCAGGCCTGTGCGCCCATGCCACAGGCACTGAAGCCCGACTCGACTAAGGAGGCCTCGGCTGAGGCACCCACCGCCGCTTAGGCGCTAAAAGCGTAGGTCCTGTAAGTGATAAAACTAGGAGAGACTCTTGCCCATGCTGAGGTCAGGCAAGGGTACATACAACTTTCGCTTTGTAAATGCGAGCCACCAGCGGCTCGGCACATTGTCCACGTAGATTTTGTCCAAGAGACGCACGACGGTCTCTTGGCGAGCCTGCACAAGGTACTGACGCAGCGTGTCTGATTCGGCGCGGCTACCGGGAACACCATAGAGCGAGGTCAAAGGGAAGTTTGCATCTCCAGGGAGTGCAAAGTGATCCACAGCATAGGACAGGAGCTGCTTCTGTGCCTCGTGCTTCGACCATGTAGTGGGTGCAGAGGCGATGCGCGTGAGACAGTCGGAAATAAAGAGGATCAGGTAGATGAGTGTCTGGAGTAAGCTAAAAGCACATACGCGGTCTGCAGCACCCTGAATCTCAAAGTTGCGGAAAAGTGAGTTGGCACGGAAGAGATCAATCGCCTCATCTACAATATCGGGACGTGATGGATCGACTGCGTAAGAGATAGCGCCACGCACTCGGAAGAGGGGCAGGGCCCCGTGATCGCGAATGTATAGGGAGCAGAGCGACACCTGCAATCTGCTGTACATTCGGCTCATCATTGTACGAGGAGTGATACGCCGGCATCGTGATGGTCCCTGCGTTCGACGTCCGCGACCGCGGGGCGAGGCCCACGACTGGTATTACGTCAGCCATTCGCACTACCCATCTACCGAGCGCGGGGGGCACCAGCGGCCAGGCGGCCCCGCAGCGCCTCGTACTTGAGGCGTTGCTCCGTCGTGACGCTAGGCTGGACGCGGTCAAATGCATGCAAGAAATGGTGCTGGTAAATACACACGCGCCCCAGTGGTATGTGCTCGTCGTTGATGCGGAGCGGCGACACGATCTTCTCGCGTAGCGCCGTGACAGCGGCTTCGCGTACAAGTGCTGCAAGGTCCGCGCCGCTGTAGCCGTCCGCGCGATGATCGCGCGCAATCTGATCCAGATGAACTGCGTGACGCTCTGCATCGGCATCTGCGGCGGTTGCCAGCGGCGACGCCTTCGTCAGTGTGGTCAGAATGTCCAGGCGCTCATCAGGCGTGGGAAGGTCCACATAGAGCAGGCGGTCCAGGCGCCCCGGGCGGCACATTGCCGGATCAATCATATCAGGCCGATTCGTTGCGGCGATCACATAGGTCTGAACACGCGACTCGAGACCGTCCAGCTCAGTAAGTAGTGTATTAACAACGCGCGCAGAGGATTCCGACTGGGGTCAGCAGGGTATACATACAAGCGTATCGTCACGGCGGGGCACGAGTGCGTCGAGCTCGTCAAAGAAGATGACACACGGTGATGAAGCGCGTGCGCGCGCAAAAACTTGACGCACAGCTTTCTCGCTCTCACCCACATACTTGTTCAGTAGTTCTGGCCCCTTGATGCTGATAAAGTTCGCGCGGCTCTCGTTGGCCACGGCCTTGGCCAGCAGTGTCTTGCCGCAGCCTGGGGGGCCCCACAGTAGCACGCCCGAGCTCGCATTCACGCCTAGAGCGCGGAACAAGTCGGGGCGGCGAATCGGCTGTACCACAGCCATACTGAGCTCTTCGCGGATCTGATGGAGCGCGCCAATGTCGTCCCACGTAACATCAGGAACTGTCGCGAAGCCTTCACGCTTAGACGACGGCTGCACTACCTTGAGGGCTTCGAGAAAGTCTTGGTTGTTGATAGCCAGCTTCGCAAGTTGTGCATCAGGCAAAGGATGAGGGAACCGCTGCAGGAACGTGGCAATCGAGGAGGAGCGCACGGCGACTGGCAGATCTTCGAGGAACTCCGCGGCCATCGTTGCGTGTACTTCAGGCTCAGGCTCAGCTTCAGCTTCAGGCTCCACCTCCGTCTCGGGCGCAGGCTCGGCCGTCGTAGGCGTTGATGCCTCTAATTCACCGGGCGGAGGCACAGCTTCCGGCACAGGTGTATTGCTCGGCTCGTCACATTGCATATCCTGTGACTCGGGATCCTGTAAATGCTGAAAAATGCGCTTCACAGCGATGATACCAGCGGCCGCCGTCAGAGACGTGAGATCCGCACCGACATAGCCTGGCGTGCGCTTTGCCAAGTACCGGAAGTCAAAGTCGCCCGCGAGCTTCAACCGGCTGCACAACACCTGCAAGATTCTGGACGTGAGTAGCTTGAACTTACTGTTCGCGACCGTCCTCGTCTGGGACGCCCATAGCAATTTCGTGGTCGAATCGGCCAGCGCGACGAAGCGCTGGGTCAATCGAGTCAGGTCGATTCGTTGCACCTAGCACCATAACAGGGCGCCCATCGCCTTTTTCCCATGCGAGCTCATCAAGACAGGTGAGCAGCTGTGCAACGATACGGCGCTCCATCTCGCGCTGTGCCGTCTCGCGCTTTGGTGTAATTGCATCAATTTCATCGACAAACAGGATGCAAGGAGCCATAGCCTTGGCCTCTTCAAAGGTGTCCCGCAGAGCCTTTTCTGACTCGCCGGACGTGCCCGACACAACCGACGGTGCGCTAATCGAGAGAAACGGTACACCCAACTCACCAGCGAGTGCGCCTGCAATCATAGTTTTACCGCAGCCGGGCGGACCATGGAAAAGCACGCCGCGAGGCGGTGTCACGCCCGTATGCAAATAGATCTCAGGGTGGCAGAGGGGCATCGCAACAAGTTCGAGCGCCTTTTCGATGGCCACAGCAGCTCCTCCAATATCACGCAAACGAGCCTGTGGGGGTGCATATTTATCTTCGTTCGAGCGGGTCTTTTTTCCGCGCTTGGGGGCGACTTCAGAACCACGAGAGACACGTGCCTTACGCTTGCCGAGCCTGTCCCTCTTATCAGAGTCTCCTGCTGGCATATTATTGTCCTTCTTGTTTTCGGCCCGCGACATGGCCGCTTCAGCCGCTGATCCTGGAGGCGGAGGCGCATTTAGAGAAATGCGCGAGCGCTGCTTGCTCCAGGCGCCAGTGATGGCCGCGTTCATCCCAATCCGAGCACAAGTGGAGACGGAGAGGACGACGCTTTTTTTTCCTGGCGACTGCCACCTCCACTTAGCATGATCGGCTGCGCGACGTACGTGCCCAAAGAGGCACAGTCGCCCGACGACCTGCGGTGGATGCGCGTGGCCCTGGAGATGGCGCAGGAGGCCTTTGATCATGGAGAAGTACCCGTTGGATGTGTTTTTGTACGAGATGGGCGAATCCTTGCGCAGGCACGCAATCGGACTAATGAGCTTATGAACGTACGTGTTGGCTACTGACACAGGCGACGCGGCATGCCGAGCTCGAGGCGATTGATGAGATATTGCGAGAGAGTCCGCCCAAAAATCCACAGTTTGGGCGCGCTCCGCATAGCGGACCAGAGGGAGACAATATCCTGCTCGGGACAACGCTCTATGTTACGATCGAGCCGTGCCTTATGTGCGCTTCGGCGCTGCGCCAAATTGGCATCCAGCGCGTCGTGTTTGGCGCAGGAAATGAACGCTTTGGGGGCAATGGAACGGTGCTCCCGATCCATGCTAGGTACGTCGCGTCGCTCATACCAGCGATACATTGACCTACAACCCACCGTACAAGTCGCAGGGCGGCTACTTGCGCGAGGAAGCCATTATGATCCTCCGCCAATTCTACATGACCGAGAATACCAAAGGTACGTCATCATGCTGACCCAGCGCCCAAACCCAAAACAAAAGCGCGGCGCGTCCTCAAGACGGAAATATATCGTATGTGTTTCTAAGCTCATACCAGCGCCTGGCGTCTCCATGCATGGCTATGCGGCAGAGTCGCAGGATAGCTCATAGAAGTGTCTCGCCCAGAGCCGAGCGAACCAACGAGCAGCCTACAGCCACAGTGTTCTCAGCGGCCACATGGTCCTCGAGAGCCGGGTTCACTTCGACCATGTCCATCGCAACGAGCGCGCCCGTCTCAGCGATGGCCTCGCAAATGTAGTGGCCCTCGCGGAAGGTGAGTCCACCACGTACAGGCGTGCCAGTGCTCGGCGCGACCGTGGGATCCATTGCATCGACATCGAATGACAGGTGGATCGGGCGATCCCGTCGCGACGTGTGGCCGTTGATGTGATCAAGAGCCATCTCCACGACCTTGCCAATGCCGTACTTATCAACATGGTGCATGCTAAAGGCCTTGATGTTCAGGTCCTTGAGGATCTTGCGCTCACCCTCGTCAATGTCACGCAGTCCAATGTACACGAGGCGGTTGGGGCTGTTCACCGACGGATTGGGGATCCAGCTCTTGTACGGTTCCACAAGGCAGCCTTCGAGCGCCAGGGCGAATGACACAGGGCAGCCATGCAGGTTGCCCGAGGGCGTAGTCAGAGGCGTGTTAATGTCAGCGTGCGCGTCGACCCAAATGCACGCCACGTCAGGGTACGCGCGGGCCGTGCCGATCATCGAGCCCGTACCGAGGCTGTGGTCGCCGCCAATCGTAAGCGGCAGCTTGCCGGCCTTGCATTGTTTCTCAACAACCGCGGCCAGCAGCTCGCTCGCCTTCGACACCGAGCGTGGGTTGCGCATCTTGCCCATGTCCGGGTCACTGCCCAGCAGGGCATTGACCGAGTCCCACGAGATCGACGCGTCCTCCTCGACCTCCCAGCCCAGAGTCTGGAGCTGCTCCTTCAGACCAGCCTTGACTAGGGCCTCAGGGCCATGCTCTACACCCTTGCGCGGCTGTCCGCCACTGAACGGGAAGCGAATCAGCACAGTAGATAGGCTCTTTAGATGCTTCGGAACGATCTCCATGACGGCAGGCAATAAATTTTTTGCAGCAGACCCTTTTCACCGACCGCCCTGGGTCACGAGCGACGCACGTGCTCAGATCTTGGCGATCGCGCATCATGGTTTGGTGGGGGGACGGCTCGAGCGCGAGCACAGTGAAGTCGTCCGACGAACCAGAAGCGGACGCAAAAGATCCCACCAAGACGCTTCCAATCATAGTGGACGACGATACGCCTCCCGCATTTCCTGCGCTGGATAGTGCTCAGCGACATCCGGAGGGCCGGACGCAGGCGATGGCCCCGCCACTACACAGACCTTCAGGGATCAGCCGCCTTCGTGCACCACCCCAGCAGGCACCAACAAGTCTTCTTGATGCGCCTGTCGCACGCAAGAAGGTGGTGCTTGAACCAGGGTGCAGCCCGCTCGATTGGGCGCGCTTGAAACAGTCGACGGACCTCCGTGGTGGCGTTTCAACGCTGCTCCGCGTGACGCCTAGCGAGCTCAAAAGGCACAACACCATGGAAGATGCTTGGACAGCTATACAAGGCAAAGTTTACAATATCACGCCGTATATCCGCTTCCATCCTGGCGGCCAAGACACGCTCATGCGCGTGGCCGGCCGCGATGGAACACGGCTGTTCTGTACGTGTACGCAGCTAATCTAGATCTCACGCACGCCTGGGTCAATGTCGATGCCATCATGGATACGGCCATGGTCGGCGTGTATGTGCCGGAGCAATAGGCTTCTTAAAGCCACCTGGCCGTGCCGAATCGGCTGAGCGTGAAGAGGGCCATGGTACTGCAGAAGCCCTCGCGGAAGGGCGTCTCCGCAACCCAATCGCAACCATCCAGGCTCAGCAAGCACTGCGAACCCACTGTGGCCACATTCACCAGGTGGATACGCTCACATTGCGCAGCAGACTCCAACACACATAGCCGCCGCTGGCAGGCATGGGCTGGGAGTGCCGCCTGGTCGTACGAGTCGAAAAAGGAATAGAGGCCAGCACCCAGCACAAGAATATCCTTGCACGCACGGATGTGCAGGCCTACTGCACGGTCGTCCATCGCTGGATCCGGCTCGAAGGACACATCGGTCGCATTCTTGAACCGCTGAGAGTTGTCAACGTCAGGGTACTGTGCATGTGGCTGTACACTGGCCGAGGCGTGCGCAAAGTGGCGGCCCTGGAAATAGGGCGACTCAGTCTGAATCATCGCGAGAAGGACGTTTGAGGCACCCCGCAAGGAGTACTGGTACAAGAGAGCATGTTCACTCGCTGTGCCGTACATCCACACAGGCCCCTGGGACTCGATGAGAATACCGCGGTCACTCAAAACGTTGAGCTGGGCAGGTGCGCCGTCATCCAGCTCATGATCAGCGGTCCATACCCATACATTCTGGAAGTAGCCGCTCGCCTTGGGCGTAATGTGCATACTTAGGAAGCAAGCATGAGGGAGCGCCTCGCATGGCGCATCTCGTGGACACTGGGCAAGTTCCAACTCAGACCCCGCAAAGCCACCCAGGCGAATATGCACGTCAAACATGGCAACTGAGCCCTGAGTGCGCTCATGTATATTCCATTCCAGCACAATGGCCCCTGGCGCCGGACCGCGCGTGCTGAGGATCAAGTCGCACAGCGTCACGTCGCCCACATCGCCAGGCACGCCAACCTGCACGACAGGCCGGGGGTGACTTGCATCTTGGAAGGCGGCACCAGCACCGAAAAAGACGGGTTGCGCCTCGCCGACCAAGCGAGTGCCGGCTGGGATACGGAGGGTGTCTGTGATGACATAGTGTCCATAGGGCACTACGGTGAGCGGGCGACACGTACCATAAATGAGACTCCCCCGATGATGATCCAGCACCGCCTGCATGGCCTGTGTATCATCGGACGTTCCGTCGCCCTTGGCACCTAAACTGCGAAGACTCACCATGTTCTCGCCGCACAGGCGCGCAAACCATGGCTTTTCCTGCCCAAACCAAAATCCATTGTCGTCTACCAGGCACGCAGGCCGCGGCGGCGCCGGACATGCGCCTGCATAGACGGGCCCATCAGGGGTAGAGAAGCGCGTCAACGTGGTCGTGGAGTCTGGCACCACGGCAGGTGTCTTGACCCAGAACGCCACATGGTCATCGTCGGAGGCGGGCGCGAGCCATGTGCGAGAAGGGCCTGAGACAATGGCCTGTACATGCTGCGCATACACATTGTCTAGCACGAGGCGCCCTGGCGCGTCCTTCTCTAGTTGGACGACCGTGTTTGTGCGAGTCACGTCCCAGTCGGACAGGACAAGCGAACCGACGCCCTGCTTCTGCGACTGCGTCGCGAGCATCTGCAAGCCAATGTCGCAGTCGGTGATATGTACATCCATATACGTCCATGCCCAGTTCCAGTGCTGGCATATAGCCGTGTGGCACTGAGAGAAGCGTATATTTCGCACAGTAAACTGCTGGTTGCCGAGCCAAGCACCGTAGCGGCCTCCCTGGAACGACAAGTCCGACATGAATCCGCCGCTTGCATTTTCCATAAAAATCTGGTAAGCCACACATACGTACTCCCTGCTGGGCGGGTGAGCCGATGTGCATGAGAAAGTCGACATGGTGCAATCCGGTCGCCTGGCTCACCTGGTGGTGGCTGGGGTGAGTGAGGCGTGACATACATGCCTGTGCCGCGATCGAACGGCATGTCCGTCAGATCGATCACGAAATGAGACACGGAGCGGAAAAAGTTGTTTTGCGGCGTGTACCAGTTCGACCCATCTGACCGATAAGGATTTTCATCGATCACCGCACTGGGTCAGTACATGATACGAACATGCCCTCGAAATGAGGCAGCGGTCGCAGTACAGGCCGCTCCAAGGGATCGCCGGCGAGATGCGTGAAGTAGAGCGCAATAATGGGTTTCGAAACACGGTATATTCCGGCTCAGGTCAGTAGGAATGCCTACCAGGAAAGTACACGAGCGCAGGTGCCTGTGTACAGCTGTCAGCGTCGCTGTCACAGCGCTCGCCGGACGAAATGGCCGTTTGTATCGCATCTGTATCGTCGTTCACGCCATCTCCCACTGCTCCAAACTCCTTGACATTGCGGAATACAGCATAGTCGCTCCCGCGGAAAGGCGCCTCCCGTCAGCCCAGTGTACGCACTTGGCCCTCGCCGCGACAGCGCTCGAGCCAGGAAGGCATGGTCTATGTGGAGGTAGATGACCTGGCCATTGGCTTGTTGATTCCCCGCGTGCCAGAGTCGCGTGGCTCGTCCTCCTTCCATCACCCCCGATGTCGAATTGGCACGTCGACGTGGGCCCGCTGCTCCGGTACGATACGGTCGATTCGCGTGGTATCTACCATGCATTTGTGCTTCTTGTGACGCAGCATACCGCCGCTACTATGCCGCGCGCTCCGCCCGTGCTGCAGTACGTGCCGCTGGCAGACCAGAAGCCGACAGGTCCGCCAATGCAAACACGCGGACTGCAACTGTGGGTATATGGGGACGAAGCAAACAGGGCTCATGTATTTTGGCGTTTCAAGATTGAGATCCAGATGCTTAGGGTGCCTCAGTCAGTGGCCTACACGGTTGTCGGTGCGACGGACCTCGTTGACTTCCACGTGCCCGCATACCACCAAAACTTCCGCTGGGCCACCTATTCATGCGCTGGATTTAGCGCCAGTGTAAAGCCGGATGACTTCAACGGCCCGGATCCTATGTGGAACGACCTGCTGATTGAGCACGCCAAGAACCCCTTCCACGCGTTGGTGGGTGGCGGCGATCAAAGTACGTGTCTATTCACTCACCCAAGTCTACAATGACCAGGTCGCCAAGCAGGAAGGAATTCAGCAGAACATATTTATGGCAAAGAAAGAGACAGCTGAGGGCGAGGAGATTCCCCTGGATCCTCGTTACAAGCAAGTCATTGACCGGTTCCTGTTCACGAATTACGTCAAGTGTTTTGGATCGGGTGCGATGGCGCGCGCCTTTTCGCGCATTCCCATGGTCAACATGCTCGATGACCATGACCTGATCGATGGTTTCGGCACATACGCTGAGGACCTGATGCAGTCGCCCTTGTTCAAGCTGATCGGCTCGCGTGGCTACTTCTTCTACCTGTTGTTCCAACAGTTTATGAACGACGAGGTGGATGGCGTGCTCAACGAGAACACGACGAATCCGAACCCAACGCAGTTCAGGTCGCTGATCATCGGTGGGCCCGGCTCGTACATTGCCTTCCCCACGCACTCATTCCTTACTTGGATGGGTCCGAAGCAGCATTTGCTGCTGGTTGACTGTCGTGCGCAGCGCAAGATGGATCAGGTGTGTGCGGAAGACACGTACGAGCGGGTGCTTGAGGCATGCATGAACCTGCCTGAGACGGTGCGCCACCTGATCATCCAGCTGGGCGTGCCCATTGCCTACCCCCGCATGGTGTTTTTGGAGAAGATGCTCACAAATCGGTTTAATCCTTTTGTGAAGGTGGCCAAGACCGCCTCGCCTGGGTTTACCAACAGTACGTGCCAGTGACTCACCGCAGACTTTGACGGCAGTGTGGAGATCCTGGACGACTTGAACGATCACTGGTGCTCTCAGCATCACAAGAAGGAGCGCAACCAGTTCATCGAGCAGACGCAGACACTGGCCCAGGAGAAGAAGATGCGCATCACTTTCTTGAGCGGAGATGTGCACGCAGCCGGCTGCGGCGTCTTTAGCTCGGAAACCGACATTCGACCCGAGCAGGACTACAAGTACGCGCTGGCCCTGATCACGAGCGCCATTGTGAATGCGCCGCCGCCGCCTGCGGTGATTAAAGTCACGAACAAGCTGGCAACGAAGCAACACCGCTCGCTGCATTACCTCGGCACGCGTGAGACAATGCTCCCTCTCTTTGAGTTTGACCTGAACGACAAGCCCAACAAGCAGAAGTATATTATGGGGGCCCGCAACTGGTGCACAGCGGACTTTGATGAATCGACGAATGAGATCTTGTTCCACTTGCGCGTGGAGAAAAAGCAGGGATCCGGCCGCGCGAAGGAATACTCAGTGAAAGCACCTGCGCCTCTATTCTAATGGCATGTGTCGTATAAATTGTATGTAGCTCATGGCATATGCATCAGGTCCAGAATTCCTCAAGACGCGGTGTCCCTCGCGCCTTTTTAGGGGCGCGCGAAGGCGACGGCAGCGGCCGTTTTGGACTGCGTGATGCTGGGCGGTCCCGCGGCGGTGTCGCCTTTTCCACCTTGACGGGAGATATGGGTGCAGAAGGGGTCTGTTTCGAAAAGAACGCTTCGAGCCCATCGTGGCGCAAAGCCACTGGATAGATCAGGCTTTCCGATGAATAGCCTACGGTGCCAACCTCTGGTGGGACCGCGTAGCAGTCGAGACAGCCGTCGTACGGTTGTAACAGGGAGGCCATGCGCTGAAACTCACGCGCGTGGAGCCATTGATGCATCGACTGAGCTGTAGGAAGAATCACGGGCATGCGGTCATGCAAAAAGCTAAGCTGCTTGTTGGACGTGGTCGTAACGATCGTAAAGGCACGCTGTCCTTGGTCCTCGACCCACAGGCCGGCCATAGGCATGAGCTGGTGTGTGGAGCCTTCAACAGCTGGGCGCCCACGCCCTTGAGCAGACATGCCAACAAAGTGGGCGACACGCTTCGATCGAGACATCGGCACCTTTTCCCATTCAAAGAAACCTTGGCAGAAGACAATGCAGCGCTGGGTCGCCGCAAGGCGATGCCATGCAGAGGTGGGCCGCACGATCGTATCGTCACGCGAATTGATAATTAGGGGCCCGCGCATCTCTGGAGACGCAGATGAGAGCACTGCATTGTGTCGGAGGCCCCATTTCATGGTCTCCAGCGCCACTGAGAAGCCATCCTTCGAATCTGTAGCGCGTACGACGGGGTACACTGTGCCGGGCGCCACATTATAGGTGGGATCGTACTCGAATGCATTTTCATGTGCTGTGAGGTGCTCGTCTACAAGGAGATCGTCCACCGTATCGTAAAACGCCTGCGGCGGGAGCCCATTCGCAAAGCGACCACACATAGCTGTCAATCGTGCGAGGGGACCAGGGATGACAATGTGGAGAAATGGGTCAAATACCACTGCGCGACTGACTTGCCGCCACCTACGATGGGCGCCAAACCATCGTCAGAAGCTGCTCCCGAAGATACCTTTGTGGATTACTATGAGCTTTTAGAGGTTGAACAGACCGACTCGGCGGATGCTATCCGCAAGTCCTATCGGAGACTAGCTCTCCGCATGCATCCTGACAAAAATCCGGGGCAGGAAGAAGAAGCGAAGAAACGCTTTGTCAAGCTGCAGGAGGCGTACGAAGTCTTAAGCGACGAGCAGGAGCGCGCATGGTATGATCAAAACCGTGAACGTCTGATACATGGTATTGAGGAAGAAGAAGACGACGACGATGTGGACGCCAAGTTCCAGCTCTTCCGATCTGGTGGCGCAGCTCCGAAAGCTGCGACAATGGCAGCTGGTGTAGGTGTGTCGCACCTGCTGCGCTTCTACGCGCCCTCTTTGGCGAAGGACTTTAGCGATTCTTCTACCTCTTTCTTCGGCACGTACCGCCGCCTCTTCGAGCGCCTGGCCGAAGAGGATATGGTCGCTGCTCCTTATCCAGGCGAGACACACACGGGCGATCTTGCCGCTCCATGGCGGGACGATCAGAGAATGTATCCCTCTTTCGGACATCCCACTACGGATTATACCTCAGGAACCGAGCCAGTACGTCTTTTCTATCAGTTCTGGACCCAATTTTCTAGTCGTAAGAGCTTTGCATGGAAGGACCAACATGACCTCCGGGACGCGCCTGACCGTCGTGTGAAGCGCTTGATGGAAAAGGATAACAAGCGCGCACGCGATGCCGCACGAAAAGAGTACAATGACGCGATCCGTGGCCTCGCATCCTTTATCCGCCGCCGTGACCCGCGTCACAAAGCATTCCAGGCGCAGCAGCAGGCCGGAGTGAGTGCCGCTGCGCAGGCAGAACGCGAAGAGTGGCGGCGTGCAGAGGCAGCCAAGCGCCAGGAGGAAAAACGTGCGCAGGCGGCCTCTTTCCGTGCTCAGAGCTGGCAGATGGCCGAGGCGCCCACTACCGAATGGGACGACTTTGGCAGTGGTGAGGAGCTGGACGCCCAGGCACAAGAGGACGATGAAGGCGATCTAAGTGACGACTCCCTTGAAGGGGACGAGCCTTTCTGGGACTGTGTTGCATGCAACAAGCGCTTCCAATCGGAGGCTGCATGGTCGAATCATGAGAGAAGTAAAAAGCACAAGAAGGAGGTGCAGCGGCTCAAGCGCGAGATGCTCGAAGACGACTTGGCTCTCAAGGATATTACCCAGGATACGGCCGCCTTGAAAGTGAGCGACCAAGGGCTGGTCCCTGAGCAAGCGGTTGATGCAGAACCCACGCACGCGGCTAATGTCGACGAAGAAAGCTCAAGGAAAAAGGACAAGAAGCGCAAAAAGCAAGCGAAGAAAATGCAGGCAGCCATGGAAGATACTCTTCGATCTGATGCAGGGGCTTCGAGCAGCTCTGAAATTTCATTCCCCCACGAGTCCCACTCCCAACATGAGATGCGTCTGCAAAAGATCTACGAGATTCTCCCTCACCTGCGCGATCTCCCATCGTATGCAAAACGTCCACCTGGCTCCTTCGATATCTTTGGCTATGGCTCCATCATCTTCAAGCCGCCTCCTCATGTGATTAGCTACACCCCTGGCTACATCCAAGGCTTTGTCCGCCGCTTTGCGCAGCACTCGGTGGACCACCGCGGCACACCAGAGCGACCCGGTCGTGTGGTGACACTCGTATCCGCAGATCACTGGCACAGCTTGCCTGGTGCCGACGATGCGCCGGAAGGTGACATTGTCTGGGGCATCAGCTATACCATTGACCCGGCGCATGCGGACGAGGTGCGAGCCTACCTGGACGATCGCGAGAAGAACGGTTATACACCCATGTGGGCACCGATCCTCGGATACTATGGCACGTCAGAGGAACCACAAGTACTTGTGCCGGAAGCCCTGGTGTATGTGGGTCTGCCCGACAATGAAGCATTTGTCGGTCCACAGCCGCTGGACGAGCTGGCGGAACGCATTCACACATGCCACGGGCCAAGTGGCCCCAACCACGAGTACTTACTCCGGCTGGCGGAGGCAGTGCGGATTCTCACACCAGAGAGTAAAGACAACCACCTATTTTCCTTGGAAGAAAAGGTCCTTGCGCTCAAGGCGCAGGAAGAGCCCTTAGCTTCCAGAAAACCGCGCCGGAAACCCAAGGCCAAGCCACCGTCAGGTACGGAAGTGTGCAACCAGTGCCATGCATCATTCCCTTCGCGGTCTAAGCTATTCCAGCATGTGCACGAGCAAGGACATGCTCTTGCGAGTGGCCACGGTGCACGCGGAAAAAAGTAGAGTATATCTACCTAGAAGTCTGGGATAAAGCTTTTTTGTACAAGGCCACCGCTTTAGGAACCGTGGAGGGATCCAGGCCGTGCATTGCCTCGTTTTTCGCGTGGGTATAACAGTCGATGAGCTGACTGTGGGCCCCTTGCTGATCAAAGAAAGTGAGAACATCGACGAGCAGAGCTGTGTCATTCCAGTGCACATTGGGCTTGGCCACTGGGTGCACCTCTGCGTCAGCGAGGGATCGGAACGGAACACCCATGTATGTGCCGAGCAGGAAGCAAATGTCCTGCACACAGGTGCGCGGCTGACCCATTTGAAGTGTCCACACAAGCGTTTTCAGAGCTGTTTCGTCCAACAGGGGCGATGCGCCGCGGCGTAGCGACATGGCGATATCATCTTGCCAGCGCCGCCATATTTCGCGTACGAGCCCTTGCTTTTTGGACATGGGCATGCGGCATAAGCCAAGGTCGCGAAGGAGCGACGTGTACATCGGCACAGTGGCAAAGTGCTTGCGGGGCAAGCGTGGCGTGTCGTGCTGAGCGAGGGGGTATCCATTCGGGCAAAGATGATCGAACACCTCTAAAGCCTCTTCATAGCGCCCAAGGGCGCACAACAGGGTCATGTAGTGGCGGAAAGCTGTAGCGATAGACGCTGGATCCTTTTCCAGCTCGTGGAGCACGCGCTGCTGTGCCGCCTGGTGGGGCGAGAGGGCATCGGGCATGGCCGTTTGAGCAGCTGCCTCCTGATGCAGCTGCTCGAGACCCTCATACAATTTAGACAGGCGTTCGTTCCATGATGGCAGGCACAGCGTGTCGTGCAGGCTCGCACGAGCCTGTTCACTCAGGGCCTGGAAGAAACCCGCATACGTTCGCGCGGTCGGCCGGATGCCTTGACGTTTCATCTCACAGAATAAGTGCCATGCCGCCGTAGGGCTAGCTGCGCGAATAGCAAGCAAAATAACATGATTCCAAGCCGCTGCACCGTGCTGGGGTATGAAGGACGTCCGGCTCTTGTGGTGGAAGCGAATTCGACGTGCGAGGGTGCGCCACTCAGTCATGCGCTCCATCAAGACTGCCTCCGACTTTTTGAAGCGCGCCATTGCATCCGGTTCTTGATGCACGATGTTCGAGATGCGTTTCGACGTGGCGAACATGTGCTGTCGCAGCGTATCAGGGTGCAGCACCGCTGCCTTGGATTTGCGTTCCACACGGACATCTGTGCGAAAAGCGCCACCCCTTCGACGCTGCATATTACGGAAATTAACTACGCTCTTCGGCGGCTCGGATTTCGTGCTGGCATGCCTCTCAAAGAGGCGCGGCAGCGCTAGCCGCCACCATGGGCGTGCGCTCATGATGAGAACCAATCACCCAGGGTGGAGCCCAAGCTGTGCTGACTAATGTTGTAAGCCAGCGGCCCCGTCTCGCCGCGGCCGCTGCCTTTCTACTTCCCTTGTGATCTGCGGAATGGCGACGCACCGTGACGCGAAGAACCCGACCTTCTCGTATGTCGAGCCTCTGCCTTGGCCCAAGGATGTACCTAAGGTAGACGAGGTCGGTACAACGTCGGCGCCGCTCAAGTCGATCGCGTTTTTCTTTGGGCAGTTTTGCAAGCTGTACAACGACGACTTTATGCTGTGCAAGAACGAGAACCGCGACCCCGAGCACTGCCTTCTGGAGGGACGAAGAGTCACGCGCTGTGCGCAGGACCTGTATGTGGACGGTTCTTACCTCAGAATCCAGAAGATCGGCGAAAAGTGCGGCAAGGAATGGGACGCACACTGGGAGTGCCTGGAGATGAACAACCAAGTGCGTAGACTACGAGGCGGCTGACCCCCCAGGAGTACATGCCGTGCCGGAAATTCGAGCGCCCGCTCAACAAGTGTGTGCTGGAGCAGCTGGTATGTGGAATGCGATTGACCTCAGAACCTGGCGAAGCGCATTCCTGGCTCGCCCGAGGGCAAGCCCCAAATTCACGAGAAGGAGAACCCCGTGGTTTCACGGCTGCAGAAGTAGTTTGCCTTTTCTATAGGCGCCCATTCTCTGATATACACTACACAGGTGGTCCCTCTTCCATCACATCTAGCTCATCTTCTAGCGACGGCTCTTGCACAACAGGCAGTCCCGGCGCATCTGGGTAAGGATGAGATACATACCTTGCGAATCCACTCGGAATCCCACATAGAGCACAGATCCGTCCTGCAGACCGCATGCAGAGCATAGGGGCGTGCCGTCCTCGGCACGAGCCGACGCGTCCGCGCGGCTGGATAAGGTCACAAAGGTCTGATCAATTTTCTCATACAGCTCAAAATCGCCAGGCTGCGTCTCCGAGAATGGACGCGCAAGCACGTCGTCCAAAGGCTGGTTCGAGGCAATCAACGCCTCTCTTATTTGTTGGATCAACGCACCCACACTCGTGACCGCGGGCACAACCTGAACACAGAGTGTGGTCTTGCTAAACTTGACGAACAGAGAAATCTCGTCCTCTCGCTTTGTATAAATACAACAAGGCAAGCACGCACCATGGTAGCCACTGGGCCGATGCAGCTCGGCCGTCAATGTCCGTCCGACAGGTGGAGGCAAGGCAGTGGAACTACGTTGGGAGAGTCGCCGCCTGCATCATTGGTAGATACTATCGGATTCCGACCCTGACACATCAGATGGCGTGTAGCCACTGATGCTATCACTACCGAGGGCGCCACGATTGCCTAGTGTGTACTGCAAAGAACTTGCATTCGAGGCGGTTCGTCGAGCATACGGCGACGACGGCGGCAGTGTGGCAGCCTGTCCAAAGCCCTTGTCCACAAACAGTCCCAACGAAGACGTGGTCTCTGACCGCGCCGACGTAGTATCACTGGCAGCACTTGTAGGCAGCCGCTCTTCATACATAACCCATTGGGAGCCGCGTGACAGAGGCGGTCCAGCAGATTTGGGGGCACCGAGGGCCCGCATGTTCGTGATAGGAGCCAGGCCTGGCTTAGGCTCTTTGGAGTGGACCTCAGAAAGAGACGCGGAAGGAAGGCGTGGTGTGCGTCGCAGTGTAGCATCCCAGAGCCAGTCGCTCTGTTCCTCTGGCGCGACACGAGGGGCAGCCCATGCTGAGGAGCGGGTGGTGTCGCTTGGCTTCTTTTGCCTCTCCATCTCAAATCGAATTTGAGTCATTTCGACCTCGCGGCGAGCTAACTCTTTCTCACGACGCGCCAGCTCGTCATGACGCTTCTCCAACTCAGTCGCCTGTGATCCTTGAACCTGCAGGCCTGTGGCCTCGGAATTCCCGACGCGCTTGGGTAGATGAGGCGACTTGGCTGCAAGGTTCGGAGATGCCATGGGCGTCGTCTCAGATATTGGCGCAGTGCTCTCCTCTTGTGCACGAGCGCGGAGGGCCGGCTGAGATGCGACCGTCCGCAGATGCGGTTTGTGGGGGACGGAGGCAGGTGCTGGAAAGGCACCTTCCCCCACCGGCGGGGATTTGTGAAAAGCTGAATTTTTTGGCTTGCGGCGAAAAATGCGGGGAGTCAGGCGATGGACGAGTGACTGTGCATTGTCCGACTTGACGCTAGAACGCGTGCTCTTTGCGCGACGGCGCTGTGCACGTGGATCGGAATCCGGACTGCCGACTTGCCGATCATGCTCTTCGAGGGCCTCCATTGTCAAAGGAGCATAAGCAGGTGACCCTGGAGGAAGACCAGCGGCAGGCATCGTCGGAGTTAGGCCATCAAAGGGTCCTTGAGTCAGCGCTGAAGGAGCTAACATCGGGGACGGCTTGGACCGAGACACCACAAGAGGAGACGCTTTCGCATGCGGGCTGGCGCCTGGTGAAAAAGGTCGAGATGCCTCTGCCATGGGCGAGGCTGTGCGCGAACGGGGTGTTCCCGCGCGGCTGCTGACCGGTCGCATGGACGGAGAGGGCACTAGAGGCGACTTGGCTCGCGATAGATGCGGTGACCGGAGATACGCATCCTCTGGCAACGGAGAAGCCACTGGGACATTATCATTTACAAGTGGGGGGCCGAATACACGTATAGGCTCGAGCGTTCCGGTTCTTGTAGTCCGCTCTTTAGGTATACTACCCAGGAGAGGTGTGCCTTGGGGTGGCATTTCTGGCTCAAGAGGCGGGGCGTCCCCTTCAACACACTGGGTGGCGAGGCCCACTGCTGGATTATGTTGGGTTTCGATCTGGTACAGATACACACGCGCCTTGCCTTGGGCATCGAGTCGCGCCAACTCTGTCCTAAGACCCGCGAGTTCACGTAAGAGATCCTCGTCAACCAAGCGGCGCGTTGAGCGCCGTGTGCTTGTTGATGAATCCGTGCCTGTCAGACTCTCCGAGGATTGTTGGCCGGGCGACTCCATCATGTGATGGTTTCTTGAACGCCGCGGCGTTTCGGGAAAATTGTGTTGACGAGGCGGTGTGCGCAGGTGGTGCGTACGAGACCGGACTTCTGCTTCCTCACCGGGCCAGCCATGTGTTTCCCATTGCGGAATCCAGGTGCCCCATGCTTTGGCCACGTACGCTGAACTCACACAGAGATGGGCACAAAGGCGGCCCTGCCGGACCTGGGCAAGCTGACGAAGCGCCGCAATCACGCCACGAAGTTCGGCGCGTCGCACAAGCGCTGTAGTAGTGAGTGGTGTGCGTCGGGCCATATGGGGTGGCATACGGTCCTCGCCACCGAGAATGTGCGCTGAGTTCAACATGCTAAAAGGACCACCGAACATCCCATAGGCAATACTGGAGCCGCTCGGATCTGCGGCAGTGGCAACAAAGAGGGCCTGCACAGATCCTGAACAGCTGTGATCCGACATATACGGTGACGAAAATTGCTGGAACACACTCGACTGCATATCGTCCGTCTCTGCATGGTCGTGCTCGGTGTCAGATGGTATCATTGGCGGCGACATGGAATCAGAGTCAGAGCCAGGAGTGGGCAAAGCATAAAACTCATCATAGTCATATGCTGGCTGCTGGATGCGTGACCATGCCTGGGTATCCTGATCCAATGGTAGCCGCACCTCAGGGCGTGCGCGGGGTTGCGCTATGTGGGGTAGGCGATGGCCGGCCTCGCCGCGCAGCGGTGCGCCTCCATCCCGTTCTGTACCATGTACCCAGTTCGCAATCGCTTCCTTTCTCGATAAAGTAGGGCTCCATCGCCTAGGCGCCCGCCTTTGCTCAGAGGCAGCCATGGCGACAGATTAACGATCGTCGACCTTGGGCCAGAAGATCTTTACTCACGTGATAACAAAAGTTTGGGGCAGGGCACTGCCAAGGCAGCTGGCGCGTGCGAGGTGGGGAAGCTATTTATATGCCGCCGAACGACACGGCCTTCTCGAAGAGGTACTCGTAAATACCTGTAGGGCCACCCTCGCGGCCGAAACCGCTTTCAAGCACGCCACCGAAAGGCATAGTGCTAGACGAGATGAGGCCTGTATTCACGCCCACCATGCCGACATGGAGTGCTTCAGCGACACGGAAGCACCGTTGAATGTCCCGACTGAAAAAATAGCCAGCTAGGCCCACACGGACATCATTAGCTGCACGGATCACTTCCTCTTCGCTGCCGAACTTGTATACCACCGCCACAGGACCGAACGTCTCCTCTTCATCAGTCGGAGGGTGCGAGTTCGGCGCTGCCAGCACAACAGTGGGCTCAAAGAAGAGGCCCTCACCCTTGTGACCGCCGACCAACACATGGGAGCCCGCCTTCTCCATGGCAGACACATGATCGAAGGCCTTTTGCTGACCAGCTTCGTTTACCAGCGGCCCAATGTTCACACCCGGCTCCAGACCGTAGCCCACACGCAGCTCGCGCACCTTAGCGGCGAACTTCTCCACGAATTCATCGTACACACGCTCGTGCACAAAGAGTCGATTGAGAGAGATGCAAGTCTGGCCTGCACAGCGGAACTTGCAAGCCATGGCATTCTCCACAGCGGCGTCCACATCGGCATCGTCAAACACAATGAAAGGTGCATTGCCACCCAGCTCCATGGACACTTTCTTCAATGTAGCGGCCGACTGACTCATGAGTAACTTTCCGACACGCGTGCTGCCCGTGAAGGAGATCTTGTCCACCTGGGTACTCTCACACAAGGTCTTGCCCATGGCTTGCTCGTTCTTGCCCTTCGAAGAGACAAGCACATTCACAACACCCTTGGGAATTCCAACTTCTTCGGCCAAATGAGCCATAGCTAGCGCACTTAGGGGGGACTCGTGCGGAGCCTTGACGACAGTTGTGCATCCAGCGCCTAGGGCGGGAGCCACCTTGCGAGCAATCATCGCGAGAGGAAAGTTCCATGGGGCAATAAGTCCCGCTACACCGATTGGCTGCCGGAATACCACTGTGCGAACACTGCTTTGAGGGGAGGGAGTCGTGTAACCTTGGATACGGAGCGCCTCCTCAGCAAACCATTGGATGTACGAGTTGGCATAGTTTACCTCACCCATAGCATCCGTCAAGCATTTGCCGTTCTCGGCCACAATGATCTGCGCAAGATCTTCAGCATTTTCTCGGATTTTATGATAGAGAGCCATCAACATGTCGTGACGCACATGCGATGTAGTCTTCGACCAGGACGGAAATGCAGCGCTGGCTGCGTCAATGGCCACCTGCGTATCGTCGGCGCCCTGGTCAACCACGTCCGCCAGGACCTCGGTCGTAGCCTTGTCTAGATATGTTAGTATCCTACACGTACTGTACACCGGAAGAGTATCTCCATTAAGAGCAGCGACCCATTCTCCGTTGATATAGGACTGCGACCGCATCAATTTTGCATTCTTCAACTAGGTAGGTTAGTAGCATGAAGGACGGACCTCAATTTTGCCGCGACCACTCTTCGCTAGGCCCTGCGGCATATTTTGAAACGCGCGCAGGGTCTTTGAAGTAGTGGAAAAACATCGCATCGAATTACCAAGGCGAACACGCTGCGCCGTGCTAAACATTATGGAAGTAGGGGCAGAGGCAAGTCCCGACAAACCCTATTTGCGCCGTGCACGGACTTATAGGAATTATATGGAGGTCCGGGAGTAGTCCGGCTCTGTCATATCGCGCTTGCAGGTGGGGCACAAACGACGCGTACCCATAAGCCAGCCATCGCTAATGTCAGTAGACAATACGCACATTTCTTGTTGGTGGTATATATGTCCACAGGGTAGCACCCGTACTATATCGCTGAGTGTAAATACATGCGCTGGCAACGAACCCTTCAGCGAAATCAACAAGGCAAATAGGGCATTCATCTTGGAGGAACCAACGCGAGCGCTGTGTCGTATGTTCCATCGATGGATGCTCTGAAGAGAGCGTATCGTATTCAGCTTGTTCCATATGTCTTATGAGGGCATCCCGTTCGTCATGCTGGCGTGAAAACAGCTGGGCCAGCCATGCGTATAATGCATCAACTGCTTGCATACCTCTCAGGATCATATCCGAGGAAGGTGCTCCCGGAACATCCTCGGGTTTGACAGGGACCCATGCGCAATTGGGATGCCATTGAAAGCACGGTAAAGAACGCACAGCATGCAGAGATGCTCGATCACGATAGCGCTTGATGAGCGCTCGAACATGGTGTGATACAAAAGCAAACAGTGCAAACAAGGAAGGAAGCAAGAAAAAGGCCATGCCTAGGTCCAGCCACGGCGAATCGGAGACGCTAGCATCGAGGAAGAGTCCTACACGTACGCCATGGCGGTGGCTGGGCAGGTGGCCTTGCTCAGCTTGGTTGATATATTCCATCAAGTCCAGATAGCTGCTTCGAATAACGAAACACGATGGAATGACGATATCCTTGGCATCGCCATCGGGGTACATTGTGATGGGTCGGGTGGTCGGTTCCATATCGTCTTCCTCCCATTCGCGAAGGTTCATGGTCGGCGCAAATGAATCGTGCGAGTGGATTGCATCACCTACAATGACGGCTTGAGCACCCATTTGTTGGGCTGTGCGCATCTTCTCCTCGAATGAGCATCCTCCACGCTCGACTAAGGCAATCCAATCCGACGGCGGGCGCTTTGGTCCACGGCTATGGGACCACACTCGTTGCAAGAAGGATGAGGGAAATTCGGAGCTTTGCGAACCAAGGGCATGTGCCTCCTCCGGACACCCTGTATTGCGGCGATGGGATTGCGAGTTATTATACAGAAATTTCTGAATGGGTATCATAGTGCCCCATAGGCCATCCTCATCGACCTTATCAAGTCCAAAGGCAGCTGGGCGAGCTGAAAAGGACTGATCCGCATCAGGGACCACCACCTTGTTGCCTGGCCATTGGGTACGACGTTGCATCTGGTCATTGAGAGCCGAGGTCATGGAAGCCTGACTCGACAATACATCACTTCCCGACGAAATAGACCAGCTCGTATGCGAGGGCGTTTGCGTTTGAGATGCAGAAACCGCAGGCCAGAAAGCAAATGTTACATATAGTGGTATCACCCATGCATTGGCGCTACGCCACCACATGTCATGCATTGGCACAAAATAGTGTTATGACAACCCGATCTAGTGTCGGATCGGGGCCCGGGCCACGGGTAGAGATGAAATTGAGATGAACATTCTCGGCATTATCTTTACTATGACGAAAAGTGACGCATGTGTATGTATGAGACATCACTGCGGGGGTGCCAGCGTAGAAATAGGTGGCTGAATCTGTACCGGTGGTGCAGGGACATCCGGTGAGTCGCTCGCCATGGGAATAGCCAAAGCATTGTCCGTAGAATCCTTCGCGCTGGGCGGCACCACGACAGTGTCATCTTTGGCCGGAAGAGCAGGAGCATCCTCTGGTTGCTCAGAATCACGAGGTCGTTCACTGCTCTCCTGCTGCTGAGCGGAGCTATTAGCCACAGCAGCCGCCGAGCTCTTGTCTTGCTCGTTTGACGGTGCACTGGTGTCGTGCGGCTCATCCGAATCATCGAGTTTGAGTCTCTGCTTCTCGTTGCGCACACGGCGAATAATCTCTTCACCTTCGGGAGTATTCCACGGGCCTGCATCCGACATAAGACAGCCACCAGGGCACTGACAAGAGCCACCTACAATCGAAGGAATGTTTTCGGTGGGAATCTGCTTGGACAGTTCTGTCAGGAAATTGGACCCAAGAATCTGGATCTTTTCTCGAGTAACAGGATCCAGCCAGCTTTTCACGACTGACCACACTGTAGTGAAAATGTAAGGTGCATTGATAATGTAGAAACGGCCCATTGTCTCAGGGTAGTAAAACTGTCCAATCTTACTGGCCTGTTGGACATAGGACGATACCCTCCAGAACTGCGCTATGCCCACATTCTTAAGATCCATAATTGTGCAGCTCGTTTCGATCAGCTTGTTGCTCATTTCTGAACACACAGGCAGGCGTTCACGCTGGCACTTCTCATATTCATATACAAGTTGCTGAATTAGGCGCTCGGGGGTTGTAACTTTAAAAAGCTTGTTCAAATCCAAATGGGTCAGCTGCTCCACGTAGACAGGACGCCCGTCCTTGTCGGTTTTGTGGTAGAACTGTGGGTACAGCTCGTTGACGGCCTCCTTCTCAGGGAATGTGAACGTCTCATAGAGCTCGTCCACCTTGTACTCGCGTCGCCATTTTTCCGCTTCCATCATCATACCATTAGCCGCATGGTAATCCCACTTGCGGGCACGCAGAAACCGGCACACTGGACATATCAGTGAAGAGACACTTACTGCAAGCGTCATCGTGACGATCAGCCGCATAATACCCTTTGGCCTTAAGCTGCCGGGTCAGTCTCATTGTACTCACATCTTCACGCAGCTTGTACACCATATGCTGTTGCTTGGGATCGAGATGGCCGGGATGACCATTGCTAGCATTTGCGGAAACCATAGTGGAAAAATTGGCTAGTCCTTCAAATAGTATCTGCACTAAACTGGAGTTCGAGTCAGCTTTTGTTGCACATAGGAGCACATACCTTTAAGTTCTTTAACAGAATGTTGTATTCGACTGCAGATTCGTCTTTGGCACAAGAAGCGCTTCTATGCAGACGAGTCCTATTGTCAAATTTGGACGGGAGCACCGTTCGCCGTCGGCCGGTGTCCCAGCCAAATATTAAGCGCCCGCGCACACGATCGCTCACGTGATACCGGTTTCCCTGTAGCGCACGCTTCCAGGTCGCTGCTGTCCAGACCACACCTACATTATGAATATTCGCCAAGCCACGGTGCGTGTCCGTCGCATTTGTCTAATGCACACAGGTCGATGACTTGCTGGGGATGCAGAAATGCAACCTGCATAACCTTCCGGAAAACTATACCATGCGTTATTGTGAGTACAGCCCACATTGACCACCAGACTTTTACCACGAACTGACGTGGCCGCAACTGTCATACGTAGCCGAGGACGAGAAAGGGAATATTGTCGGGTATATTCTTGGGAAAATGTACGCTTGCTTTATTGACATGGAGGGATGAAGAGCCTGAAAATGGGATCCCCAACGGCCACGTCACCAGCATTTCGGTCCTAAGATCTCACCGCCGCCTTGGTCTTGCCAATAAGCTTATGAGCCTAAGTCGTACGTGCATGGATTTTAATATGATCAGAAACAGCCATGCGGGATGTATTCGGTGCCAAATATGTTTCTCTGCATGTGCGCGAATCGAATCGTGCTGCTATCTCTCTCTACACGAAAACGCTAGGCTTTGAAGTTCATGGCGTTGAACCTAAGTACTACGCGGATGGCGAGAACGCATTGGCAATGCGCCTCACCTTGGCTTGAATAGCCAGAGGGACTATCACTTTTATTGTCCTATATGTACATTTCTAGGAACAAAGTAACCACAGTTTTATCCATACCTGTCTGTGAACCAAGTTAGGCATAAAATCAGGTTCACAAAAGACGCCGCTTACTGTCGTACTCCCAATAGTCTCTGTCCCAATCATTGGCATTCGCCTTGAAGCAGTATTGACAAACAACAAGACTTCCAATGACAGCGACAATGCATACCACAAGAATGATCCACGCAACAGTACGGTAAATAGGAGCTTCCCATGCATGATCGCCAGAATAGGCGGGCTCCGGTGCAGTTTTATTTTTGGGAGTGTGGTGTCCATAGAGATCCGGGAAGCTCGTGTTAAAGTCTCTCAAAAAAAGGAAGTCCATCGACGTCGCATACATGTCATAATCCTGATGCGACACACGGGAGACATAGTTGAGTGAGTGGTTGGATGGCCATCCGCCTGGCATTTGTGCTAGCGCTAGTGCGAAGTCCGATCCTCGATGCAAATGGTTATAACCCTGATATTGAGCTTGACAATGAGTATCACCCGCACCATTGTCAAGGAGACCTAGTGCATATTGAACATGACGCCAGCGGTACAGCGCCAAAGTGTCGGCCATATTTGCTAGCACACGCGACCTTCCATACTTGGTAATTTTCGATGTATTACCTCCCAAACCATATGGCCAAGTATCAATGTCAGCCGTACAATCTTCACCATTCAAATTCGTTGGGCCCCAATTAGGGCGTTGCGTGTCCGTACTGTTGGTCAACCACGTCCATGAACCTGGGTTCCCGATCCAGAATTTAACATTAGATTCATATCGCCGCTGTTTTCGTAGCAAGGCATATCGCATTGAAGCCTGCCCACCAAGGGAGTGTCCAGCTATCACCACTTGCTTGACGTTGGGAAACCATTTTCGATCCATCACAGCATCAACCATTTTGTCCAATGCTCCGAAAAACGTGACAGACCCGTTTTGCAAAGGCGGTGTCACACTTGAACCTCCCATTTGCCAATTGGAATGGCTATAGGCTAGCCAGTTCGATTCAACGCCGCCTGCTGCTTGATCATCTTGGTTCAGAACGATTGGCGCCATAATAACAACTTCTCCTGGATAGACCTGGTACCTGTCCGTATTCGCGTATATATACATTAAGATATTGTTCATCAAATTGACATACTTCCAGGTGTCTCGCGGCTTACCAGGGAGCGTTATAATGACACGCTTGACCAGTTCCGGGTTGTTATAATAGGTACTAGGATCTGATACGTAAAACGGTTGGACAACTGGCTGTCCTTGATATTGCTCATCCGTAACAGCCAAGGATATGTTCATAGTAAAAAGCGGTTGATTATTGGGCCAAACAAATCCATCCACCGAGCATAATAGTTCACCAGGGATCTTTTGCCATCCACCTGTATTAGGATCTTGGGGCACGGATGCAGTGGGATTAAAAGGGAAGGGCTGTCCACTTGAGTTCACCCACCCTGGGAATTGAGTATTATCACCACCTGCTCCATCATCCCACCATACAAGTTGGCCGTACTGTTGAGTAGCCCAAGTGCCTACATTGGGATCCCGTAGGTTTGGTATGTCAAGAACATTTTGAATCACTTGAATGAGAGACTGTGTATCGTTCGTATTCGTTGAACTGGCGATTTGGTCCATAGAATTAATATCCAGTTGACGTCGGTACTGCTGTCTCGGTGTCACAGAGCGCGATACTTTCAGTCCACTGGCTGCAGACCCTGTGGCGGCACTAGCTGTCCAGCAGCATGCCAGCACCAGAGCAACCCATATGAATCTCTTTGTCGTGAACATTTGGGCTGCCAACACCCACTGTACTCCTACGTGTGTGACGTGAAAGTCGGGATGCACTGCCTAAAGCCGTTGCGCCAACCTTCATGAGTGGAATTATGCTTGCTGCATCTTTGCCAAAGCCGAAGCACAATCCCACACTCAAGGGGTCCATTTGTTTGTAGATATGCGCGACATTTCTCCAATGGGCATCTACAACTTGGTTGACTCGCAGATATGCGCATGCGCGGCATCTAGACTTATGCTTATGCAACATGCATAAATTCCCGACGTGGCCTTTACAAAATTTGTAAGCGTACATAAATCTTGAGGCCAAACATGCGCGGCTCTAGGAGGGTCAGACATGCCAAGGCCTCAAAGACTAGTTGCGTAATCATTAGTTATGGAATCTAGTCATGATCCAAGCTCAACAACGATCTATGATGCACGTTCGTTCCGTAACTATACGCGAGCGGGACATGTAGGATATCATCGATTAATTATACAGAGGCAACCTAAAAGTCCTTGCCAAAAATAAAATCAAGCGAACGGGACGAGGCGAACATGGGATAGTCCTGGTGTGCAACCTTGGCCACGTAGTTCACCTCAAATCCCGAGGGCAGACCACCATCCATATTCACTAGACTCTTGATGAAATGAGTGCCGCGGTCTAGGTGGTTCGCTCCCTGGTAGTAGGCTTGGCAGTGCGTGTTTCCGGCACCGTTGTCATCCAGACCAAGGGCAATTTGCACAGTTCTTCCACGGAATGTATTAACGAGGTCTCCCGAGTTTGCGTCCTTGTTATAATCAGGAAGGGCCGATTCATTAAGACCATAGGGCCAAGAGTTCATCAAGTCAGGGCAGTTCGGCCAGTAGGTCGGGCGCTTATCGGTGAGCCACGTCCAAGAGCCCGGGTTACCAATCCACCACAACAACGAGTCGTCCTGGTTGTCGTTATACTTGCGGATCACTGAGTACCGCTGAACAGCCTGGGCCCCCAGCGAGTGGCCGGCGATCACCACCTTGTCAATGTTAGGGAACTTGCTCTTGTCCAGTAGCATATCCACCATTTTGTCCAACGCCGTAAAGTACGATACAGGATTCTTCAAGCTTGGCGAGATTGTGTGTCCACCTGCCGACCAAAATGAGCTTTTATACACGGCCCAGTTGTCGTTCGTCACGGCACCTGCCTCCTTATCTTCTTGGATCAGAGCAAGAGGCGACACAATAATCACGTCTTTTTTCTTCATGCCATACTTCTTATTAGTGTACACATAGCGGAAAGCGTTCTGCATCAACGTTGTCCATTTCCATGCATCGCGGGGCATGCCTGGGATAACGACAATCGCTCGCTTGACATCGTCAGCGTTGTAGTCCTCGGTAATGTAGTACGGCTGCACCGCGTCACCGCTGAGATGAAGATCATCTTTCAGGACGAAGCCGTTTGTCGACTTCGGCACATGCTTGAGAGCACCACGCGAGTCGCGACTGGAGCCAGCCGGCTGCGTGAAAGGGAAGGTGCCATCGTCGAACCAGGGCACCTGGTGGTGTGAGGCCCTGTCACCAGGATGAACAACACCATACTCGTGCTTTGCAAAGGACTCGTAGCCCGGTTGCCCAAGGTTAGGCATCTTCATCACCTTGTTTGTAGCACCAATGGGATCATCGACGGCCTGCTTCGAAATCTCCTCTTGCGTATTGTTACTGTACTGCCTGGGACGAAGTCCACCGGGAGCCGAAATGGCTGAGCAGACGATTGGAAGAGTTATGAAGCTGAGCAACAAGCGTATTTGCATGGATTAACGGTAAGAAGGCACTTCATTGGATTCTCATGAGCGTTTATATAACTGGCATCTTGGTCGAAGCAACGCCAAGCTTGCCAAGTGCGGCAAGTTGAAAAACGGAGTGCGGCTCCGACAAGAATCAGGTGGAGGTATTCGATTGGCCTATCTAGTTTGACCTTGATTTTGGGGCTTCACACAAAATTCGGCTTTGCAATTAGAAAGCCTAAAATCACGGACTGGATTGGCTCTATAAAATAATCATAGCAATTGCGTAGGTCCAAACTGTGAATCCGTTCTACTGTGAAATGATACATTACATGCAACCAGAAACTAGGGTGCATGTCTCAATGAAGAAAGTCACTCGGTTGTCGGAACTCCCTGGCCAAGTAGCTGGTATCATAAACTGTATGAAGACAAGGAGATTAGAATACAATAATGGGTCTGGCTAGAGTAACCGTGATGAAATCTTTCTTTGATGCACGAAAATGGAACAAAGTAGCTTATCGGATTGATCATGACAAGTGGGAAGATAAACCTTGAGTTTGCGACGTTGATTTCTTGGAGGTAGAGGTATATCCTTCGCCTTGAGCGCAAGGACCTTCTCTTCCAAGGAAAATAGGTGAATATCCTTGCTCTTTGGTGTGAGAATCCGCACTGCCTCTGCCAGCCGGAGTAAGTACTCGTGGTTGGGGCCACTTGGCCCGTGGCATGTGTGAATGCGCTCCGCCAGCTCGTCCAGCGGCTGTGGACCGACAAATGCTTCATGATCAGGCAAGCCCACATACACCAGGGCTTCCGGCACAAGTACTTGGGGTTCTTCTGACATGCCGTGGTACCCGAAGATCGGTGCCCACATGGGTGTATAACCGATCTTCTCGCGATTGTCCAAGTAGGCTCGCACCTCGTCCGCATGCGCCGGGTCAATGGTATAGCTGATGCCCCAGACAATGTCACCTTCCGGCGCATCGTCGGCGCCAGGCAAGCTGTGCCAGTGATCTGCGGATACGAGTGTCACCACACGACCGGGTCGCTCTGGTGTGCCGCGGTGGTCCTCCGAGTGCAACGCAAAACGGCGTACAAAGCCTTGGATATACCCGGGAGTGTAGCTAATCACATGGGGTGGCGGCTTGAAGATGATGGAGCCGTAGCCAAAGATATCGAAGGAGCCAGGTGGACGTTTTGCATTCGTGGGGAGATCGCGCAGGTGAGGGAGAATTTCGTGGATCTTTTGGAGACGGTCCTCATGCTGCGTATGTGGTTCTAGCACCAAAGTAGGATTTTGCTTGTAGGAATGTAGGATATCTGGATAGTCCCTTTGTGCACTTTTCATTATACTATACTCAGTATACGACCTTGTCTCTTATTATCTCTAATATTTACAAGAGGAAGGTTGAGAGGTTGTCATCATATATACTTTTCGTATGCTTTCCTGTTCTTGCGCGATAGCGCGAAATGATGTCATAACCCCCTCCACTTTCGCAACCATGGTCCAACGAGCTGCTCGCTTAGCTCAAGCTCAACTGCTTGTGCAGTACGAAGCGCGGCTGCCTCCCTATTCGAAACGTTTTCGTTGGCCCATCTTTGCCCACCTTTTAGTTGCACAGGCAGGTCTCCACGATATTCTTTTCTGTCATAAGACTGATAATGCTTCAGACAGTGGGTATGAGCGATCATTCTTAAAGCACTTAGTGAGGCACATTGAGGACGCTATTTATAAATGTAACGAGGAAGATGCTGCCTGGATGGGTATACCACAGAGCGATTGGGTAGTCGATGATGCTTTGCTCGACAGGTACATCTCATTAATTTCTCAGCCTACTACTGGAGATATCTGCGGGTCATCTGCGCCATCCACTATGATATCAAAACGGTACTTTCCAGTACCCCATTCCTCTACCTATCACCCACTGTTAGGATCTTGTGACTATGTTTATTCCGTGGAAGAAGGAAAAGCGATATCACAAGGTACTACTGGCTTAAAAACTTGGGAAGCTAGCTTGCGACTAGCCGCATACCTTGTCCAACATCCTTACCATTGTGCTAAACAGAGGCGCTTTCTCGAGCTGGGCAGTGGAACAGGGTTTTTGGGATTAGTTTGCGCCCGGCTGATGATGGCTAATGGAGGGCAAATGACCAATATATACTTGACTGATTTTGATGAGCAAGTACTAGAACGTTTGCAAGAGAGTGTCCATCTAAGTAAGTGTTGTAAACCTTACACAGACAATGTTCCTGGTGTTCATATTCAATCATTAAACTGGACAAAAGTGACCTCCAGAGACGAAGATACCATTTCATATTTAAATGAAGTGAATCCAGACTGCGTTCTAGCTGCTGATGTGGTGTACGACCCATCTCTGGTTCCCCATCTTGTTAGCACTCTCTATGCTCTACTGACTCGGTCACGAAACGAATCCCATACTTATGCACTGGTATCAAGTACAGTTAGGAATCCTGACACCTATGAACTCTTTGTAAGATGCCTTCAGGAGAAGGGTTTATACTATTCAATCGTTGCACCAGACTCGTACCTCGGTTCCAACACATGGGGCCTGCCGCTATTTCCTTCTGTTCATGACACGGAGTTGGAAGGTCGTGTTGAAATTCTGATAATTCAAGCTGTACCATTCCCTCTATAGCCAATGCATACCCAATACTGTTCGCGGCTCTCTGCCCGACTTGCCGCCATTTTTTCTGCGCGCACATATTCAAAGGAAGGCTCGAGAATATCGCGCCTGAATTGATCTGCTTCTGCACTCATGTAATACTTGCAGATGAAGACAGACGATGTTCTAGCATCTTTGGTTGGGTTTTGTAACGCCTGCGAAGGTCGAAGCATTTGTCGACAAAATTCCTGTTCATCAGCAAAGGACAGCATACAAAGGCACTTGAGCATAAATCAAGAGACGCCTGTGCATCTCGTATACGATGACCTGATGTATTTGCTATTTTGATGTAAGAGTTGGATAACACACCCATCATATCACTTAAAACGACATCCACTTTGGTATCCACACTGCAAGTATCTTGTAGGATTCGCTGAGATAATTGCTCACGCACTCTTGGCCCGGTAAAGTCGCCATGGACAAAAGTGACGCGCGGGGAAGAAAAGCTCAATGGGAGTATATCCAGGGAGAACAACCGGACGTCTGGACATTGATGAAGAATGGCCTGACTCCAGCCACCTGGCGCAGCTCCCAAATCGACAATTACTCTCCCTGGTTGCAGAAATGGATACTTAAATGCAAGCTGCTCAAGCTTATAAGCTGAACGCGACACAAAGCCTAGCCCATCAATCTTTCTTCTCTTAACAAACTGATGTTAGAAATGTCAATCATGTACCTCATCGCGTTTTTGCCTAGCTATGTCTGCCAAATGTCAGTCAGTGTCTACTTGCATTTAGATGAAGACCCTCGATTAGACGCGTGCCTTATCCATTTATGTGCACTGACGGGACAAGGGACATGGGTAAGCAGGAGCGAGCTTAAGCGACCAAGACGTGATATCATACGATTCGTTGCTTCATACACGCAAGGTTCGCGTAGTGGGGTCGGGTTTCATGCAGGTTCGCAAAAGTGCGTACGCGCGTCGTCGAGAATAATGCAAATATATTTGTTGCTGCTAAGCAAGCCCTTCGGCACTAATATGCGCCTCACGCATGCAAATCAGCAATTTGTTCCAATCATATTTACCCCGCAAACGCAGCGCGCAAGCCTCCCTGTGGGGAAGCCAGTGTATCAGTGTTCTTTAGCCGGATACCGAAAAACAATATATACTCCGCAGGATTCTCCTCACACAGCTCACCGTTCGTAGGCATGTCAGCTCTGGATACCTTACCGGAAAAATCTATCGACCAGCAGGGGTCCTTTAAACGCAGCCAAAATGAAGTATTATTTCAGACCCGGGAGGCAGTGTTGACAGAAGCTGGCGAAGACGGCGCTGATGCGGAAGTCGAGGTACGACTCAACAATCCCCTGCTAGGCTTGACGGCAGAGCAAATCGAGTATGACGTGCAAGAGTTTGTCTCGACCAAGGGGCTGGAAGAGTACCACGACATCTTCCGCAAGGGTGCATTTTGTGCACAGGCTCAGGCCTCGGGCGATTACGACTCGATTGCGATTCTCACAGAGGACGATCGCCAAGTCTTGGCTTCTGAAAAGGAGCACAAATGGCGCCAGCCCTTTATGCTATACTGGCTAGCCATTTGTTGCAGTGTTGCTGCTGCCATTCAGGGTGCAGACGAGTCTGTAATCAATGGAGCCCTTCTATTTTTCCCAAAGCAATTTGGACTGTACACGGACTATTGTGACTACTTTCGGGCTGGACCTAATGGTGTATGCAATGGGCCGCTGCTTCCAGAGTTTGCGCAGAAGGGATGGACATATGATGATGTGACGCAAGAGATTAGCAAAAATAATTGGCTGATTGGACTTGTGTCGTCTGCTCCGTATATTTGCTGTGCCTTTCTTGGGTGCTGGCTCACGCAGCCCATGAATGCTCTCTTTGGCCGTCGTGGGACTATTTTCATTGCTGCATTTTTAAGTTTTGCTACGTGTATTTGGCAGGCTGTGACGAACAATTGGTGGCATATGTTTATCTCTCGATTTTTCCTTGGACTTGGTATTGGTCCCAAGTCTGCGACTGTCCCAGTATACGCTGCCGAGTGCTCGCCTCCTTTGATCCGTGGTGCATTGGTTATGCAATGGCAAACATGGACTGCGTTCGGCATTATGCTTGGTAATGCGGCTGGTCTCGCCTTATTCCGTGTATCGGATGTGCCTAATATTACTGGACTTAATTGGCGCCTAATGATGGGAAGTGCAGCAATCCCCGCACTCTTCGTTATGGCACAGGTATATATCTGTCCCGAATCACCGCGCTGGCTTATGAAGAAGGGAAAATACCCGCAGGCGATGCGATCTTTTCTTCGTATTCGGTCAAATCCTCTCTTGGCTGCTCGTGATATGTATTTTGCCCACTGTCTCATTGAGGAGGAACGAAGGGTTGAGTCTGTCAAAAGTCGGGTTGGGTTTGTCCAGCTTTTCACGGTTCCTCGCAATCTTCGCGCCACCTTGGCATCTTGCATTGTCATGTTTGGCCAACAATTTTGTGGTATCAATGTGATTGCGTATTACTCTAGCTCTATTATCAAAGAGGTCGGGGGTGCGTCCGATCTAGACTCGCTTCTTGGCAGCTGGGGATTTGGCATGCTCAACTTTCTTTTTGCCATTCCCGCTTGGTACACGATTGATACATTTGGACGTCGTAACTTGCTTTTGTTCACCCTTCCTTTTATGGCTATATTCCTCCTTATTACAGGCTTTGCCTTTTGGATCGATCCGTCGAAAACAGATGCCCGTTTGGGTGTTGTGCTAATGGGTATTTACGTCTACAGCATGTTCTATTCACCCGGATTTGGCCCTGTACCTCTTACCTATGGTGCCGAAGTTTTCCCCATTCGTGTGCGTGAAATTGGCATGTCGTTCTCTACTGCCGTGCTCTGGTTCTTCAATGTAATTCTTGGCATCACATGGTTCCGTATGAAGCAAGCTTTCAAGCCACAGGGTGCCTTTGGCTGGTATGCCGCATGGTGTGCAATCCTCTGGGTTCTCGTGTTTTTATTCCTCCCTGAAACCAAGGCTCTTACTCTGGAGGAACTTGATATTGTGTTTAATGTGCCCACCACGAAACATGCCTCCTACCAACTTCATCAAATTCCATACTTTATCAAGCGCTTTATTTTCCGACAGCATGTGCAAAAGGAGCGTCTTGTCACACTGGATGACAGCCTGCGTAAATCATAGCCGTGTCCCAGTGCGCACAAAATGCGTTAATGTTAGAATAGATGGTAACTTGCACATTGGTTCAGTGTGAGCTGAGTTTACGGAAAATGTGTTATTCTATCAACGTATCGCTTTTATTTGCCGAGATCTTTCGACATGCACGTAGGCATTGAGCTGACACTTGGTTGATAGCATTGTTGCCAGGGGAAAGAGAAAGGGTGTCTATGACTTGCATTTCGTGACTACTATGTATAGTGTGTTTTCTTCCAATGACCACGCAATCTTTGCCTCCAAGGCTAGACTCTAGTGCCTCTATGGCTATTTTGGGCGACAGAGTCCGATCGCCACCTTACTATCACTGAATTTTAAGCGTAATAATCCCTTACTAGGCGAGTGTGGAGGAATGACACAATATAGCACAATCGCACCTTCGTTGTTGTAACCCACAGAGCACGCAACGTATCGTCTCGTCCCAATCATATTTTATTCTTTTGTTGCGTGCCACTTGTCTTCAAGCAAGAAACATTAGTATGCTTATTTCTAGAGCTAAGGGGGGATATAAGGGATGACCATTGACGTGTTGATGCCCGTGCTATTCTCAGGCGATGCCCTCATTAGATTCCCCGCTGGAGAAACCATTTTACCAACTGGACTCCTACACACTTACAAAGGATGAAAATCCACATTACTCAGTGTTGAAAGAGACTGGGAAAATTGACGGGGGTGAAGATTCTGAGGTGCGACTCAACAATCCCCTGCTAGGCTTGACGGCAGAGCAAATCGAGTATGACGTGCAAGAGTTTGTCTCTACCAAGGGGCTGGATGAGTACCATGACATCTTCCGCAAGGGTGCATTTTGTGCACAGGCTCAGGCCTCGGGCGATTACGACTCGATTGCGATTCTCACAGAGGACGATCGCCAAGTCTTGGCTTCTGAAAAAGAGCACAAATGGCGCCAGCCCTTTATGCTATACTGGCTAGCCATTTGTTGCAGTGTTGCTGCTGCCATTCAGGGTGCAGACGAGTCTGTAATCAATGGAGCCCTTCTATTTTTCCCAAAGCAATTTGGACTGTACACGGACTATTGTGACTACTTTTGGGCTGGACCTAATGGTGTATGCAATGGGCCGCTGCTTCCAGAGTTTGCGCAGAAGGGATGGACATATGATGATGTGACGCAAGAGATTAGCAAAAATAATTGGCTGATTGGACTTGTGTCGTCTGCTCCGTATATTTGCTGTGCCTTTCTTGGGTGCTGGCTCACGCAGCCCATGAATGCTCTCTTTGGCCGTCGTGGGACTATTTTCATTGCTGCATTTTTAAGTTTTGCTACGTGTATTTGGCAGGCTGTGACGAACAATTGGTGGCATATGTTTATCTCTCGATTTTTCCTTGGACTTGGTATTGGTCCCAAGTCTGCGACTGTCCCAGTATATACTGCCGAGTGTTCATCCCCTTTGATCCGTGGTGCACTGGTTATGCAATACCAGACATGGACTGCATTTGGCTTTATGCTTGGTAATGCAGCTGGCCTGGCGCTCTATCGCGTTACAGACACGTCGAACATCACTGGACTAAACTGGCGCCTGATGATGGGAAGTGCAGCAATTCCTGCCATATTTGTTATGGCGCAAGTATACTTTTGCCCCGAATCGCCGCGCTGGCTTATGAAGAAGGGAAAATACCCACAGGCGATGCGATCTTTCCTTCGTATTCGGTCAAATCCTCTCTTGGCTGCTCGTGATATGTATTTTGCTCATCGTCTAATTGAGGAGGAGCGAAGATTCGAAGCCAGGCAAACTCGAATTGGTTTACTCCAGCTTTTCGTAATTCCCCGCAACCTTCGAGCGACTTGGGCCTCGTGTATTGTTATGTTTGGTCAACAGTTCTGTGGTGTCAATGTAATAGCTTATTTTTCAAGCTCAATTATCAAAAATGTTGGCGGTGCCTCAGACCTCGACTCACTTCTTGGCAGCTGGGCCTTTGGTATGATTTGTTTCCTCTCAGCCATACCAGCCTGGTATACAATTGACACATTTGGCCGTCGCAACTTGCTTCTTTTTACTATTCCTTTTCTAGCTCTCTTCCTACTTGTTACTGGATTTGCTTTCTGGATCGATGCGTCAAAGAGAAATGCACGTTTGGGCGTTGTTTTGTTGGGAATATTTGCGTATGGGTCATTTTATGGACCTGGATTCGGTCCAGTTCCTTTGACATATGGTGCTGAAGTATTTCCTATTCATATACGTGAAATTGGGATGGGGCTCTCGACTGATGTATTTTGGTTTTTTAACGCCATTCTTGGTATCACTTGGTTTCGCTTAGAGCAAGCTTTCAAGCCACAAGGTGCCTTTGGCTGGTATGCCGCATGGTGTGCGGTCCTCTGGGTTCTCGTGTTTTTATTCCTCCCTGAAACCAAGGCTCTTACTCTGGAGGAACTTGATATTGTGTTTAAAGTGCCCACCACGAAGCATGCCACCCACCAACTTCATCAAATTCCATACTTTATCAAGCGCTTTATTTTCCGACAGTATGTGCAGAAGGAGGGACTTCACACACTAGATGATGCCAATGCGTAAAGGCTTGAAGCATGATTTGCCTCTTTGCATCCGTCAACATATTGTGTCTACTCTCAACTATAAGTCTGAGAATTGTTGATCACAGGTACTTTCTCCTTAAAACAAGACCAATGGCAATTATTGGAATAAAGGCGCGAATTAAAGTAAGCATAATACTTCTCAGAAATCTTTAACGAATATAAAGTCGAGCGACCGAACAGATGCAAACATTGGATAGTCCTGGTGTGAGACGTTTGCCACATAGTTTACTTCAAATCCGGACGGGAGGCCGCCATTCATTCCTGCAACACTAAGAATAAAATGAGCCCCACGGTCCAAGTGGTTCGCTCCTTGATAGAAGGCTTGACAATGTGAATCTCCTGCTCCGTTGTCCATCAAACCAAGGGCAATTTGAATAGTGCGTACACGGAATGACTTACCAGGTCATCGGAACTTATACCCTGATTATACCCTGATCGGTCAGTCTCGTTTAGACCGTAGGGCCAAGAGTTCATCAAGTCAGGGCAGTTCGGCCAGTAGGTCGGGCGCTTATCGGTGAGCCACGTCCAAGAGCCCGGGTTACCAATCCACCACAACAACGAGTCGTCCTGGTTGTCGTTATACTTGCGGATCACTGAGTACCGCTGAACAGCCTGGGCTCCCAGCGAGTGGCCGGCGATCACCACCTTGTCAATGTTAGGGAACTTGCTCTTGTCCAGTAGCATATCCACCATTTTGTCCAACGCCGTAAAGTACGATACAGGATTCTTCAAGCTTGGCGAGATTGTGTGTCCACCTGCCGACCAAAATGAGCTTTTATACACGGCCCAGTTGTCGTTCGTCACGGCACCTGCCTCCTTATCTTCTTGGATCAGAGCAAGAGGCGACACAATAATCACGTCTTTTTTCTTCATGCCATACTTCTTGTTAGTGTACACATAGCGGAAAGCGTTCTGCATCAACGTTGTCCATTTCCATGCGTCGCGGGGCATGCCCGGGATAACGACAATCGCTCGCTTGACATCGTCAGCGTTGTAGTCCTCGGTAATGTAGTACGGCTGCACCGCGTCACCGCTGAGATGAAGGTCATCTTTCAGGACAAAGCCGTTTGTCGACTTCGGCACATGCTTGAGAGCACCACGCGAGTCGCGACTGGAGCCAGCCGGCTGCGTGAAAGGGAAGGTGCCATCGTCGAACCAGGGCACCTGGTGGTGTGAGGCCCTGTCACCAGGATGAACAACACCATACTCGTGCTTTGCAAAGGACACGTAGCCCGGTTGTCCAAGATTAGGCATCCCGACCACACTCTGAGTGGCTTCAAGAGGATCGTGGACGGCCTGCCTCTCGATCTTTTCTTGGCGGCTTACGCCATATTGCCTTGGAAAAATATAGAGTTTTGTAGCATTAACTCTTCCTAAAGTAGCCAAAAAAGCAACGATAATACAAATTCTTAGCATATGGCGAGCATGTAACTGCCCTGTCTCGACTCTTTATGTATTCCAATTCATGTCAATCCTTAGTTCTTTTATTTTCATGCACATCCGCTAGGGCCTGCTTGCCTAGCGCTAGACCATGATAGGAAGTGATTATTTAGGTCCGAAATAGCTGGACGATGCGGGTTCGCTTGACGTTGTGCCCACACCTAGTCGCAAAGACGAAGATCGCTCTTATTGGCTTGGGTTCAAGTAAGCCCTCCATCCAGAATTCAAGGGCACCGATCTATAGAAACATGGAGAGAAATATGGCTATGAACCAAGTAAAACATTACGACATACTATCACACTCCATCCATGTCATTTTGTCAGTCTTGCTGAAAGGCTCCAGCAAAATCGACATGCGCTTAACATACAACTCTTCAGAACTGGGCCAATTGGCTTTGTATTCAAACTACACGTGAAATTCTCATAAAGATCAACGACTACGTGTAGTACCATTGCTGCGCTTACCAGCAAAGAGCCATTTTGGCTTTGATTCCTGGATCCGACGATCAGATTCACCAGCACGAGCTTCACGATTCCGATCGCGAAGGCTCATTTCATGCAAGCTCCGCGCCTTCATTTCCTGGTCCTTGCCTCGGAGACCTTCCGCTTGCCTGTTGCGTGCAGGGATACGGGCTGCACCAGCACGAGATGTAATGAGTCCACCTTCACGGTTTGTTGAAGCAGTAGTCGAGCTCTTACCACGGGCGAGAGCCGGTGCCTGCTTGGTTGCAGCTGCACGAACCTTTTTGCGTGATGGCACAGAGTCTGTCGCATCCTCGTCGACAGCCATACTTTCATCCGAATTCATGCCATCGAGATTATCATCTTCCATATCCATCTCATCTTCCACACGATTCTTGCGTTTACCCACAAGACCCTTTGCTTTAGCCAGCAGCTCCGCACGCATTTCCACGTTGCTTGGGTCAATACCAGCGGCGCGCATATTTTCAGCCATCTGAGACAGCGTGCGATGCTGAAACTTGCGGGGGATTTGCGCCCGACTCTGGAGCGCCTTCTTGTCCTGTGCTTGGGCTTTTGCCTTAGCTTGACGCTGCTTGATAGCTTCAGCGACTTGGCGAAGCTCCTTGTCTTCCTCGTCTTCTTCTTCGTCGCTCTCATCGTAAAAGCCTTCAGCCTCCAGCTTCTCTTCTTCACGCTCAAGATTCTCCAAGGACTCGACGATGTCGGGATCGATAAAGTCTGCCACATTCTTGCCTTCAAAGATCTCAGGAATTTTATCATATTTCCATTCGTCATTGGCAAGGAGGTAGTTCTTCTTCATGTCAATGTTGTGAACGCCAGCACCTCCTTGTTCATCTTGGATATCGCGCTCCGTCTTACGGCGTGACGGGTCCTCCATATCAAACTTTTTGCGGGTTCCATCGAGAATCGAGTCAGGAATAAAGGGCAACCGTTCAACGTCATCCCGACGCTGCGGCTTTGCCACATGTAGACGATTCAAAATGTTATCACCCTTCGGACCCTTGATCTTGCGCTCGACACGCGTTGCCAGCAGCGTTTCGCAAGCTTGATGTTTAAGATCCATGATACCCTGATCGGTGAATGTACTGATCTCCATCAATTGGACCTTGCCATCGGACTCCTCCACGAGATTGCGGATTTCATTTGCTTTCTCATCGTCTAAATCCTCCAGCCTTGCCACATCAATTTTGTTGATTACCAGGAATGTGGGTTTGTTAGCAAAAAGAGGCTTGATGCTATTAAACAGTTGAATCTGAGCCTCAATGGAATAGCCACATTGCTCAGACAGATCCATGAAATACAGGACGGCTGCTCGCAAATGTGCAAGTGCCGTGATGGCTTGCATTTCAATTGTATTCATTTCTTCTAATGGGTGGTCCAATATACCTGGTGTATCAATTACTTGCCAGCGAAGATACTTGTAATCCATATGACCAACAAAGAGAGACTTTGTAGTGAAGGCATATGGCTGAACGTCCACATCAGCGCGCGTCACCTTGTTCAAAAAACTCGACTTTCCAACATTAGGATAACCACAGACAACCAAAGTTCTTGTGCTAGGGTCAATTGCTGGAAGACGAGAGATATGTTGGCGGACCTGCTCAAGGTAGGCAAGAGGGTCTTTGTTCCGACGCATTATAGTAGCCATTCGACCGAGAGCCGCACGCTTAAGCTGTTTGCAACGGTAAAGACTATCGCCAAACTTGATAAGCCGGACATAATCTTTGGCTACTTGCTCAATAAGATGACGAGCTGTGTTAATTTGACCTAGAGCAAGTTTATAATGGTTCTTGTCGTACAAGACACTGAATCGTTAGTCTGGTGACAATAACATACTTCATAAGCGACGATGTGAAAGGATGAAGATTCTAAAAGTAATTAATGACAAGTAACATACCTCTAGAACAGGAAATTCACTAAGAATCGCCTGTAGTTTTTCAGTGAACGCATCCTTGGTGAACATGACTTTCCGCATGTAAAATGTTCGGATTCTTGTAATTTTGAATCCAGGGTGAATCACCGTAGGTGTCTTGCGTTGTGTTTTGGACAAGACTATGTCCAAGAAATCATTTGCTGTAGGTACCGGCGCGATCGATGCCTTCAATGTGGCCGACATGTTGCCTGCACCGATTGTGGCAAGGTGAGACCTCATCGCAACAAAAATTTCATTCGCCTATTTTACTAATCTATTTGTTTCCTGCAGAAGTGGCCTTTTGATTACCTGGAAAGAAATTTTTCTGGCGGAAGCGCTGCGATTGGCCTGCGCTCGGACTCCAAGCGGCGGTTGGGCGGATTCGCCAGGGGCTGCAAAAAAGACTGGGAGCTGGCGGCATGACCACAGTCTAGTGCGCTACTTGGCATCGTACGACCTCGGATTGAAGTGCATCTGTGCAAAAGGAGTTGAACTCTGACCTAAAATTTATTCTAGTGATTGATTCAATTAGTCGACGTAAGAGTCGCACCTTGAGATCACTTGTATAGTGGGAGTTCACTGTATCGGTAACGTCCGCGGCGTATAACCATTCCATTGTCGATTTGCGCTGATATCATGCCATCTAGGATCACTGGGTGCCAAGACTTTTTAAAACCATACAATCAGTATTGCATTTCGCAAATTACCTTCTTATCATCTCTGAATCTAAGCTATACTATTTCTAACAATCAAGTCTCTGAGCTGGAGCAGACACCTCAACAACTTTAATTTGAAGTACAAGCGAACTCCAATTTTTCTAAGCTCTTGCGATATTTCACTGGACAGCTTGATATATCTCTGAGTGTTTGTATGCGATGCAGGTTGCTTCAGCGGTTTCCACTCTGAAAGCTAATCCCTCAGACTCGGTCAAAGAGACCGAGGAACTTCCAAATTCTTTGAAACCTATGAATCCTATGGATTATTCTTCAACACATGAGGATGATGACGACGATGTCAGTGATTTGGGCGAGGTTGTTGATGCCAACAGCCGTTCGACGTCTAGTCACGGCGAAATTTCTGATGTGCCGGATACCGATGATTCCGACATGGCAAAGCAAATTGAGGCTGCCGGGGAAGGCGAATCTTTAATTGGTTCAGATGATTCCAGCGATGAATCTCAACTCGCCAAAGAGGAGCAATACATGATTCGGGATGCTGCTTGTCATCGGCAGGATGTTAATCTTTTCGATGACAATAACGTTTGGGATAGCTTGACACCTGCTGGATTATCCCTTGAGCGCCAGGATGTAATTGCTGATGAACTTTTTAAACCCCAACGAGGTTTTGCTTCAAGTCCTGAGCCTTCATTTTCTGACTTTTTTGACTCTTCCGATGAGATGGACGCCCAGCACGGCACTTTGAATGACGACGAGATTCTCACTACTGATGAATCATCAGGGGATTGTGATGATACTAGTTCAACGGTGAGCGACGTGGGGTCTTTATCTGTTCCTCTGATAGCCCATATGGGCCCTTCGCATGAGCCAGATGGTAACAAACATGATTCTAAGCCCGAAGATGTGCCAAGCGATGAAGCAGCATTAAAAACTGCCATCCCTTTGCTTGTTATTGAAGACCTTGATGGACGCCTCATTTATGCCAGGGCAGGAGACGGCGAGGCAGTATTTGGCTCAGATGGTGAGTTTGAGTTTGCTGGTGAGAGTGATGAGGAGAGCTCAGAAAACGATACCTTTCATGGAACTACCAATTCTGCTCACCCATCACACGTTTATCCCCCCAAGGAAGAGGGTGTATTCAATGCTGATAACTCTCTTATGGATGATGGAGATACGACCGACGAACTCCCTGACGAGGACATGCCCTACCCGCGCCTATTAATCGGCTCGATCGCGCCAAAAGGCGGTCGCAATGCACGCAGAGCCCGTGAAATTGCGGCACGTACGCGTTGCTCTTCACGTTTGAGTTCACCTGCACCAAGTGCATCGAATGTCCCTACGGCAATGACGCCCAAGAAACCTAGCTCTCTTTCTAATGTGATTACCATTGATGATGACGATAATGGGCATGAAAATCCATCCGGTCGAGCCTCTGTTGAACATAAAGATAGCCAGTCGGCCGCGACCCATGTGCGTGAAACAAAGGAGCCGACTACTCCGAAGGACAACTATTTGGAGGAATCCAAACCTATGATGGGCCAGTTCATGCCTGCATTCTCTAAATCAGTCCATCGTGCAGTCATTGATGGATCGCATTGTGCGCCGTCACCTTTTAACGCATTGCACAACATGCAACGAGATTTGCGACGAAAGCGCTCACAAACTGCTGTTGAGAGCTCATTCGACCGGACCATAAACCAATCCTCTCAAAAAACCAAACGTAAACGCACGTATCCGCTTTCCATGAAAGCTCAGGATGCTGATTTGGACAATGCCGGCAAACAGTCAGAAACATTGGGTTCTTCTCCGGAACCTCCTGATTCGACCAATGGGGAAATGATGGACGTAAGTGATGTTTTGGATGAGGGTCTTCTTTGGCAAGATTCGACCAGTGACTCCAGTGAAGAGGATGCGTCCGTAAATAAAAATGCTGTTCCGTGGCGCAAGCGCTTATCCTCATCAGGACCACATGATCGTGCATTTGCTAGGTGGAATCGTATTCCGATGGGTGCCTTCCGTACTGCTCAAGAGAAGGGTATCTCAAACGATGTTTCGCCTGTTTCGGATGCCTATATGACTCACCAGCGACCTAGCAGTACGTTTTTGCTGACACAATCGTTTTCTGGTCGCCGAAAGTCAGATCCTTCACGGCCTCTCTCACTATCCACGGTGCCGAAAAAACAGCAAACGACACCGTTTAAGAGGACCATTGCTGCAATGAATGATTTTCAGGATCCCACGTCCCCCCTTCACCTCACATTGGCAGACCCTGCCATTTCGTCTGGATCTACCAAACCCAATATTAACTGTGATGGGCCAAGTTCGTCATCGAGAAAATCGGTACGAGTTGGGGAACACGCAGTGGTCGGTGGTAATTTTTTGGTGTCACCTGTTCTCAGACCTGTGAAACACCGGGGTCATAACACGATAAATCCAAGTGGTGATGAATCGACGAGCCCGCTGGCGGGTTTGGACAGCATGGTTCCATCTGACGCGTCACCTAGCTTGGAATCGCGTGGCCGCAAAGTAACTAAACGCGAAAAGCGTGAAAGGCTTGCTCGTCGCGAGGCTGTAAAACGACAGCAGTCCCGCTCGCTACCTAGCCTTCCATCTCACGAGAACTATTAGATATTTTCGTAGATGTCTACTGGAGAATACAAAGCAAAATCTTTCCCGTTTGTCGAATCTGGATGTCGTGCCGCCGGGGACATGCAATTTATATCGGATATTAATATTCCTACAATGCTCCGTGCGAAACGGTTTTTTATCAGCTAGACGTTGTTCTATTGAGTAGCGGAACCATTGAAACAAGCAAGTATTTTCCGGTCCGGGGAAACTTCAACCTATCCGGGTACCAACATGCTGCAGTATTCAGGTCCACTAGTTTCGCACTGAGGTCATCCGCGTTCGCATAGGCTCGCGAGGACAGGCCGACTGCGCATTATCTTATTGATTTCAAATACTATTCGCTGCTTCGCACCGTGCAGATTCTGCTAATTCCCCCAGTCAGATTGGGTAAGATGACGTTATTATTCAGCAAATAGAGTGGCATGGTCTTGAATAGCTGAATGTGGAGAGACACAGACCTAAGCCAAGGTCCGCAAATGAATGTTTGCTTTGATCCCTTCGCACTTTCAAGGCTGAATGGATTAAAGTCTGGTATCTTTGACAGCTAGCTCAAAGATAGCGCAGATTTTTACCATCCCTCTGTTCTAGAAAGGGCCGCATACCCCGTTTGACGGTGAACTTTTTTTCATTTCTAACATACTTTATATTCTTTGTTGGGTGAGGTTTCCTTACTCTTGATATGCATGCTCACAAATTGGCGAACGTGAACCGTACATCTGAAAGTTTTATACCGAACAATTCGAAGACTCGGATGGAAATTCAAAATGATTCATTAGACAAGTTTCAGCTAGACCAAGCGGTTCAAACCACGCCTGATGGTAGCGCTACGAAGCCAGAAATTGCATGCGGCGAAAAAGCTACTCTTAATTCGATCAGAATTGATGAAAAATGTTCTGGCAATTTTTCGTCAGTTAATCTAGGTACCGGAATCGCTGTCACCGAACAGACGAAGTCAACGAGCAAAGCAAAGGTGAAGAAAAGTAATGGCAGGAAGCCAAGACGATGCATTAATATCGATGGGAAAAAAAGGTACCCTTGCCCGTTCCCTGGCTGCAACAAGACTTTTTCTACGAGTGGTCACTCTTCCCGTCACAGTCGCATCCACACTGGAGAAAAACCTTATCGTTGCACATATCCTAACTGCAATGCACAATTTTCCCGCTATGATAACAGCGTTCAACACTATCGTACTCACATGGTTTCTTTTAAAGGTTCCAAAAAGGGACGTGGTAAATTGAAGGAAAAATTGACTCCAGAAGATACCGACCCTCAGCCGGTGAGGCCAGAGAATATCAAGTCAAAGATGGTTGAGGAGCCTATGAAGTCATTAAAGCGATCAACTGTATCCATGAATACTTCTCCTGAGGCTGATCATTTTATGGGTCAAGGAAAGCTGGCTAAAGTCGAGCAGCTAGACAATTCTGTTAGCGTTCAACCTTCGTCAACCAAAGGTATACAACAGGATCCCAGTATCATGCCAAGAAGTAATACAGTACCTGTCCTCTCTTCGTTAGCACCTGGCTCTTCTCAACAAACATGGCTCAAAACAGCGCACCCTATGCAACGATCAATTGCAAATATACAGTCACTTCCACGAGCTCCTTTTTCTGATTACGGAAATTCGATGACACATGGATGCTCTGTGGCTGCAAGTGAACACCCGACTACGGAAGTTGCTTCAGACAACTTCCAATCTACATGCGTTAATCTTAGAAAGTTGCCAAATACTGGTATCCAAAAACAACCTTCAGATCCATCATCGTACGCATTGAACTCATCAAATTTTTCTTCGATTCCATTTCAGTCACGTATTCCTCATGGATCAAGAATGTCACCTGAGTTATTACTTGCTCGAGAATCGTTTTTGTCACCTGGGCAGCGTATGCCCTCTGATGCGAATGGAGACAGCCAATCTACTCGTCCAACGAATTTTCAGCTCCATAAAAGTGGAAGCATGCCATCCTTGTTATCACTAGAGATGCCTCATTCAGACAGTTCGCATTCACTTTCGAAATATTCTCTCTCATCGAGGAGTCCCACTTTGACAGCGACCTCTCCTTTTAAGGGTCTATCAAATACCTCAAGTGCCAAGCATCTTTAGTTGCTCAAGTCTCTTTTCTGTTATGACCCTCGCATCAATTTGCATTCCTGTGTAACAATCTGCACTAGTTTATTTAATGGCTTTTTTTATCTTTCTATGTATCGGACTGCTCTTTGAAGGATATCATTTTAAGTACGATGAAATCGCAACATTTTTTGGCTTTCTTTGTTTCTTGCTATTTTTTGTTTTGTTTTCTTCGTCCAACATGCTACGGTAGTGCCAAGGGAATTGTATGTGACAGAAAAAGCGCCGTTTAATGGCTTATGTCCTTAGTTTTGATTAAGTAATATTTTGCCAGGCCTTTCTTAAAGGCTAGGTACATGACCATATTGGGCCCTAAACCTACTACCGCTTCCACGTGCCTAGCCCATTCTTATCCTCACATCATCACCATGACTCCAGTTCCAACATTTGGAGAATTTAAGTTGCCCGAGATTAACAATGAACCCATGGTAGGTTATAATCACACTAACTCTAAGCGCAACTATGAACCCAATTCAAAGGACCGGATCGAACTGCAGAAGGCTGTCGATGAAATGCTTGCCCATGGTCCCTACGAGGTCCCTATCATTATTGACGGTCAGGAATTCAAGACTGGCAAACTTAATAAGCAAGTTAATCCCGGTAATCATGCTCATGCATTATGCCACTATCATGAGGCTGACGAAAAGATGGTACAGCTTGCCATCGAAGGTGCTCTCAAGGCGAAGAAGCAATGGGCTAATCTTCCTTGGAGCGAGCGTGCAGCTATCGGTATGAAGGCAGCTGATCTTATCGCTAACAAGTATCGCTACAAACTTCTTGCTGCTACTATGGTTGGTCAAGGTAAGAATGCTTGGCAGGCGGAAATCGATGCCGGTGCTGAGATCTGTGATTTCCTGCGTTTCGGTGTCAAGTACATTGACGACATGTATTCTATTCAGCCACCTCGTAATTCGCCGGCTGTCTGGAACCGTACTGAATATCGTCCCCTAGAAGGTTTTGTACTGGCAGTGTCCCCGTTCAACTTCACTGCCATCGCTGGTAATCTTGTCATGACCCCTGCTCTTGTTGGTAATGTTGTTGTTTGGAAACCTTCTCCTATGGCTATCTATTCTAATTATCTTGTCTACAAGATCCTTGAAGAGGCCGGTGTACCTGCGGGTGTCATTCAGTTCGTACCAGGCCCCGCTGAGCCGATCGTGGGCGCTGCACTGAGTCATCGTGAATTTACAAGTCTACACTTCACTGGGTCCACTTTCGTCTTCAAGTCCCTTTGGAAGCAAATTTCTTCCAACCTTGACCTGTACCGTGGTTACCCCCGCATTGTTGGTGAGACAGGTGGTAAGAACTTCCACTTTGTGCACAAGTCGGCTGACATGGACGTCGTCGTTACTCAGTGTGTGCGTGCTGCCTTTGAATATCAAGGTCAAAAGTGTAGCGCATTGTCGCGCTTGTATGTGCCCAAGTCAATGTGGGAAAATGGCCTGAAGGAGAAATTAATTGAACGTACAAAGTCATTGTCGATGGGGCCTGTGAATGAATTTAAGCATTTTGTCGGTCCGGTTGTCGCAAAGCATTCCTTCGACAAGATTATGGGTCTCATTGATGAGGCAAAGAAGGAGGGAGGAGAAATTCTCGTCGGTGGTAAAGGTGATGATTCGGTTGGATACTATGTGCAGCCTACGATCATTGAGACCAAGGACCCCAAGTCTGTCACAATGGTGAAAGAGATCTTCGGACCTGTTATCACTGTGTTTGCCTACCCCGATGACAAGATCGAAGAGACTTGTGCGCTTGTGGATTCTACGACGGAGTATGCACTCACTGGGTCTATCTTTGCCTCGGATCGTCATGCTTTGATCCACATTAGCAACCTTCTTCGTGATGCATCCGGCATGATGTACTACAACGATAAGTGTACGGGTGCTGTGGTCGGCCAGCAACCATTTGGGGGTGCACGTGCTTCTGGCACCAATGACAAGGCGGGTAGCATGAACATCTTCTTCCGCTTTGTTTCTCCGCGTACAATTAAAGAGTCTATGCTTGACCCACCAACGCACCTTTACCCTTCGAATGAATAGGTTTGTCTATATACGTAGTCAATCATCGGAAGGAGGAGCCATTTCTTGCAAAAATCTTAGGACGCGGATGCGAATTTCTGTTGTTTCGTCTCCTCGGAGGGAATCTGATATAAAAGTACATTCCGTTTGAATTTGAAGCATTTCTAAGGCACCTCGAAGGACTCCCGCAAGCACGTTGGAGTACCAAAGCCCCCCTTGAAGAGCCTCATCAGGAAGCTCTACAAATTCAGCCAATGGATTTTCCATTAATTGCAAGACGAATTCTTTCGGATCGCGGGTTCCAACTGTTCCTGACGCGGTGTTGGCGCCATTTTTTGAATGCTGAGCAGTATTTCCATTCATGACAAGCTCCGACGAGTTCATAGACCCAGAGTTCGTGTTCGCAGTGGAATCTGGGAAAATCACATTTGGCGTTATGTCCAAAAACATTTTGAAACCAACCTTGCTTACCACCTCAGCAGCTTCGCGAATGTTGGTACATCTGGACAAGTTGCTTTTCGCAAGAAAGTCTTCGACTAATCTTGTACCAATATTATAACCCCTAGATGTGAGAAACCCCCTCGCAAACACACATTTTGTCAAGCTGGAGATTGACCTGTTCGAAATCCTCATAGTCCTTGATCAGCTGTACGACCAATGCTCCATAGGTAAGAGTGAAGATTTCGCTATTCTGGATGTTACTTGAAACCTATACTTACAACTTTTTGTGTATTCTGGCGCCATATATCTTCACCTAAAGTTTTATATTGCCGTGTGGTTGACATGGCAACTGTTAGTGAACAGGAGATTACGACCTAGTGGATTAGCCACGCGATGTGTACGTAAGCAAGTGCCGTCGATTTTGGGGTAAACAGAATGTGCGGAGGTTGCAGCCGCGTGAGAGTTGTAACAAAGGATTGTATGTTTCAAAAGCTGTGACGAGTCCTTGTATACAATATATCCGTCACGTAGCGCCACCAAAGGTCCATTATTGCATATTTCGAAGAGTGTATGATTTATCGTAAGAGCATAACGCGACATGCTAGAATGATCCCACTGCCAAAGGCATGAATCAAAGCAATAGCAATCGACCTTGAGACCTAGTTTGCTAGTCGGATCTAAGCACTTGGTTTAGGTCTGGACGTGTGAGACCTACGGAGGACTTTGCGTTAGACCCTCCACCAACAACCCTTTACTTTTTCACCTACGACTAGACTACCAAATTGCGAATGTGGAGGGATACCACGCACGGGCGTAATTTGTGCAGACTCTACTAGAGAAAGAAACATCTACGTGGGATGTCAAGGGATCGTCGCCCTGTTTCGATCTTACCATCGTATCTGAGGCTGGTCCTCACAAATCCTGCTTGGCTGTTCCCATACAATTGCTGCGCTTGTATACACGAGACAGCACCCACCTAGTGGTTACATTCATCTATGTATCTCCATCGAGTAACCCCACGAGCTCTGTTAGCAGCTCAGATTATACTATGGAATGCACTCACACAACTCTGTGCCACTTCAGCGGCAGTTACTGTGAATGTACAGCTTGCCGATCAGTTGCCACCCCTGGCACATGTCAAGCAGCATTACGATTGGAAATTTCTAGCTGAGACATTCACATCTTCCTCCGGGGGAGATTTGTCCTACTCAATCCAAGGCCTTCCTGATTGGGCGACCTTTGATGAGCGGCAGTTACGGATAACAGGTGACCCTACCAAATCAATACGTGGCGATGAAAGTCATGAAGTGCAAGTGACTGCGAAAGATGGCTCTGACGAAGCGAGTTCTTCCTTCCAGCTCATCACAATTTCAGCACCGGCTCCCAGTCTGAAAACATCCTTAAAAGATCAGCTTCCTGAAGCTGCTTCTATGGGGTTAGGTAATATGCTACCCAATAAAGTTTTGCATATGCCATTAGGATGGTCTTTCAGTGTGGGATTTGATGGTGATACTTTTGTATTGCCAGAGGATGACCGTGTGTATTATTCAACGTATCTCGAAGGCGCTAGGCCCTTACCGGAGTGGCTTGTTTTCAATGAAGAAGAAATGACATATTCCGGCATTGCTCCCACGGATGCGGGGCCAAATGGAACCATGTTCAACATTGTTCTGTTCGCGTCGAACCGTCGCAATAGTGGCGGTCCATCATCTTCTTTTCAAATATTTTTGGGGAATGGGATCATTACCTTGAATAATACGGCCGCTGCTCTGCCTGTCGCCAATGTGACAGAAGGGGACACGCTGCAGTACCACATTCCTCCAGAGTTATTTTTGCTGGATGGATTCTCACAGAAGCAAAAGCAATTCTCCTTTGCACTTGGAGATGGAGCACCGTCGTGGGTGTCCTTTGACCCAGCTTCCAATAATCTGACAGGGAAAGCACCTTTCAATGCTAAAAACAAGGATATTCAAAATTCGACTTTCCCGCTTCTAATATCGTACCCGAATGCACGAAATACTAGCGTGAATCTTACATTGAGTGTTTATCCTTCTCCATTCACCCAAGTTAATTTACCTAACGTGACGGTTCAATCAGGCAAAGACTTCAAGATTTCGATGAACAGTTATCTTCGCGATGACAGTGTCCCCCTCAATGTCTCATTCGGGAATTTGCTTCAGCGACGTTCGCTTCGATTTATGGACACAGGACCTCACCATCGCATTCTTCGCCGAGCTATGCCTGACTGGGTACATTATGAGTCCTCGTCACACTCTTTGGTGGGAACAGCACCCCCAAATCCCCAACAAGTATCAGTAAACCTTATCGCGGCAAATCCCGTACCTCAGACCTCGATTCCCAATATTTCAAGATCGTTTGAGCTTATTGTGAAAAATTCAACAAAGACCAATACAACTCAAAGCTCAGGCTCGGGCGGTTTGACGGGGGCTGACAAGGGTGCTATTGCTGGTTCTATCTTGGGTGCGGCTTTCTTAGCCCTTCTGGCGTCATTGCTATTTTGCTGTCTCAAGCGTCACAGGTCATCAAATCAGACGCAAGCTATGTCTGATGTGGAAAACCAGGGCGAAGATGTTACTTCACTGGAGAACAAGCCGTTGGATTCCACAGAAGGCGTTCAACCCTCCACAAATACGCCAACCTTCGACGGTGCGACTGGTGCGGGTCTGGCCGGCGTTGGTGCAGCAGGTGATGCGGTCTCAGGCCGGACGACTGACCTCTCAGGACAGGCCGCCACGGGTACCTTCAAGAAAGCCGCCGCTTCTGCAAATAACTCTGCGGCAGCATCGTCCAGTAAACAGCCATACCAAAGCGAAAGGAAAGATGATGCGGCTAATTTGAACGACAAGGCTGCAAGTCAAGATGGCGTCACACAAATCTTGCCTGTGGATGAGCCAGAATGGCGGCGCGATAATGACCAGGTTGTTTTGACGCCCTTCCTATCACAATCGGCATGGCAACCTCCTCTATGGACGCAAATGACTTCTTCGATGCAAGAGGGTAGGGGAAATGCTCGTCCAGGTGCAGGGAGTCCATTTGCGACTTTCTCGACGATGTCCCCCCATTCAGAAGATGCACACTATACCATGGCGCATGACCATGTGGATGAACCACAAGCTTCCAAGAATGTGACCGAGGCACCTTTTAAACCATCGTCTGACATTAAGGCTTTAATCAAAGCGCCCGTATCCCAGACGAGTGAGGAATCGAAACCGCGTCATACTACGGTGCCACCGGAAACCGAGACCCTAGCGTCGTCACTACAACCCCGCTCAACCGTGCATCGCACTGCGAAGAGTGTTCCACCGACTACGGTTACTGAGGCAGAGCCTGAGGAAAAGGTCACGGAGTTCTCAAAATGGAAGGATGTACCTAAAAATCCTACACCAGCCGAGCCTCCGGTGATTGCAGGTGAGACTTCACGTTCCCGAGATGCGAGCCTTCCCAAGCCTGCATCGTTCCTTGCTGGTTTTGTGGATCGCTCGCGCACATCGTATGGCCCTCATAAAATGTCCGAAATGTCCAAGCCTGCGCTTAATGGACCTATCGGAGAGAAGCTAAATCGTCCTGAACAGAAGGATAATGACGGAGGTGATACAGCTGACCTTCCTGCATCAGTCAGCAAGAGCTCCAAGGCAAGTTGGGAAGATAACCTGTGGTACGAGCCTGTATCGAAACAGGATGGCACTTCCGTACCCCCACAAGGATTCCATGAGAATGAGCCAAAATTGCAGCAGCGTATTCCAACAGATCGCGCTACCTTTCTATCAGCATTTTCCATGTCCAAAAATGCAGCTTCTCGCCCAAATTCGCTTGGATCCGACATGCGTGCAGAAACTCCCTTGGGCGATAGTATGTGGTCGGTCCAACTCAATGAGGATCAAGAAATGCCTAGTCGGACAGCCATGCCGTCAATCATCTCTAAGACGAGCGCAAGGGTAGATGAACCCAAGCTTCAGACGGGAAATGATGTGACTCTGGACAGTGCGCCTCAGTTGGACCCTATCGCTGCAAACACTGATACTTCTCCCTTGGTACCAGGTATCGGAGACCCACCTACTATTTCGACACGCGTCGAACCTGGCTTAATGTCGCCCATGAATGAGTTTGTGGCCCCACCTACACAGCCTATGGATGTGAAGCGCACTCGAAAAGTCGCATCCTATACACCCAAACTAGAGAGTGTACCTGCGCTTCAGAAATCAAGCAGTATTCATGTGGAGCCCAAGAGCTACCACGATATGTTTGAGGATGCCGAAGAACCAGTGGTTGACCCTTTTGCCGGTGAAGAATACCCTTACGGTACTGTATTGTACCAGCAGCATCATCAAGATGCTGTCACCGGTGATGTCAAAGAGTCTGATATGGAGACTCTGGAAGACTTTCGCACAACAGAAGGAGGGCTAGCTACTGTTATGCATCTCACGGAGGAAAGTGATGGCCGGAGCCAAGCGCCAGCTCTTTTGCCTCGGTCTGGAACCATGGCCTCGATCCAACTGGCTGAAGCGAGATCTGTTAATTTCACAACGGCTAAGCCACCTCGTCTGCAGCTGGCAAGCTGCCATCCCGGCCAAGTTATATCATTACCGCTCATGACTTCCGATGCATCGCTTCCGCGCCACTTAGCTGAAGCTATTGAGAATGCTAGCATGCCTGCAAGGTATACACCACAACTCTATGCTCCATCTCGACCAGATCTTCACCAGCAGTGGCCAGGATGGCTCCATTGGCTGGTCTGGGACTCGGAGAATCATGAGTTAGCTGGTCTTGTTCCCCCAAATTTCGCTGAGTCACATCGACTTCCGATGCAACTTCCAATACATATTCTGTTGGAAAACAGCGAACAGATCTTCAGTGAAGACTCGGGGCATACAAAGCATGGAGAAAATCCGATGCCCCCATTGTTGGCACGGATTCTGTTGACGATTTTGCCTGCTGTGCCATCGGCAGAGAATCAGGTGTAGACCCCCCGGTTTTGGTTTCTCCACAATTTTGCTAATTTCTTGTAGTTTAATTATTCGATCGGTATCTCACTTTTGCAAGTTACTGTCACCTCATGGAGCATTGGCACACCGAAAACATGTGAGCATGCACCAGAAGTGCATCTAGACAATGCAGAATTCTTCATGCTCCGGCATATACCCCATGAGAGTCATACACGTCAAGGATATACATATTCTATAATACATTTACGGATCCATATCCCTTCCAGGTGACGCGTGATCAGATAAAGATTTAGTAGAAAGCCAGGTCTCAAGGATTAATTGGAGACGCACTTCTGCTGAGCGCTGTATCTCATCACCTCCTCTCGATCCCAATTTGGAGTGAAGTCCTTCTTCCAATAATAAGGTCCACATCTTGGCTGCCTGTCTTTTGTACCGAGTCAAGGCAGAGGGCCCTGCCACTTCCAAGAAAGTACACCAGAGCGATATCACAATTGCTTGCTGAGAGACAGGCAATGTCATTGACCGCACTTGCCATATCCACATACGCACGGGGCGGAGCAGTTCGGGTACGCTTTGCGCAGCCTGTTCCAGTGACATTGTAGAGGGCAAGCCACAGCACGAAGCCACCGAGTCCAACGGCGTTTGCAAACACGCAAAATAAAGCGCTGAAATACCAACCATACGTGAAACATAAGATTGAAATGTTTCTCCTTCCAGTTTGAATCCCAAGCACTTCATATGCTCGTCTTCCCCCATCATTCCACGTTCGGGCACGTAGGCCAAAATCCATGGGCATTTTTTCACTAGTCGGGCAATAAATACCTTACCAAGTTCTGCATGACCACGGAGAAGAATACCCAAGACAAGCCGAGCTAGAGGAAAGGCAGTTTCTTGACGAGCTGCCACTTCTTGCTCAGCCTGGCGAATCAGACATTTGGACAAGTGGTTCAACATCCATAGATGTAACCGATTTGCGGCATCCTTATCAGGCACGTCTCGAGCTTGTTGTAGCACATCTGCAATAGCGAGTGTAATGCGGGAAATCTCTGCTTTCGAATTGGTGAGCTGGCCCACTTTGGGTGTGATGGCACGTTTGGCTGCGAAACACTGCTTTTTCCAGTCTGCATTCCTAGCAATGCTAGGTAGAACCTCTTCTTTAATGTGAGTCATGTAAGAGCGCCAGTATTCATATTCTCTTTTAGCAATGGGCCATAGGTGCTGACCACCTCGGAATGCATTGTCGGAAAGTTCCTTTTGTTGTTGCTGCTCGTATTCTTGCTTCCGAGCCTCTTCTTCATGTTTTCTATTTTCAGCTGCTTTATTCTCTTCCTCGATACGCTTAAGCTCAGCTTCACGAGCAATCTTGGCTTGCCTTTCAGCTTCTTCTTGACGTCGTCTTGCATTAGCAAGCTGCTCGGCTTCCTCAGCGGCACGCTGCTCGGCATCACGGATAGCCCTGTCAATGCCCTCCCAGAGGCTGGCATTCCGCTGCTCAAAAGCTTCGCGTTCTTTCTTTTGCACAGACAATTGATGCAATTGAAATCGCGAAAGAAGCTCTTGTATCTCATCGACGCTGGATTCTGCTGCAGGGGTTGCTGCAGTGGTTGTCGTTTCGGCCTTTCCACGGTGCTGCACAGCATGCCACGCACGTCGGCGACACATCTGCTCCCATTTATCCCACGGATCAAGCTCGTTGGCAAGTCGAATTTCTACAACATCGCGTCGACTTGGGCGCTGCATATCCTCTTCTGCATCACTTTCACTAGACTCATCGGTATAAATAGTATTCCATGAAATATGGCCAGTGTGCATACGTTCCCCCGCGTCAATATCGCTCTCATCAGAAGATATGTCGTAACAGTAACGTCCACTAGGTTGGGGCTGCTTCACTCTTGCTAGCCTAGATTGGAGAGTGGCATTGCCGGGTGGCATGCTTGACCCGTTGACGTGGTGGAGACAGACGTGGCACCCGATCTAATCGGGTTGTCAAGGAAGCGTTTATGCATGGTGGCCTCGATGCTTGCGGGCTATGAATGCCTTCAGTTAGCCAAGTCGACACATGTAGCTCTTCCTTTGGCACTCGCGTACCACTGCGGCCAAGCATTCCGATGGAGACAAGTTCATGTCTGTCCCGATCCACATGGTCCCTCTTACGTCGAATGGTCATTGTGCATTCATAATCGCGTCGTCTTTCTCGTGCATGATGTGGACGAGCACTGCCTATATTATCGCACAGTTCAAGCAAGTGGCTCTATGAAGAGCCATGATACAGGAGCATGGTTATGGGACTATTTAAATTTGAGAGCGCCCACGTCAACGTGGTACCAAGAATGGTGTCAGCGCGATCCCATTTTTGCTAAACATGCTAAACGTTTTGCAGGTGTGAGCATTTTGCGTCAGGATCCTTGGGAATGCATGTGTGCGTATGTATCAAGGCACTTACTTGCAGCTTTATATGCAGCTCCAACAACAACATCCCGCGAATCAGTCAAATGGTGCATAAGCTGTGTGATCATTTCACGGAGCCAGTACTGCATCATACATATCCGCCAGGCTCCCATCTCTGTACCTCCATGAGTCCTGAAAAGAATGGACTTCAGATCGAAAGCACGGAGCCACTCCATCTAACGTACCATCCATTCCCAACGCCTTCGCAGCTGGCTGCACCCGGCGTCGAGCAGAAACTACGTAATCTAGGTTTTGGATACAGGGCCAAGTATCTGACTGGAACAGCTCAGGCACTTTGTGCACTTGCCAAGGAGTCTCTGGCGGCCGACGATACAAAGCACGCGCACATTGATCAAGCAGTGAATGACTATTTACTATCTCTTCGAACTAAATCCTATTCGGACGCCAGGGAGGCATTAGTTCAGCTACCTGGTATTGGACCCAAAGTGGCAGAGTATGTTCGTCCATGCTGATTTCTAGCTGTATCTTGCTCATGTCTCTGGACCAACATTCCAGTATACCTGTGGATCGACATGTTTTTCAATTTGCAGAGCGGTGGTATCATATCCGCTCAAAAAAATACGAAGTCATTGCCGACCGGCTCAGGGAACTCTGGGGAGAACGAGCTGGATGGGCGCACACGGTGCTTTTCTACGCGGATTTACCTTCTTTTGATCATTATCATGGCTCTATTGAGAACAATTTATCGAAAGAAAACATCCTTTGTGAAGATCCAAAGCCTCAGAAACGCGCGCGTCCGTCTTTGATCAGTGATGAAGATACAACTTCCGCTGCCACCAAGCAGGCTAGGAGTCGTACGTAGATCTAGGCACGTGTTTCTCCACACAACACCGTCTCGACAAGCGACCTGCACGACTCTGCTCCGCATGGAGTCCATGCGTCAACGCCTGCTCGCGCAGCAGCTTGGTCTCTCGAGTCCACAACAAAAGCAAAGAGAGGAGCCAGAAATTAAGCCATCTACTCCAAAGAAGGGTCAAAATATACCGCAAATACAACCCTGGCGCTCTGAGCCTCGCGTCAAAGTCATGCCGTTCTCACCTACACCTGTTACACCTGACCGGAGTCAGCGTCCCCGGGGCGCATTGGTAGGTACTCCTACATCAGCGGCATTGTCTCGGCGCGGATTTCCTATGTCCCCTGATGTGCCACGAACACCTACATACTCGAATAAATACTACACTAACGCTGCCGGGAATTCTACCCCTTTGGAGTCCAGCTCTGTATCTGCTTCTGAACGCGATAAGCAAATTCAATCCATGCTCTCTGGTATGGTAACTGTCATGAATGAGGTGGACCTGTCAAAATCCCGCGTCCCAGGAATGCAGTGCACATTATTACCCCATCAGATACAAGGCGTGGATTGGATGCGTCGAAGGGAACATGGCGCTTCTAAGGGCGGAATATTAGCAGATGATATGGGCCTCGGAAAAACTGTTCAAATGATTGCACTGATGCTTTATCACCGGCATCTCGACGATTTGCTAGGCGAATCCGACGATGAAAATGGGGAGAATGCCAAATCAATACCTAGCGATGATTTCTTGCAACAGTGCCAAAAACAAGTCTTTGCGTCGGGAACCTGCACGACATTGATTATTGCGCCCCTGGCTGTTATTGAGCAATGGAATCAAGAGTGCTTGGACAAAACAGGTCGTCGATTAAAGGTCTTGGTTCATCATGGGACCCAACGGGCTAAGCGCGTCGAAGATTTAATGAAGGTCGATATTGTTATTACGACATATGCCACAGCGGCCATGGAGCACGATTCTTTTCTTGAAGCGACAGGTGCGCTGCCTCCAAAGCCTTCGGCCCAAAAGAAAAAAGGACCCAAAGCAGTTAAGGGTCAAGACTCTGACTCTGGATACAGCGATTCTGATGACTCAGAAGCGTTGATTGCAAACTTAAAAAGCAGTAAGATTAAATCTTCTCAGAAATCAAGGCCCCACCCTCTTTATGAAATGAAATGGCTCCGAGTTGTCCTTGATGAAGCACAGAATATTAAAAATTACCGCGCTAAATCTTCCCTCGCTTGCTTTCAGCTATCTCTTCAGGCCGCCTCGCGCTGGTGCATAAGTGGCACGCCGCTTCAAAACAACGCACTCGAAATTTTTAGTCTTATTCATTTTCTGAGGATTTCTCCTTTCGATGATCTAAAACATTTTCAGGAGAAGATCAGTGAGCCATTGAAAAGCGCAAAGCAATCTCGAATCGATCTTGGTCTTCGCCGTCTCAGTGTAGTGCTTCAATCGATCATGCTTCGACGTACCAAAGATGCAGAATACAAAGGGAAAAGACTCCTCGATCTTCCTCCTCGATCAGTGGAAATATTGTCGCGAGATTTCGAGTCGTGCCAGGAGCGTGACTTTTATCGTGAACTGGAACATCGCGTGCAGGCACATTTCAAGGGAAATAAGGATTCTCAAATTAGCTATATGGGTGTTTTGTTGATGTTGTTACGTCTCAGACAAGCTTGCAATCACCCTGTCCTTGTGACTGGCCGAAATATCGTGTCTTCTCAGAATGAGCCAACATCTTCCTCTACATCTAACGCGCAAGACGATGACGAAGAGCTTGCCGCTTTGCTTTCAGGGCTTTCAGTAAAGGCTAGGCACTGTGAAAGATGCAAAGTTCCTCTTGATTCATCACAGAATGGGACAGATTCACCATCTGTTTGTCCTGGATGCGCTGCTCAGCGAGATAGAGAAATACGCTCTGGCTCGACTTGGGATACGCCTGGTACAATGTCCACCAAGCTGCGCATGATTGTGGATCTCCTCCATATATTTGAGAAGGAGTCTCGAGGAGATAAGACAATCATATTCAGTCAATTCACGTCCTTCCTTGATGTGATTGAGCCTGTCCTGCATACACATGGCTTTGATTATGTACGTTATGACGGCTCTATGCGCCAAAATGTACGTCAAGAAGCCTTGAATCGTATTCGCTCGGATGATGGGACAAAAATCATATTGATTTCCTTCAAGGCTGGAAGCACTGGCTTGAATCTCACTTGCTGCAACCGTGTCATTTTATGTGATCTTTGGTGGAACCCACAAATTGAGGAACAAGCCTTTGACCGTGCCCATCGGTACGTATACAGAACTCACATTAGCCTCGGCCAATCTAAACATGTGTACATTTACAAACTATCGATTACAGGAACTGTCGAACAACGAATCCTTGTGCTTCAGGTGTGTCTGACCCAGAAAGACTTACATCAGGAGAAAAAACGCGAATTGGCGCGAGCTGCCCTGGATGGTAAAACGTACGTAATGTCTAAGCTAACCACAGAAACCCTAAAAGTATGTTCTTTCGGCTAACCAGACTCAAACACTCTCAATCAACAGGATCTGCGTTTCTTGTTCCAAGGCGATATACCGTAGCACCAGTGGAGTCACTCGACGTCGTATTGGCACGTGCACGGCTCTAAATTCGGCCTATAGCTACGATAAGTTTTCTCCATATCCGTTGATGAGACAGTCATCCCACCCATCGGGGGCGTATGACACCCTCTCTTCCGTTGATGGGAAAGACAAAGTCTCGTGTTCCATGCATTCTTATGAGGCACCGTTTCGATCACCACTGATTCATAAACACGTATCAAAGTGGCCAGATATTTTCTACTTATTTTCGTTCGCAGAGCCATTGCCCGCACCTTGGCGCAGGCCGCTCCAATTTCTTCAGCACCCCTACTTCTTGTACTTCATCGGGAGTATATCTGCTCTTGTTTCTGGGTCATGTATGTCAGGCGTAGATCTGCTCTATGGGACATGGTCGCAAAATGGCTCTTTACATTCAGACAACATGGGGCCACATATGGACTTTAACAATAAGCTTGCAATGGCTATGGTCTTGGTGGGCGTTTGCAGCTTTCTGACCAATTTTTTATTCCTCGTTCTCATGTCCACGTCTACGCACAAGCTATCGCAAGGTTTGAGACGGACCTATTTCTCCGCCGCTTTGGTGCAAGATCCTACATTCTATGATAGGCAAGGTCCCGGTGCTATTTCCACTCATTCAAACCGGGATGTTTCCCTCATTCGTACTGCTCTTGGCGAAAAAATGGGTTTTTTTCTCAATTCTATTGGTACACTCATTGCTAGTATAACTATGGCCCTATGCAAGGCGCCCACGCATGGTGGTGTTTTGCTAAGTCTACCTGTCTTTTCCATTCTTGTATTTTTTGGGCTCGGCATGCTATCAGATAAGGCTACAAAGGCGGTAATTCAAGCTGACAGTCACCTTTCGACATTTATTGAACAGGTCATCGCCTCCGTGCGTATTGTACACAGCTTTGAAATCACTCAGGTGTTGCTCGATCGCATACAGAGCCTGTTCATGAAACCTCTCTCGAAAGTGGTCCGGCTGCGAACAATGGTGCGCGCTTCTGAGTTAGCTGTCATGTATTTTGTGGTCACCGTTCTATACGCAATTGGCTTTTGGTGGGGCTCCATTCAAGTTGCTAACGGTCGTGAATCTATGCAAGGCGTTGTGACTAGCTTTTTCAACTATCTCAACACACTTTTTAGCTTGACGATGGTCGTGGCGCATTTTCAGTCTATTGTTGACAGTCTTACAACGCTGCATGAAATGCGAGCTGTGATCGAGCGACAACCTAATATTGATATTCGTGATACAAGTGGTTTGATCCTAGGCCTTCCTTGTTCTAAAGCCACCGACACAGACGTGCCGACTTATACCCCCTCATTCGAATTGGAGGATGTTACGTTTGCCTACCCTGGTAGGCCCTACACAGTCAGCTTGACCGACGTAAGCATCGTTTTTAAGCCTGGGACTGTTACAGCTCTTGTGGGTCCGTCAGGCAGCGGAAAATCCACTATCACGACGCTTTTATGCCGGGAATACGACCCAGATTCTTGTAATGACCCAGCTCTTCAAGAATATTCGTCTGAGGACGTAGAAAAAGGGCAACAGCGGGTGCAAGGTCGAGGCCGTGTTCTTTTTGGTGGCGTCGATATGCGTGATCTCAATGTGCGGTGGCTACGTTCGCAAATCGCCGTGGTCAGACAAAATCCACAGATGTTTTCTGGCTCGATCATTGAGAACGTCGCCATGGGGCTTTCAGCTGGCGTGAAAACAGATATATCTGTATCTGACACAGTGGTCCGTGAAAAGGTTCGGATTGCTCTGATGAAGGCAGAAGCATGGGATTTCGTGTGTAAGCTTCCTGAGGGGATGGACACTATTATTTCTGGCGGCCGAAACACACACCTGAGTGGTGGCCAACGTCAAAGAATTGCTATTGCTCGGGCGCTCGTTCGAGAGCCCCAGGTATTATGCCTAGACGAAGCAACGTCTGCCCTCGATACCTCAACTGAAGACAAGATTAAAAAGACGCTGCAACATGAACAAGAATCTCGCGGAATGACCACAATTATTGTAGCTCACCGGCTTTCTACTATTCAAAATGCCGATCAAATTATCGTGCTTAAGCAGGGCCGCGTAGTGGAGCGGGGTACACATAACGAACTTGTGAAAGCGCCAGGCGTATATCATGATATGGTTATGTACAACCGAGCGGCTTCAGGACTAGACAGTGATTTTGACGTGAAACTTCAACCTGATACCGCCAGATCGAGGGGGCCGACTCGAGAGAAAATCAATGGTGTTAAGCAAGAATCTACTCATGATGATCCTCCCTCGTATGTGCATCTTAGCAGCGCTTGGCGAAGTGAAGTGGCTCCACGTGGTGGAGGCGGCATTCTTTCCGGCACTTGGGATGCTAGCGACCGTGCACAGCTTGCTTCTCAGAAGCATGAAGGCCAAACTGAAGATGAGATTATACAAACTTCTGACGCTTCCTCCAGTGGTCAACTGCACAAACTCGTCTGGAAGCAGGGGTGGCTTCTCTGTATGGGGGTTCTATTTACAACGGCTTTGGGTGTTTCCTTTCCCATTGTTGCGTGGCTATCTGGCTCCACCATTGATGGTCTAGGGAACCAAAACAGATCCGTCATGCGGAGCGATGAGAATACATGGGCGATGTGGTTCTTTATCATTTCAATTATCAACATTTTTCTAGGATTTGGAGGATCATATTGCCTTGAAACAGCTGCCGAGCGATTTGGCGAGGATGCCAAAGTAGAGGCTCTCAAAGCGATTATGCGGCAAGAAATTGCTTTTTTTGACCAAAAAGAACATTCCAGTGGCGCTCTGGGAGCTGCCATCTTCAGTCATACAGCCAATCTCTGTGCTTCAATGGGTGTGGTGCTCTGTCAGTTACTTATTTCGATGGTCAACCTCCTAAGTACTATAATCATGTCTCTCATTCTAAACTGGCTCCTGACCATTACCCTTTTGGCTGGTATGGTCACTCTCCTAGTTTCGAGCTTTTTAAATGTCTATGCGATGGAGAAATACGAGGTCAAGATGCAGGAACCGGTGGATCGCAGCTCATCGTACATTGCTGAGATCATCGACGCAATTGGCACAGTGTCATCACTCGGTCGTGAAGCGGAGGTGCTGAATCACTTCGACGAATCTAGCACGCTGAGCCGCTCGTTTATGCCTAATCTTGTCTGGGGCAGTGTAGCCTACGGATACACTCAGTTTGCTCTTTGTGGTATTGCTGGTTTGATGATGTACTGGGGAATTTTCGTTATGAACGAAGGCAAAGCTACTATGCAGACAGTTTTGTCTGTGTTTGAAAGTGTGTTTGTCGCCGTATTCGCGTCGATCCGTCTCGGCACATTCATGCCTGACCTGGCTCGAGCACGCTTTGGCAAGCGTGTTATTTCAGGATGGATGCAGCGTGTCCCTGAAGTGGCATCTACGCGGGAACGTGTAGTTTGGCCCCCGAAAGGACCTCGAGACATTGTTTTCAAGGACGTGGAGCTTCGATACCCCCAACGCCCCCAATACGCAGCCATCAAAAACCTGAACCTTGTCATTCCCGAAAAGACCACAGTTGCATTTTGTGGCACATCGGGAAGTGGTAAGAGCTCTACGCTTGGCCTGCTACAGCGCTTTTATGAACCATGTCACGGGTCCATCACCTATGGTGGCCTAGACCTGCGCTCTATACCCTTACATCTGTGGCGTTCTGAGATGGCCTATGTGTCCCAAGAGCCTGTCCTTTACGAAGGTACACTTCGATGGAATCTACTGCTTGGCGCTGTGAATTCGGAATTGGTGACCGAGGCCGATATTGAATATGCCTGTCGCCAAGCTTGCGTATGGGACTTTGCGATGGGTCTCCCTAATGGTCTTGATACAGAAGTCGGAAATAAGGGCTCTTCTCTTAGTGGCGGCCAATGTCAGCGCGTATGCATTGCTCGGGCGCTCATTCGCAAGCCTCACATCCTGCTTTTCGATGAAGCCACGTCGGCCTTGGACGCCGAATCTGAGGTGCTTGTTCAGCGTGCCCTTGATAATGCTGCTTCTCAATGCACCACGATTACCATTGCACATCGTCTGTCTACTATTCGTCGCTCGAATATGATTTGTGTCGTGGAGGATGGCGAAATTGTTGAACGAGGGTCGCATGAGTCACTGTTGGCGCAGCGTGGTCGGTACTTTGACCTTGTGGAAGCGCAGCTTTAATTTATCATGAACGATCTGCGGCTGCTGCTACGGGAGCGAACGGATCGCGAACGGACTGGAAACGTGTTTGATACCATTTAATATAGTCTTTCTTTAATGTTTCAATTTCCGTGTGCAAGGTGGCAACCTGCTCCGCCATGGCCATAAAGGAGGCATTCTGGTTACGAATGATATCCGAAATCACTTGGGGAGCAAATTGTTCACGTTGATCAATAGAGATAAGGTGACGCTCAAGCTGTTCCATGGTAAGCCGGTAGCGCTGGATGCGAGCGGGGTCCTCATCTGAGACATTTTCGTAAAAGCGTCGCAACCAGTCCAAAAAGCTGCTGCCATCACTCAGCTTCTCTTTGGCATGTGTCGCTACTTGATGCAGCATAGCATTATCGTGTCGGTCCTTTTCGACTTTCGCTGTGATGGACTGTAAGCGCATAGTATCTGCTTCAAGTGTTGCAGACAGCGATTGTTGCATCGATATCAGAGCGTGTACATCTGTCATTAGGCGACGCATCTCTTCACTTGCATCGCGTGCACGAAGCTCATTCTTGATTTGTGTTTGCGATGAGATAAACTTGTCCATCATATCTAGCAAAGATCGCTGAGTATCAGGCAACTCATTATACCTTTCCCGCTGGTAGTACGGGTGCTGCATCATTGGCGAGACATTTTGAGGAGCGGTATTGCCAAATGATGCGCCTGTGGGTTTGGATCCCCAAAGATTAGTGGTGTTCGGCTGGTTCTGACCAGCCAGGCCTGAATTACCAAAGGTATTCGTGCTGTTCTGTGTACCAAAAGGGCCTATGCCACCCATATTGTTAGTCGTGCTTTGCGCGCCAAATAGCCCTCCGCTTGCGCCAGTATTAGTAGAAGAATTGCCGAACAAACCGCCTCCCGCGCTGTTGTTCTGGGCGCCGAAGAGGCCGCCTCCCGTGTTGTTGGCAGTATTGGCCTGTCCTCCGAACAAGTTGCTACTTCCTGGCACTCCATTGTTGTTTTGAGCACCAAACAGCCCACCTGTGTTAGTGGTGTTGGTATTCTGAGCTCCGAACATGCCCTTTCCACCAGCGGTGTTGTTGGTTGAATTTTGTGCGCCAAACAAGCCTCCGCCCGTCGCCGTAGGTTGTGTCCCCAATGAGGCACCTAGAGTATTGGCTGACTGTGTAGATTGATTTCCAAATAGGCCAGTAGAGGCAGGCTGCCCTGTACGGTTGGCTGTCGTTGAAGTGTTGCCTGGGGCAGTCGAACCAAACAGACTGCCCGTTTGGTTCTGCGTCGGGCCCGAACTGGAAGCACCTCCAAAAGAAAAGGAAGGTTTCGTCTCAGTGTTCGCAGAGAAGGAGAATGAGCGCGGAAAAGCCGCACTTGACGCGCTTTGTCCCCCAGGGGTGGCACCAAACATGGTGGGGGATCGACTTGACTAGCGCTCCGACGTGCTACCGTGAACTACCACGTGGCCTCGAATGAACACATGTGGAGTAAGGTTGGTGAAGACAATACAACCATGTCACAGGATTCAGATGTGCCATGGGTGTCACAGCGTGTAGAGCGCAATCGTGCTTTGCATAAAGCTTGTTATGAAGGAAATGTCGAATTGTGCCAGCAGCTGCTAACTCCGTCTGAATCAATGGGCGATTGGGACGGCTCAGCAGATGCTTGGTATGCGGACGAGGACATGCTGGGTTGGGACTCCCTGCACTATGCTGCTGACGGCGGTCATGTGGACGTCATTCGTCTTTTGCTCAAATCAGGTGCGCCATGGAATGCTGTCGACTCTCTTGGATACACAGCTGCAGATATTGCATGGTCGCGTAACCACACGGCCTGCTACGATATTCTGTTTCAGGAGGGCATCCGGCAGTCCTTTCTTCTCAATGTGATAGCCCGACGAGCGGATTTTGGCACCAAGGCAGAAGATAATATGAAAGAAGATCATGCTGTTCGATCCGATGAGGCTGACTCTGCGCACTTGACGCTTGTGTCGGGGTCGCAGAATGAAGTAACATATTCGAACACAGACTTTCTAAAGAGCCGACTCATTTTCTCACAAGATAGCCATGGGCAATGGCGCTGTCTTGACAAAGATAATAACATGGTAATGGCTGAATGGGAGAACGAAATTATGATTGCTTCTGCGAAAGCATTGTGCGAGGGTCAGCAAAATGGGTTCTCTGTCCTGAATGTCGGCTTTGGTCTTGGCATTATTGATGAGGCCATCCAAACATACAATCCCGGCCGCCATGTGATTATCGAGCCACATCCTGATGCTTTGGCATTCATGCACCAGCTTGGCTGGGACAAGCGACCCGGTGTAGAAATCTTTGAAGGAACATGGGAGGAATTCCTAATGCCAGAGGACGATGAAGATGGAGCTATCGCGGCAAAACTAGGCGATTTTGATGCGATTTATTTCGATACCTATTCACAAGACTATGCTGGTGTGTGTATTCTAACTGACTTGAGACCTGCGTGCCTTTTTTGAGTGCCTTCCAAATGTGCTCTCTGGCCCCGATGCTCGCTTTTCTTTTTTCCATGGCTTAGCTGCTACCAACCAATTCTTCTATCACGTATACACTCGGGTAGCTGAATTGGACTTGCGTGACATTGGACTTAACACAGAATGGACTACGTTACCAATGAATGTCGAAGAAGTTGTATGGGAGGGCGTCAAGCGCAAGTACTGGTGCCTCGACGAGTATTTCCTTCCTCTGTCGAAAATGCAGCTTTTCTAAGTCCGACACGCACGTGCAGGTGGTCCGAGCGCGATTGGTTATTCCTTGGCTGTGGCATTCGCTCCAACGTATCTAGACGACATCATGATGGCATCTATGCGGAGTGCATTCTGTAGCTCGTGGCCTGCACTACGGAAGGAGTGGCGTGAGTCAATGGCGTGCGTTTTGTGTGTACTTACGCAGCGAATTCTGGGGTTCATTTATGATCCTCCTGTTTGGGGCCGGTGTTGAATGCCAAGTGCGCCTACACTACAATGACAACGACGTGAATGGAGCCTTTGGAACGTATCTTTCATGCCGCATTGCCTGGGGCTGTGGTGTGGCTCTTGGTGCATGGGCCAGCGGCGGCATTTCTGGTGGTACGTACCAGAGAGACTTACGGCAGGTCATATCAATCCTGGTACGTTGGCTCTATTCACCCGCAGCTGTGACCGTTGCCATGGCGCTGTTTCGTGGCTTCTCATGGAAGAGGGCGACACGATATATCGTTGCTCAAATTCTAGGCTGCGCGTTTGGCTCCCTTGTTGTTTACATGCTATACCGAGAGAGCATTCTATCGTTTGAAGGGGGCCTGCCGCACTCTGTCAGTGGCATGCGGTCAACGGCTGGTCTCTTTTTCACGCGCCCTGCACCATCCATCTCGTTACTCACAGCTTATATGACCGAAGCCATCGCCACAGCGACGCTACTCTTCCTTGTGCTGGCATTTGGCGACACAGGGAACTGGGCGATTCCGAAGGGGTCGATGCCTGTAGGCCTCTTTCTGACCGTGCTGGGTATTGGTTCCTCTTTGGGCTCGAACACGGGCTATGCACTCAATCCTGCTCGTGACTCGGGACCGCGTCTGGTGCTATATCTGCTTGGATACGGGAACGACGTATGGACTCATGACGGAGGCTACTGGTTTTTTGGCGGCTGGTGCTCCACCCTCTTGGGTGCCTGCCTGGGTGTGTTGTTGTACGATCTTTGCTTGTATGATGGGCAAGACTCGGCTTTGTACACTCTGCACGAGCCTGCCTCTGTCACCCTCGAGTAGGTTCATTGCATAACATCATACGACCGTCTCGGAGGGAATAGATCAATGCACGGGCCATTAACGGGTATATCGATGGCTTTTCCGTACTGTGGGAACTGCCGCCGGGTCCCGGGGTGGCATTTGTAATGGTGCTAAGATCTGTGCTCGTAGTAGGAAGCGAGGATGAGTGTAGCTGTGCGTCACCTTGGACTGACTGTCGAATTTGCTCTCGAATTTGTTTCATGTATTCGCGCTCGTCTGTGCCCACATTCTCATCTGATAGGAATGCGCGAAATACGCCATCGGGCGCCAGCACTACGCAGGCGAACCGCTCAAGTAAAGCAGATGATATGTCCACGGCAAAGACGGGCAGTGAGCCTGAATGAATAGCCTCTGCAACTCGCTTAGCCTCGGTAGAGGCGCGGTCCGCCAGGGCGTGTCGCGCGCTCGGTTTCATGCGCCGGTCCTGCCGACGAGAGCGACCTTCACGGTGCGGCATAATGAGATGCACGTCCTGTGCATGACCTGGTGCAGCACCGGCGCTCTTGGACACTACCGGTGGCTTTACGAGATCAACAGGCGCAAGCCCACGTCCACTAGAAGCCTGATCAATGCGGCGCCAGCGTGCAATCCGGTCATATAGCACACCTGTGAGCTCTTCCTTGTTTACTTCGTGCTCCGTGCGTGTCAGCACTTCCTTCACTTTCAGTACGGGCGAATGTGCGCGAACCAGTACCAAGAACAAAATCCCTTCAGAGCGACAGGTGGCAACTGTAAGCTCTGGCGACTCGCCGGCGGCTTCCTCGTACTGCACGTCGGCGCTGATCCCATGCGCCCAGAGTAGTTGACACAGCTGCAATTTGGCCTCCAAAAGCCCCGGCTGACTAGATGCGACATAGCATTCGCATCGGCGCGGCGTCCATGGACCTAATGTGCGCTCGTCCTCCGGTCGGCCAAGCAAACGCGGGAGGTGTACTTGTTGGTGTTTAGCGAGCGCCTTGACGATTTTGCCAACCGATACCTGTAAGCCCACCGCATGGGCGGGCGCAGAAGAGCTGTCGCCAGGATACGCAAAGCGTCGAAGAAGCTCATCATAGCGCCCACCGACCGCAAGAACGTCCCGCTGCTTAGTCGCATTGGTCATGCGTGTCACAGCGATCATTGCACCACCTCGGTAATGGGCGTGATTGTGACTTAACAAAGGCGTAAAGAAGATGGGTGTCTGGACACCCAAGAACTGACTGAGCCGCGTGACCTGCGATAAATATGCGAGTGACTCAGCGACGAGAGAGCGCTCTGTTGGCGACAAGAGGGCAGCCCATTGCGTAACGCTGCTGTCAAAATCGTTCCGTACGTTCCAACCATCCAATTCTTCGAGCATGGCAGGTGTGAGACCGGCTTGCAGTAGCTGCTGACGAGCGCGAATCTCCGTGCCTTTAGCCAGAATACTAGGCAAGGACATAAGCAGTGCTTCATGGAAGCGCTTTGGGAAGCGATTTAAAAACGTTTGCAGGAGAGACTCATGGCTAAGCTCAATGGCCCAGCGCTCGCCAGCCAAGCCAGGAATACGGATAATTTCGTCGATGACGCCAAGAATCTCTGCTTCGGCAGCAGGCTCGCGCACTTGTGAAACGATATCATAGCTGGCAGCAAGCACAGCACGCGGCTGTCCACCAGCCAGTAGATTCTCACGATACACATCCGCGATGTCAAATCGCTTGAAACGCATATGCCCGCTGCGTGCACAAATTCGTGCAAAAGGGACGGTTAAATCAAACGGCAAGAAGACGACATTACCGCTTTTGTCCAAAAGCTTGACGATGTTTTTCTCGTCACCGTACACATCACTCGGTGGGAATAATAGCGGCGGATGGACAGGCACAGCGCCCCGACACTGGAACATTTGACGCAAATGCTGGCAAACCACACCTACCAAGACGTCATCCTCGTCGCCCTGGGCACCCGTATCAAAAGTAAAGTCGCGGATTCGATCTGTCTGTGTGCGCGAGAATAAAGCATTGATGAGCTCGTGGCGGTGTACGCTGGTAGGATTCGCAGCCAGGCGTAGTAGCTCTTGCACAAACTCATCCTCCATTTTGGGTGGCAGTAGTGGTGAGCGCAGCATCGCCATGGGTGTAGGCCGTTTCGCAGGGTCGTGGTCGAGCAGCTGTTGTATGATCTCAGTTTGTGCTGCAAAGCGTGTACGATCCCAGCCTTTAGGGAACTCGATCTGGGGCATTCGCAACTGGCGCAGCAGCTGGAACCGCTCCATCGTAGTGGTATAATAGCGCTGTGAGGCGATCATCTCGAAGAAAATTATACCCAACGAAAACATATCCACCTTTTGATTGTACTTGGTGCTAAGACCCTGCTTCGACAGCACCTCCGGAGCAATATACGAAAAGGTGCCTAAGCCGGATGTGAGCTCTTTCACATCCGTTGTCCCGCCGCTGAGGACAGATTCTCGCAGCCCTCCATCCATAGCATGCAAGTTGGTCGTTGCCAGACCAAAGTCACCCACCTTGATATCTCCGTGCGCATCCATCAGCACATTACTGGGCTTGAGGTCCCGGTGGATGATGCCCAACGAGGCTATATGCGCCAATGCCTCGAGCATTTGCCGAAAGATGTGCCATGCCTGGTCAACAGAGAGCCCACGCTCAATTGCATCTCCCAGGGTCTGATTCTCGACGTACTCCATTTGAATGTAGAGAACGCGTGTAGAAGAATCAGACACACCATGATCCGCAGAGGAGAGAGGTATGTCGTCACTGGATACATCGGAACTGTCAAAGTGGTCAGGATGGTCGCCTTTGGGGCGAATCGACTCGGCCTTCTCAGCACGAAAATTGCTGCTCACGCTCTCCCCGTCGCTTTCTTCAATATCGTCTTGGTGGCCGAATTGGATAAAATCGTCAGAGTCGGAACTAATCTCTTTGTCCATCGAGAGAAAATCGTCCATGTTGCCATGAGTCATATGATGCAGTGCCTGAAGAGCACTCGCATCCATCTGCTGACTGGTCGTCATGGGGCTGGCATCCCACGCTGGCTCTGTAGATAGCTCTGAGCCCGCAGGTAAGCTAGGCACGGCTGTTCGCTCAATCCAGCAAGTGACATATCTCACAATATGAGGATGATCTAGCCTAGACAGTGCCATGATTTCACGCATTGTTCTCTCTTCCTCAGCGGCGGAACTGCTGAGTCTAATCTTTTTGACAGCATAGAACCGTTCATCCAGTTTATTCCGCGCTTTAACAACGACACCGAAAGCACCCTTTCCAAGAAACTCGACCTCTTCAAAGTCACTCAGGTAGCGTGATACCGGTTGGAATGTCGGTAGTGCTGTATTGCGCAGCTGCCAGAAGGAGCCAATGCGCTCCGAATTTATCTTCCCAGCTGGTGCACGGTATGGCATGCCGCTAGGTGTAAGACGCTGTCGCGGCGGCAGAATAGCTGACATAGAAACTTGGCGGTGCGAAGTTGACTGCTCCTCGTGCTCCTGAGGCGGAAAGCTCTCAGTATCCGTAGCAGAATCCAGATAAGTAAGCAGAGCAGAGGCCGAGAGGCGACCCTTTTCAGAGCGGTTCAGCATTTGATGCAAGAGGTATATAGCTGACCGATCCACTTCGTGCTTCGACTCAGCGTACTGTTCTAAAAACTGTTCCGGAGTCACAGCTCGGAACAGAATTTCTTCGCCATAAAGAATTTGGCAAAGGCAGCGTCCTAGATCCCATATATCCCGTGCATTTCGGTATTGCAAAGGATTAGTGAGACTCTCTGGCGCACGCCATCCCTCAGGGATATCATGTTGCATGGACTTCATAGAGCTTATTGGATTCGATCGATGCAAGTCCAGAAGCTGCTGCCGGTACAAAGCGCCATGAAGCCATGCAGACCCTTGACCCAGCACAATTGAATCCAATGAAACAGACCGATGTGTCAAACGTGACCGATGGAGATCTGCAAGACCTTGAAGTAAACAACGGATCAGGGGCCGAGCGCTAAGCCAGGACAATGTGTGACATTGTCGCAACAACTCGCTCATGGTCATAGAATGCTTCTGCTCATACACGAGACTAAGCAATGAAATAGTACCGTATTCCTGGACATATTCAAGAGTCATAAAAGACCAGCTCATCAACTTGGTCAAGTGGTCCGATTCCACTTGTTGTAAGCGGGTGAGGTCGGACTCAAGATCCTCTAGTTTTCGTTTCCCTGCCATTTTCTGGTAGTACTGAGAAGAAATAGGCACCATTTCAAGATTCCAAACAGTGTTAAAGTCCATATCGGAAAAAACAGGAAACGTCATATACTTTCTTGCAAGGGGCACTGTGTCCAGCATAGGACCCCGCTGTACCTGATCAACTCGGACACCTGAAACAAACACAGGCGACTCGAGAGTGATGCGGCTTGTTTTAAATACCACTTGATCCATCGCATGTAACTGTTCTGCCTGGAGCAACTCTTGTGCCGGAGGCCGGACAGGCAAAGGAGTATCGCGAAGCCGTTTTAATTCACTCTTGATAGCAAGCTTCTGTTTTCTTGTTTCGTCCTCAATTCTGTCAGCAAGCTCATTCTGGCGTTGTCGTTCCTCGTCGGAGCGTTTCTGCTGCTCGAGCTTAGAGCGCCGCCTGGCGTCTTCTTCTTCGGCCTGAGCACGTCTTCGCATTCGCTCCTCGAGACTCCATTTAGCACCAGTACTAACTGAAGGCGCAGTATTGTGCGTGCTGATAAACTCTTGGGCAAAGCTGACAAGTTCCCAAATCATCTCCGTACCACGAAGGCTGCGTGCTTTAGTATTCATTTCCTCCTCAAGCTTGCTTAATTGCTGTGGCGGCACTCCTCGCGTTCGTGCATCATTGACGCGAACATGACAGGTTGGCTGGACATTTGGATACTTTTTCGTGAGTGAAATCTGTACGACCACAGAAACGTGCTCTTTGTGGGCGTCGAGCTCCGGACGCAATACGAGCTCGCAGGTCTGGACGCTCGCCGTTGCGGAGTTTTGCCATGCTCTTGGTGGAAGCTCCACAAAATCAGGACCCATAATACTGCTAATTACACTTAGCTCCGTGCGCCGCCGCTCCTCGAGCTCTTCACTCGCGTCCATGGCAGCGCACTTGAGGCTGTACGTCCGAGATCCTCCGCTTTGAACGCACGTCACGTGTGGTGGTTCGTGCGCAACACTACTAGCTGGTATCCAACGCTTATGAGTCGCAGCGGGGACACCTCGAATTCGAGATGTAGTTCTATAGGCATTAAAAGGACACGACCAGCCACCTTAGCCATGGCACGGTCATCGGCCTAGAGCCATATTCACACGGGCACCTGCGTCTACCACGTGTCTCCACATGTCTATCTCGGACCTGTATCACTTCTCAATTTACACTATGGATGGCGACTGTCGGCGGGCAAAAAAAGTAGCTATGACACAGACTAACTCAGATTTTGGACCATTTCTGCCCTCCTAACCAACATCATGGACTCGATGGAGTTATTCCTCCTAGCGTTATGAAGAATGCAAAAGGCTTCGCCATGTAAGTTTACGCGACTGACTCAGTTTCACTGTCGTACGCGCAGGGTTTCTAATGAGCGTCCGCGTGGGTATGGGAGTTGTTGTAGCACGTCTTCCATCTGGAAAATGGTCGGCTCCTGCAGCGATTGGTGTAGGCGGTTTTGGCGGAGGCTTCAATGCTGGAGCCGAAATGGTGGACTTTCTGATTGTGCTTAACACCACGGCGGCTGTGCGAACATTCATGGCATCTGGATCCCTGCAACTAGGTGGAAACCTAAGTTTGGCTGTGGGACCCCTGGGCCGGACGGGCGAAGCGGGGGCATCCATTAATGGTGATATGCAGCTTGCAGCCATGTTTACGTATTGTGTGTCCCGCGGTCTGTATGGTGGCATCACTATTGAGGGAACACTACTGGGTGATCGCCCTGACACGAATGAGCGTACCTATGGTCGCAGCTATACAGCTGCAGAAATTTTGTCAGGACAAGTGGATGTGCCCAAATGTGCAATACCTCTGGTTGCGCGACTGGAGGAGATTACAAGCTTTGAGCCGTTTGAATCTTCCATATACGATGGGCCTAGGGAATATCTTGATCCTACCATGGACTATGTGCGCCGGCCTGAACAACGGAGACGTCCGCCACCGCCAGGAACCAAGGCGGAGCCATTAGATTCTTCACTTGAGGATGACCACGGGCCATTTTCACCTCCTCCCTACAGCTCACTACAGAATAGCACCAATGCTCCAAATATGTCGAGCAGACTCAACTCAGTCGGTAAGGGTTCCAGCTGTGCGGGCGAATTCGATAATGAAGATCCTTTTAGTGACTCACAAGGGTCTCAATACGATCCCAACATGCTTTCTTACGAGCCAAGATCTAAGCTTGGCTCTCGCCGAACTATGGCGCAGACGTCGGCCTCTACTCTCCCGAAACTGGACCAATCCCAGTTCCATTCTTCAAATGCATACGGTCTGGATAACAGTTTTGATGCCGACTTTGACGCTCCTTTATCGGAGCCTACACAGCCCAACGCAAGTCGTCCACCCGCAACTGGTCTGATTGACGCTGGTGTGCTTGATGGTGATCTTGTTGTGGCTATCCACGATTTCATGGCACAGAAGCCGTCCGATTTATCTTTCCAGCGTGGCGATATCATTCGTGTGGTGCATCGCACCAATAAGTCTAATGACTGGTGGTCCGGCGAGTTAGTGGCACAGTTTAGCGACGGTCCCAGCCGTATTGGACAGTATGTTTAATGATGCACTAATCCAGATTCCCCTCCAACTACACAGAACCACTCTAGACGTCCACAGGTTGTCCACCAATCTCTTCGACAACCATTTGTGTATACTTGTCAATAAGCATATGATCGTAGCCGACCAGAGAGATATGAACGCCAGCTTTCCACTTTTGTTAATGGTGTGAAGCGTACTTTAGGATAGGATCCCACACGAATGCCGTCCTTCTTTCCCATTTTTGTTAGATTTTCAAGAAGCTTTCCGTTAGATACCTTGCTCACGTACGGGACTGATCATACTCTCAGGAAGATTAGTATGGATGAGACGACGGATAGGTTTGGGCATATCTGGGTCGAGGCGTAGATATGGTGGCAAGCCTTTGAGTAGTGCTTCAAAAATGCTAGGGATACCTGGTAAAACACAAACATTACCGTTCACGCGCACAACAGGCACCCAGTACTCTTCTGTCGGGAAGAGAACTTCAGATCCACGGGGGAAAAGCGCCATACGCTTGCGCGCCCGTAAGACATTTTCTGATTCAGTGATAGTACCGTAGATGTGCTGAATTCCGGTTGACATTCGCCTCAATGTCTCATCGTCATACTCGAGAGGCTCGTCTCCAAAAGCTTTGGCAAGTGATGAATATGTGATGTCGTCAGGAGTGGGACCAATTCTGCACGTTATTATACCTTCGACCGTACCCGCCCGATGTAACAACCCAGTCGTATTTGTGGGACTGTATTAGGTATGCCAACGTACCAAGCGTTGCGCGGCTTCCACACTTTGGTGAGCTGAGCCCCACGTACATCTCATCAACATCATCGGAAATTACTTCAATTTCTCAGGTTAAAATATAGAAACGCACTTTTTAATTCGACACCAATCTCAAAGCACAATTTAGCCATCTGAAATGAGTATACCGTTATGCGTGCCTTGTTGCTGTTGGTGTCCTGGGTTTTACCACTGAATAAGTGCGCGAAACATACTTCAGTACTTCATCGCCAATGATCAGACATCTGTCATGAGCCACATTATACTTACGCAGCCGTTCGTATAAATGGTCGACCGGTCATATCGGGGACATGAGAACGTTGAAACAGCTTCGCTAGCATATCTGTAGATTTGGTATCAGACATGTTTTCCAAAAGAGGAGTTATAGAAAAATTTTTAACAACAAAAGGGGCTGGCTTAACCAAACTTGACGCTCGAGCACACAAACGCAGCGGCGTAGGCGCAGATAACCTGTGGAGCATATGTAAAGGCGGGACTCCACAATGCAGCGCCTGGCACCTACCCTCCGCTTCGGCAGGCGCCTCACAAGTGGAGGGCATCATCTACAAGAAGCTGGCGCAGCCCAAAATATAGTATGAATTCTAGAGAAGTACGGCATTTGCCACATTGGGGTTGCTATACAATCGAGAGAAAAAGTGTTTATTTTTCATATATTCAATGATATGTGGGCCAATCACTCATTTTTATTGGCAATGTCACGCAGAACACGGCGAAGGATCTTGCCGGAAGCACTCTTGGGCACTTCGGCAACAAAAACAACCCCACCACGAAGTTTTTTGTGATTTGCAACTTTAGGATTGAACCAGTCGAGAATTTCTTGGCAAAGACGATCCTGGTCAGTCTGCGAGCTCGACTTCAGGTCGAGTGCACTCGGCTTGGGTGTCACATACGCACGAGGGAGCTCAGTGGCCTCCTCTTTCACGTAAACGCCAACCACGGCACAGTCCTGAATCTTAGGATGAGAGAGGAGCAAGTCTTCGAGTTCAGCTGGAGAGACCTGAAAGCCCTTATACTTTATAAGCTCCTTCATGCGGTCCACGATAAAAAAGAGACCATTTTTTATGATAGCAATATCACCACTCTTGAACCATCCATCCTCAGTAATGCACTCCTTGGTGGCCAATTCGTTGTTCAAGTAGCCCTTCATTACGGCAGGACCACGAATCCAAATCTCACCGGGAGTTCCCTCCGACCCTTGTTTGTGGGCCACATCGACACCGTCGTGGTTCACCAAACGAATTTGGATGTGGGGCACAACCTCGCCCGCAGTGCCCAGATTTTTTCGGTGTTGGTCCGTCGTCGCACGCAGCGCAACGGGGGCTGTCTCGCTAAGACCATATCCCTGAGAGATCACGAAGCCAGGAAGGCGCTTCTGAACCTCTTCACAAAGTTCAGGACCAAGAGGCGCCGCACCGCAGAGGCCCACCTTGAGAGTAGAAAGGTCGTACTTGCTGACAGCAGGGTGACGGGCCAATGCAAGCAAAATTGGTGGGACAACGATAGCCATAGAGGCACGGAAGTGCTGTACCGCCGCACAAAAAATGTCAATGTCAAAGCGAGGTAAGACGACGATACGAGTTCCCGTCATAAAGGCAGCCAGGTTGAAAAAGTTCAAGCCGAAGATGTGAAAGAACGGCAGGACAGCCAGGGCAGTGTGGCCAGGACCAAACTCGCCAAACCTTACCCTAGCAAAAGTGTCGGTACCAAAAATCATGTTCTTGTGCGTCAGCATGACACCCTTCGGTTTACCGCTAGTACCACTGGAATAGACAATAAAGGCCAAGTCTTCTTCCGAATTCACGGAAACAACAGGCAGTTCGTTGGATGTGAGTACAGAGCGGAAGTCCCGTTCACCTGTGCTCTGAGTAAGAACCCAATCAGCATCATCCACCAGCCAAATGGGATTCTCGCCGTTGGGAAGCTTGAAAGAGCGTTTCGACATGGACCAGGCCTTGCGGACATTTCCTAAAATGGAAGGATGTGTGAAAATGACCTTTAGATCTGAATCGACAATAGGGTGCTCTAGCTCTTCAGGCGAGTAGATCGGGTTCAACGTCGCGCAAACACATCCAGCGCGAACAATGCCAAGGACCAAGGTAGAGTAAAGCGTCGAGTTGGGCGAAATGATACCAACACAGTCTCCTGCATTCAACTTCAAGATGTGACGCAAGAAATAAGCAATTTCACCGGCCATCGTCTGAACTTGACGGCGGCTGGGATGTTAATGAGTGTAGTACATACTTAGTGACCTTGCCATCCAGGCGGTATAGAGCCACTTCCCGCTCATCAATACCTGCATGGTCGGAGACGACCCAGCTATACAGGCTATATTTAGTGGCTTCACACGTACTTTCCAGTCTGCGGGATAGTCACTGGAGGGACAGAATAGCGACAGTCAATGATTTGGGCCATGAATATCGTAGTGACTACGGCGGCGTAAGCAAGAACTTTGGGGTAAGCGCGAGGCTGTACCAAGGGGGGCACGTGTCAAATGAGATTATGTAAATGGAGTGACAGATTTCCGTCCCCACATGGGGAAGAGTGCATCCGCGGAGTTGTCTTCCAGCTCATCTTCCAGCGATGCCTGGCTCTTGAACCCGTCAAGGCTGTCAAGATCGTCCTCCCCGCCTGTCATCTTTTTTGTGAGTCTGTCACTTTGAGTATACGATAAAGACTTGGCATCTAGTGACAAACTGCTCCACATATCCTCCCGCAGTGAAGCAGCTGTAGCACCGAGTGAGCGGAACGGTGCGTGGATCGGGTCCATAGCCAGTGAATCCATCGTCTCAGTTTTTTGTAGAGCCATGCGCTGCATGGGTGTAACTTTGTGTTTTTCAACAGGAGGGCGACCAAACTGGATCATCGATGGTTGAAGGTTAGAGAGAGCGCCTTCCACCAATGCAAAGCGATCTTTGAAATGAACCAACAGATGGTACCAGAGGGGATTTTTGCACAGGACCTTGGAATTTCCGATAACAATAAGACCATAACGTGCACGAGTGAGAGCAACATTGAGACGTCGAGGATCGCTGAGGAATCCGATTCCGCCCCTGTCGTTGCTCCGCACACAACTGACAATGATATAATCTTTTTCACGGCCTTGGAACGCATCCACACTGGCGACCTCCACACTCCGGTAAAGCTCCTTGTTAAGACTGCCAAACATTTGCATGTAATTGATGATAAAGTTTCGCTGCCCTTCATAAGGCGTAACCACACCAATTTGCTCAGGGACAACACCAGATTTTAAAAACAGCGTGATAATTTTTTCAACACTGCTTGCCTCCGTTCGGTTCAAGAAAGACGTTCCACTGCCTGAAATTTCTTCCTGGCCCAAATTTTGGTAAAACATCATAGGCATGTTAGGAATAGGCCATGGAATGGGGTCTTGACGCCGGAGACGTTCCTGGGCCGTAACACCATTTTGGAGCATCCCATCGTAGAACATATTGCTGGGAAATTCAGACAAGCATGGGTGCATACGGTACTGCACTTCTAGACGTCGAGGCTGATTGCCAAGAAGAATTAATCTCTCGAATAAACTCAAATTCATACCAGCGTCTGCCACTTTGTTACTCATAACGACGGGGCCTAGTTGCTGGTGGTCGCCAACAAGCACAAGTTTCTTGCAACCGCGCACAATGGGAAGCAAGATTTCGGGCTCCACAGCCTGTGTTGCCTCATCAATCAGCACAGCAGAGAAGTCAAAGTTTTCAAGTCGACGATCCGCGCTGCTCGAACAGGTTGTGCAAATAACATCCGCTGCAGCCAACACTTTCCGTTCCATCTGGAAAACCAGGTTCCGGTACCGGCGTTCGTCATCAGCAGTTAACTCGCCATTTTTCTTCTGGAGATTTTTGAGTCGAGTCATTTCAGGGCTAGGAGGCATTAGCGCAACCTGCTCATGCAGTGACAGAAAGCGCACATGTGACAACATGGTTTCGCGAGTTCGAGAAACAACGCGCACGACTTTCAGACCAGTGCGATTGATTTTTTCGGTAAGCTGATCTACCGCCACATTCGAAGGTGCACAGACAAGCACTTTTCCTTTGGTCATTTGTGTCAGATGATACACAAGTGTGGCACTGGTCACTGTCTTACCTGTCCCAGGAGGTCCCTGAATTAAGCTCAAAGGCTTTGATAAAACGGATTTAATCGCAGCGACCTGGCTGTGGTTCAGATCAGGCAGCCCTGGGGCAGTGTAGCGTTTTGGCTCTTGAAACTGGACCTGCTCCGAGCCGGTGGGGAAGCCCAAGAGTTTTTTGCGTAAAAAGGGAGCCATACAATCGCGAAGGTTCAAGAACACGGACAATGCCTTCTTCATGCGAGCATACGTTACGCCGACCCAAACAAATTCCACAGTATAGTTGGTGGTGCAATCCGTCGGTGGCTGGAGGTACTGTGGTACATCACAAGCCACTTCCATGGATGAGATTGGCGAGAATTGCGATACCTTTAGGACTGCCTTCCATTTAGAGGCCAACGACCCCGTGTAAGAGACGCAAAGCTCGTCACCAATACCGAGGCGCATTTCACCGCTCTCAAGTTGTGGCAAGCGAAGCCACAGGGACATCGAACGACCTTTACCTGGCTCCCAGCGCACCGCCACATCATGCTGAACGAGACTTTCTTTCAGCTTTTTATCGTACTGCTCTTCCACAGAGAGTAGTGCGCGGAAAATATTACAATACTGTTCCGCATTCTCGTAGCGCACAAGGGTCTTAGGAAGTTCTTTCTCTTTGGTGGGGTTTTCCACATCTTCCAACGTAGCTTGCTCGTTGTCGCGCCACAGATTTTCTAGTTTGCAAATCTGCGCAGAGGAAATGGGCTGCGCATTTCGTTGCGTGGCCGAACTTGGAATTCGAACAAACCAGGAAAGGAAAGATCGGTTTTCAATCAAAGGTGCCCACCGAGAAGCATCCCATTCTACTTCCTTCGTGTTGGCAGCGTAGTTGCAAGGATTCCGACACAAGAGCATGATGACGGCGCTGTCCTGGGCGGGTAGAAAACCAAGCATAAAAGGGTTTTTCGAGCCGCACGTAAAGCACTCGGGCACTGTGTCACCGAGAGGCGACTCTGGATGCAACATGACAGCCTTGTGCCGCGCGCGCACCAAATGGGTGACGATATGGGAGGATGGTGTTTGCCCGCGACCGTTGCAAAACCTGTGTGTGAGTATGACGTACGTACCATCTTTTACAGGTGAGACATTGAAGAACACAATTTACATCGTCGATGCCACAGTAGGCACAAGCGTGCTCAGGAAGGGCCTTGGTCTCCGGCTCCTCCGAATCAAGGTCGTCGGACAGTGCATCAAAGTCGGTGGGAATATCTGTAACTTTTGCCTTGGATATGGCATCTGCTAGGTGCTCTACTCGCTCATCAGCAGAGTCCCCCATCCTGCTTGACTCGATCGTAACCCACAAGTTCAAGACACCCTTGCGCCGCAGCCTTAGTCTCCACCACGTGGACAAAGTGGAGACTTAAGGTGGCCCCCCCGCGACCATGGCTCCCGAAGCGGGCCTTGCTATGGCAGGGGACGAGGGTGATGTGCCCCATGTACCACACATGCTGTCACAGATTCCAGGGCCTGACTATGTCCCGGCAGAAGTGGCAGATTTGGAAGGAGAGCTCTATGACGATGCAGAACCTACTGTCACCTTAGATGAGCTCGCATGGCTGCGACCATTGCCCTGGTGGCGTCGACCTCGGCCAATGTTCTTGTTACCTGTGGTGCTCATATTTTCATTAGCGTTAGGTGTCATTCTTGCACCTCGGATGGAGCTCTTTCTGTCGATGCTTTGCCAGCAACTGCTGGTCGATGAGTCTATGGCACTTGATCAGCCACCTCATGTTCCTTCGCCCAAGTGTCGTCGATCCGTGGAGGCGCAAAGGAGTTTATCTATGCTGCAAATGAAACTTCTTGTTGTTGCTGGACTGGGATCCGCCCTCATGACTGGTTACTGGTCGCGTCTCTCTGACCGTATCGGGCGTAGGCGCATATTGTTATCGGCGGTAGCTGGTGCGATTGTCAATGACGCAATGGCTGTGCTGCTTTCCTATGTAACATCTGACCATGTACCATTTGGGGTGAATCTGTTTGTGCTGGGTAGCGGAATCGAAGGCTTTTTTGGTTCCTCGGGCACAGTCACCGCCATGTCACAGTCGTATCTGTCTGACGTTACACCCAGTGGCACCCGCTCTCGCCTTTTTGCGCTCATGTCTGGCATCCTTTTTGCAGGAATTGCCATTGGGCCAGCTATTGGGGGTGTGTTGACGAAATGGACAGGAACGCTTTCCATACCTTTGTGTGTCGCAATCTTGATTCATGCTGCCATTGTTGTGTGTCTACCCTTCGTGCCAGAGAGTTTACATCCTGAGGCGCAAAGAAAGGCTGTTCAGAGCCATCACGAGGCTCGGCATAGACATTCAGGACATGGCATTGTATATTCTCTAACGCATGGACTCCTGGCGCCTTTTCGAAACCTGGGCTTTTTGTTGCCTCGCCGTTTGAGCGAAGAAGACCTGCCAGTCATGGGAAGCAGCCGTCTAGATACCCAGTCCCGCCATTGGGACGCCAATTTGCTGCTTCTTTCTGTGGCCTATGCCGTAGAGCTCGCGTGCATGGCCATCGTGCCGATCAAGATCCAATACGTGCAGCTGGTGTTTGGATGGGAGTCCAGCAGAGTGGGTTATTTTGTTAGTTTCACGGCACTGTGCCGTATGCTATCACTCACTGTATTCGTGCCCCTTATGACAAAGATCCTGCATCGAATGCCGAGCACGACTGTGCTTCCACAGGATGGTGCCTTTACACCGGGAACCGACGTACATGCGGCCTTGGACGAGCAAGGGTATGCCCGTGACGACGTACCTGCCTTGAAGCCGTGGACTACCAGAGAGCGCGAGCGTGAGCAACAATGGAAAGACCGAGAAAAAAAACTACGGCTTATACATGACAGTCATATGGATATGCGCATTGCGGTGGGGTCGTCGCTGATTACTTGTGGCGGCTCCATCATGTCGGCGCATGCCAACACCGCTGGCATGTTCTTGCTGAGTGTCTTTCTCGTGGCGTTAGGCGGAGGCGTTGGTTCCGCCATCAGCTCTCTGGGTATAGCGGCGCTGCCGCGCACGCACGGCGCAGGACGCTTGTTCGGCGCATGGGGTGTGCTGAGCACCCTGTCTGGCTCTATCTTGGGCCCTATCCTATTCTCTATGGTTTTCAGCCGCAGTGTCTCGACGGCACCCTGGCTTGTATTCTACATGGTGGCCATACTGCAGTTTGTGGTGATTGCCACCCTCTCCATGGTACGCTTGGCCTCCGTGGAGTCGCTAGATGGTCTGCCCGCGCGGCCGCGGCGCCCAACGAGACAGAGCAGATAGGCCCCATGGTGGAGTATCACGTGATAAGTGCGCCGAGCGCTCGTGGGTGCGGTCGCCTGGTCGAGCTGCGACGCTAACCCGCTAGGACCCCAGTAGCCATGTCGACCTTCTTTCAGAAGCAGCAGCAGGTGGCTGCTTTGGATCCGCGTCTGGGTAGTCTTATGGCGAGCGCGGGACTTTATAATCTGCGCTCGCTAATCAAAGGCGTGCGTGCGTGCAAAACGCTAGCGGATGAACGAGCCTTGCTCCAGAAGGAGTCAGCAGCGATCCGGACGTCCTTCAAAGACGATGATGTGTATATGCGCTATACGAACCTTTCGAAGCTACTTTATATCCATATGCTGGGATACCCAGCGCATTTCGGCCAGATGGAATGCCTCAAACTGGTGGCTTCACCGCGCTTCACGGATAAGCGCCTCGGGTACCTGGGCATCATGTTGCTCCTGGACGAGAATGCGCAGGTTCTCATGCTTGTCACGAATGGCTTGAAAAAGTACGTGCTAAGCTTCTCATTACAGCGACATGAACCATTCCAACATGTACATTGTGGGCCTGGCCTTGTGCACATTTGCCAACATTGCATCCGAGGAGATGTCGCGCGACTTGTGCAACGAGATTGAGAAGCTGATGGGCAGCTCTAACTCTTATATCCGGAAGAAGGCAGCTTTGTGTGCCATGCGCATTGTTCGTCGCGTGCCGGACTTGGTGGACCACTTCCGCGAGCGTACCTTGCAGCTGCTGAGCGACAAGAGCCATGGTGTCAAGTTGTGTGCACTGAGCCTGGCCATCCAGATGTGCGAGATGGACCGTGGTTGTATCGATCTATTCCGCCGTGTACGTATTCGTATGCTGACGCAGGCCACGACGCCCCTCGTCGCAACACTTCGCACTCTGCTTACGACGAGCTTTTCGCCCGAGCACGACGTGGCAGGTGTCACCGATCCATTCCTGCAAACCAAGATCCTGCGCTTTCTGCGTATACTGGGACGTGACAGCGTGGAAGTCTCGGACACCATCAACGACATCCTCGCGCAGGTAGCGACGAACACCGACGGCTCCAAGACGGTGGGCAACAGTATCCTCTACGAGTGTGTGCTGACCATCCTCGAAATCAAATCGGATGCGGGTCTGCGCGTCATGGCGATCAACATCCTGGGCAAGTTCTTGGGGAACACGGACAACAATATCCGATACGTGGCGCTCAACACACTCATCAAGGTTGTGTCGATTGATACCAATGCGGTGCAGCGCCATCGCGGCATTATTCTCGAGTGCCTTCGCGACGCTGATATTTCTATTCGCCGCCGCGCGCTGGAACTGACCTACACGCTGATCAATGAGTCGACGGTGCTGGCTCTGATGGAGGAATTGCTGTCTTTTCTGCATGTGGCCGACAATGAGTTCAAGCTTGGCCTTACTACGCGTATCGGGATGGCGACGGAGCGCTTTGCCCCTACGCCGCGTTGGCACATCGATACCATGTTGCAGGTGCTTCGCCTCGCGGGTAACTATATTCGCGACGATGTACTGGCATCGTTCCTTCGTCTTGTCGCTAACACGTCGGAGCTGCATGCGTACACAGTGCAGAAACTGTACATGGCGCTCCATGACGACTTGTCGCAGACGGGCCAGACGTTGGCGGCTGTGTGGGCCACAGGCGAATACGGCGACATTCTCTTTGATATGGGGCGCATCACGCGGGACGGCGCTACGTACGAAGTGTCCCCTCGGGCAGTGATCGACTTGCTAGCATCACTCTTGGAGTCGGTATATGCAACAGAGAGCATCCGCGAGTTTGTCCTCACAGCCTTGGCCAAGCTCGCTACACGTATGCCCGATGCATCGCAGCAGGCACGAATTCAGAGCCTTCTGAGCGGGTATGCTGAGAGCATCGAGCTGGAGAGCCAGAAGCGTGCTCTAGAGTATGGTGCGCTGCTGCAGCGCAAGGCGATTCGCGATGGCGTGCTGGAGGCAATGCCTGTTCCGGCTATGCGACCGATCGTTCCCGAGACGGTTCCGCTGGCCCAGGCGGGTACCACTCGAGACGCAGGTGCGCTCCTGGATATGGGCACCGAGTCGGTGGCGCCGGTGCAGAGCTCGACGGCGGCATCAGCGCAGACCAACACAGACTTGCTCGCGGACATATTTGGCGCGGCCGACACACCGTCAGCGGCACCCGCGAGCGCGCGAGCCCCGCCGACGTCACAGGCGGACCTTCTTGGTTTGCTAGATAACAGTGCCCGCCCGGCGAGCAACAGTGTGGCGGCTGGCATGAGTGAGCTGCAACTGCAGGAGAATGCGGAGCCGGACGAGACGGAAGCCTATCATGCGCACGGACTTCGCATGGCCATGGCCGTGACGCGGAGCGGTGCGGAAGCATCCGTGCAGGCGATCTTTTCAGCACCAGACGGTGCCACCATCGAGGGCCTGACACTCCAGGCGGCCGTGCCCAAGACACAGCAGCTGCAAATGTACTCGCTCTCGCAGTCACGCATTATGCCTGGACAGAGGGCGACGCAGGCCATGCGGGTGACAGGGTTGGGCGCAGGCGTGATTCGTCTGCGGATGCGCTTGGCCTATGTGGTGAATGGCGAGCCTCAGCGGGCCCAACTAGATTGGACACAACCATAGCTACGATTTGCTAGGCATGGCGCTGCCCGTGAGTCTATGGCACGTACCTGATGATCTGGAGAATGTACTGGCGCTCGTCCATGAACGATTCATCGGTGCGGTCGCTCAGAAAGTCCTGTAGGAATGTGAGCAGGCGCGCTTTGTTGCGCCGCAAGATCGCCTCGACGGCCGGGGTCTTTTTGGGGTTGGCCACAAACACCTTGAACACATGGAACGCCTCCAGCTGGATATGTTTACTGCGGTCACGCAGCGCGTTCATAATCCGCTTCAGATTCTCTTCGCTGGAGACGTAGCGGACCATGGTGCTGTAATGTGCGCGGTCGACCAGGAGCTCGCTGAGCAGCTTCAGCGACTGCCGCCGCGTCACGTAGTTGCTTGAGTCCAGCAGCTTGGTAAACATGGCAAAAAAGGTGTCGTAGTTCTGCTGTAGATATTCGGCTGCCATCGTGCGATGCAGGAGAAGCGCATCGCGCAAATTTTTGAACGCGTCGCAGGACACGCTGAACGAGGTCGTCTCGATGTAGGTCGGAAAGCGCGCGAGACTGGATGAGTGTCTGACACGTACTCGTCGGAGTAGAGTAGGATCTTGGCAAGCGGTTCATGCTGTACCATTTCGTTGAGTAGGAGGCCCGTGTTCATCGCCATGTCCGGTACATCGTACCCATGGAAGGCCATCAGCACCACCGTTGGATGAGAGCGAAGGTACTCTACTGTGGGCCGCCGCGAGCCGATTTGGCGCTGCAATAGCGCGATAAAGACCTGTACAATATCTTTGCGCGTCTGGTGTAAGAACGGGCACGTACCTCAAACTCGACGCGCGGCATCACCGTCAGCAGGCACGGCATGAGCTGCTGCTGGTACACTTCCTGGGCTAGCTGCGCGACCTGTTCGGGCACCGGCTCGCTGTCTACGTGTCAGAGTCATATGCGCACCTCCTTCACCATACAGCACAAGCTTGGACTGCTGCAGTGCCTGCCAAATTTCCTCATGAACCTGTGTGAGCGAGAGGGCGTACTTTACGGCGGCTCTCGCTACTCTGCGGTACATCCGCTAGAAACCAGCTCCCATCAACCGTCACACTCGCACCAAGTCGCATAGACAGCTCGCGCAGCAAACGCACGAGCTCACTAGGACTTCGCTGCCGCGACTTGAACAGCAAGTTCATGCTGGCACGGCCGCACGAGCCCTCACCGTGCGCGCCCACGACGGGCGGTGCTCCACACGCACGTGGACGATCCCTTTCGACCATGCTCAGTCGCGATGCCCGGTGGTGCGCCCTGGTCGTTCTAGCGGGCGTCCTCGTGCGTGTATTTGTGTCATGGGCGAGCAGCTGGGGTGAGCAGCTGGTGGACCGTCCTGAGCTCGCGACGCCAATGGATCGCCTGGCACTGTGTAAGTAGATGCCACTGACGCAGTGCGCGAGACGCAGTACCTGCTGACCGTGCTGAATGTCCCTGCGAAGGTTCTGTGGCGTTCCAACGGGCTGCATCACTCGCCACTTCTGCTAAAGTTGCCTGCGCCGTGGCTCGCAGACCCGTGGACGTCGGCTTGCGCGTGGATCGCCCTGGATGCGGTGTCTGGCGTGGTGCTCGCGGCCCTGGCCTCGACGCTGGCCAGACGCGCCGAGCGCCATGTGTACATCGTGCCGGCCTTTGTAGCCGCATGGTACGTTCAGCCACTCACACAGCTTCCTACTCAACCCCTACGCGATCGCAGCCTGTGCGGCCAAGTCGATGAGCCAGCTGCGCACGTGTCTTACGCTCCTCGCGCTGCTCGGCGCGGTGCACGGTGTGTCGCTCCTCGTCGCGACTGCGCAGGCCCTCAGCACGGTGCTGTTTATGAATCCGTTGTGTGTGACGCCCGCGCTTCTGCTGCTCGGCGCCGACGCGCACGCACAGTATGGCCGGTGGCGCGCGCGCTTTGGGCAGCGGCAGTCGGACGCATGGTCACAGTGGCTCCGGCGCACTTCTGTGCGCTATGCAGGCTGGCTCGGCGTCTTTCTAGTGCTCTCTGCCCTGTACTCGCGCGATTCAACGCTTTCGTTCGTGCGCAGCGTGTACGGAAGCCGCCTCCTGGTGGACGACTTGTCGCCGAACGCGGGGCTCGTGTGGTACTTTTTCGTGGAAATGTTTCCCCACTTCCGTGCCTTCTTCACAATGGTCGTCAACCTGCACACGCTATCGTACACGGTGCCTGCGCTTATCAAATGGCGGAGTGACCCGCTGTTTGCCGCTACAGTTCTCGTCGGCATCCACGCCCTGTTCCAGACGTACCCCTCGGCAGGCGACTCGGCGCTGTACCTCGCGCTGTGGAGCCTGAACTATCCGCGCCTCTCCGCCTGTGCGTATGCGACACTCACACAGACCTCCGATACCCCATGGTCACGAGCATGCTGTTCCTCTACTCAGCGCTGCTCTTCCCCGCATTCCACTACTTGTGGCTGTATACGGGCTCGGCGAACGCCAACTTTTTCTATGCCGTCAATCTTGTGCAGGCTCTGGGCCTGGGAAGCCTGCTGCTCGACAGTGTGTGGGCCTGGGGGCGCGAGCGCTGGGAGCTCGAGCGCCTGGCCCAGGGCGCGAGCCGCCCCGGTGTGCGGTACGTAGTGCAGCGATAGATTAGACCCACGTAGGCACTGCATACCACGGATGTGAGGATGCACGCCACTCGAGAGTCGCAGTGGGTGCTGCGCGCGCCCACTCACCGAGGGCCACACACGCCTCGTGCACGCCACGCATGTGTGCCGCGTCAGAGGCATGGCATAGCAAGAGCCATCCATCGTTCGGAGCCGCCCGTGCATGCGCCGAAGCGTGCGTATGGCACGCATTTACATGCTGCAGTACACGCGTACGCACCGCCGTGCCGCGAGCGTGCTGTTCAAACGCCGTCCACTGGTCCCAAAGCGGCTCCATAGTGGGACTGTCTGGCTTGGTGACCACATGCAGCCGCGCTCGCATGCACCATGCGGGCCGACGCAGCCACTTGATCCGCCGTGCCATGGCGTTGTGCACGCGCACCCGGTTGCCCTCGCGCTGGAGGCGCACTAGACACTGTGCCAGGCACATGTGGCGCTCAGCAGCAACAGCATGCCGAAAGCAGGCGAGCCAAGGTGTGCTGCCTGGCGCTGCATCGAGCAGGGCCTCAAGCTCACCCTTGATCTCGGCAAGCAGCCAGTACAAACACGGCAATTCATCCTCAAGGTACAGTTCGAGCTCGATGCCGGCGCCCAATGCCTGCTCCATACTAGTCAGAACCAGACATTGCACGGGGCGCACAAGGAGGTCGGGCGGGCACAAGGACGGCAGCGCTGTCGCCAAATGCGCACTCAGTGACACTGCTTCGTCGAGCAGATCGGCCCACGCCACGTACGACTTGCCAAAGCCACGTTTTTGGCGTGCGCGGTTCGCCGCATAGGTACCGAGGTGATCAGCCTCCAGGCCCGCGAGGCGCTGCAGGAAGCGGTCCAAGCGCTGCGCCTGTCCTGCGGCAGGCTCACTGCGGTCAGTCAAACAGGCGTACCGTGCATCAAGCCACTCCAAACGCGTATAGATGTCGTCAATGGAGAGCGCCGTCCATTCCTCGAGCCAGCTCGAGGCTAGGTGCCGCAGATCGCGCGTACCGCCTGCACACGTGTAGCCGTCCGACACGTAGGTAGACAGTAACGAACGCACAAACGGGATGGGCGTCCTTTGCTGGAATGCAAGTGCGTGCGACCGCATATGCATCCACCAGCACGCTACGCGATCGGTACGCAGGAGGGGCAGGGGCAGCGCCACCTCCTCGTGCAGCACACGGTGCCACCACTCCCACACGGCGCGCGCTTCGCGCAGGGGCTGAGGACGCATGGGAATCGTCGTGGAAAAGTGGCGGCTAAGTGTGATGTCAAAGAACGCCTGCAAATGGGGCGGCACACGCGCCAGAGCCGCGTCTTGCAGGGCCAGTGTGTCCGCGGCCGGTGCATCAGGTTGCAGCTTGGACCAGATGCTGCGACACACGCTTAGATGCAGATCAATCAAAGAGGCGTCAGGCTCCTCGCTGGTCATAGCGCTAAGTGCAAGGAGCCAATGATGCCGCCAGCGCAGTCGCAGCCGGATGGCAGGCGCTTGCTCAGCAGGGATGCGCGCAGTAGCTGCATTGAGCTGCGCGGCAGCATCATGTGCATCTATGCCGGTTGGCAGCGCGATGCCGCCGAGGTCCCCGCTAAAGTCTTCGCCCTGTGTGAGATGGAAGGACGTACGTCTATGACGCGGTTGCGCGTCAGTTCGATCCACTGCAGGGCACAGCCCTTGATAGTGGCGATCACGTAGGCGCGCAGTACATCGTGGTACCAATGATCTGACGTTACAGCGTCCTGGAGAACACACTCGTGAAAGTAGGTGCAAGTGTAGAGGGTCTGTGAGAGCGTCGCGCCTGCAAGCCACTCAAGCTCGCAAGCTACGAGGCGATCGAGGACCCAGCACACTTCATCTTGGGCAAGCGACACGGGTAGCGGCACGCGTGGCTCGGATGGGCGTTCTCGCTCTGGCAGCAGCGAGGAAGGGTACTCCATACCGCCGTCCATGAGAGGGTCCATGACCTCCAGGGCGTTCATCAAATCGTGCAAGGCGTAGCCCTGTGGGTGCACAAACGCAGTCGGAGCAAGTGCTGCGTTAGAGCGTACCACGTACATTTGCATGCTTCCCAAAAGGCGGCCGTACATTCGGTCGTTGCATGGGGGGGCGTTGCCCCTGCGCTGACGGCTGTCATGCCGTGATCGCAAGTGGGGCACCCCACAAATCGGGGAAGAACGATCGGGCGCCGCGGCGGCACTTCACGATGCCCTACGACCCGGTGAAGGACGTCTACCATGACGCGCCGCCCGAGGAGGGGAGAGCGCCTGAGCCCAGAGCATATGCACCACTCTACCGTGTGACCCCGCCAGAAAGCGTGTTGATACCCATTACAAAGGAGCAAGTTGAGGCGCTGAAGCGGCAGTCGCAGAATCCGCTGCGCGCGCGCGCGCAGCCCCCGCCCGAGGTGCCTCGTGGCACAGTGCGGCCTGCCGAGGTCCCTATTGGGGAGCTCGAGCGTACTACAGTCGCCACCCACTACAATAAGCGGCGCGAGGTGGGGCGCGACGCGCGTGAGTCGTCACCAATCATCCCGCTCAAGCGCTTCAACAACTGGGTCAAGTCGGCGCTCATCTCCATGTATGCGCAAGTCGGCTGGAACGCTGGACAAGGAGCGCGCATCCTGGAGCTTGGGTGCGGCAAGGGCGGTGACCTGCGTAAGTGGGATCGGCACCGACCAGCCGTGATGGTCCTAATTGATATTGCCGATGTATCGATCGAGCAGGCGCGCCTGCGCTATGAAGAAGGACACTACCGCTGGGCCGCCGAGTTCTTTGCCTTTGACTGCTTCCGCGTACGTACATTCGACTGACGCAGCGCCCGTTAGACGAAGTGGTGCCGCGCTCGCTGCTGGAACCGCTTTTCGATACTGTGTCGATGCAGTTCTGCCTGCATTATGGCTGGGACTCGGAAGAAAATGCACGCACGATGCTTTCAAATGCGGCGCGCTGGCTGCGCCCCGGTGGCACCCTGATCGGCACGACGGTCGACGACGAGACGCTGCTCGCACGGCTGCACGAGGACGAACATGCTGTTTCGTTTGGCAACGAATGCTACCGCATCGAGTTTGATCAGCGGCTCGAGCCGGGCGAGAAGCCGTTCGGCAATCGCTACCATTTCTGGCTACTTGATGCAGTGGATAATGTACCCGAGTTTGTCGTGGACTGGGCCGCGTTCACACGGTACGTCGCAGCGACTGACGCAGTATCGCGGAAGAGTGCGGGCTGCATCTCGTCTATAAGGCGCGCTTTGACGAGATTCTCAGCGATGGGTATGCAAATCGACCGCTTCGCCAGCTGCTCGAGCGCATGCAGGTTATCGATTCGAACATGGCCGCAGCAGGTGTCGTGACGCCGGCCATGCCGCCCGCCATGTGGCATGTGTGCACGCTGTACATGGGCTTTGCGCTGGAAAAGAGCGTGGATGCTACGGCGTAAGAACCGACGTGCACCGCGTGCACAGCGTGTCGGCCTGTGTGCTGTGGAACTGCCAGCACCGCGGGCACTTGTGCGTCGTGCATGCGCGCATACGCACACGCACGGGCAGGCCAGCAACGGCGCGCTCCTGCGCCCATGCACCGGCCGGCAGCGGCACCGCTGTGGCTGTGGGATGAACGTGCACGTGCGCCACGCCCAAGAGCGCGGCCAGTGCACCAGGGGGGAGCAGGGTCGGATCGGTCAGGCGCGCATACAGTGCATGCGCTGGGTCGACCCAAACGTCGACGTCCGTTTCGGCGGCGCTGCGGATGTGCCTGCGTAAGTAGAGAGTACGTACTTTTGTTCGATGCATTGTGTCATGAGCGCAAATACGTCCGAGCGCACACGCAGCACATCCTGCATGTCATGCTCGAGCGCAGGATCGCGCCATGCGTCGTCCACAGCGTGCCAGCCATGCTGGAACATAGACGGCATGGTGGCCTGCTCGGCAGGCGTAGGATCCGCGGCGGCGCCTCCGCGGTACCACGTTATCTCCTCCGCGAGATGGGGAAGGATCGGCGCCAGCACACTGGTGAGCGTCTGGAGGGCCTGGTCGAGCACGTAGAGCACTGGCTGACGATCGGCGTTCGAGCCCGCATACAGTGTATCCTTCGAAACGGCGAGGTAAAGCGACGAGAGCGTCTTGGTCGCGCACTCGAGCAGCGAGCGAGTGACTGCGTCAGTGAGGCCCACGTACCCAGTGCCAAATCGAACGAGGCATACGCCGCGCGGCACGTTCGTTCGAGGCGGTGCAGCTCGTGCATCGTGTACCGCTCCATCTGTGGTCAGTGGCGGTGCGTACCAGAGGGGCTGTTCTCACGGCCAAGGGGCGTACCGCCGGCGGAGGCGTGTCCGAAAGATTCGCGAGGAGAAAGCGCATGGTTGTACGCAGCTTGCGCACCTCGTCGCTCACATGCTTCATAATCAGCGCACTGACGGGCATGTCGCGTGTATAGTCGGCCTTGGCGGCCCACCAGCGCAGCACATCCGCACCTAGCGCTGGAAACTCTTTGGGCGCCGCGGGATCGCCCTGGAGGAAGGCGCTCGGCGCAATGACATTGCCCAGGGACTTGGACATTTTGCGGCCGGCCTCGTCAACGACAAAGCCGTGGGTCACGAGCGCAGCATAGGGCGCTACCACGCCTGGACCACACGCAGCCGCGCGTGTGAGCAGCGATGACTGGAACCACCCGCGGTGCTGGTCCGAGCCTTCCAGATACACGTCCGCGCATGCATGCGGTGCACACCACGGCTCGCCAAGCGCTGCTTGCAGCACGGCCCACGACGAGCCGCTGTCGAACCACACGTCGAGCGTGTCCCCTTTCTTGTACCATGTGCGTCCCGGCGCACGGTACTCAGGCGCAACAAACGCCGCGGCGTCTCGCTCCCACCATACGTCCGCTGAGCCGGACTCGTCCATCACGCTGACAATGTGCTCGACGTTGCGCGCGGTAATCAGCGGCTCGTGCGTCGCTGCATCGTACACCACGGGGATTGGCACGCCCCACGCGCGCTGCCGGCTAATGCACCACTCCGAGCGGCGCGCCACGAGGCTGTGCAGCCGCTGTGCACCGGCCGGCGGTACAAACTGCACGGCCTGCAGCGCTGCTTGGGTATCGCCGAGCGTCTGCCGCAGGTCGGCAAACCACTGCGCTGTGGCGCGCGTGAGGATCGGCTGCTTGGTACGCCAGTCGATGGGATAGCTGTGTTCGTACTTGTGCTCGGCCAACAGCGCGCCGTGCCGCTCGAGAAGTGCGAGCATCGTGTCTGTGCCTTGCGTGAGTGCAGGCTGCTCGTGCAGGCGCGCTAGGTCCGCGCGAACAGCACCCGTGGCACCCCATGCGGGATCGACGAGCAGGCGCCCTTGTGCGTCCACCGGCGAGGTGATGCCGTGCATTGCAAGACGGCCCGTATCGCGCCACAGCGCATAGTCTTCCTGGCCATGCGCAGGCGCCATGTGCACGAGGCCTGTTCCCGACGCCGTCGTGACAAACGCCCCGTGCAAAATCTCACGCTGCTCGCCAGGTGCCATTAGCGGGCTCGTGTAGTGAGCGCCGACCAATGCCGAGCCTGGTACTCGCACGAGCTCGGTCAGAGCGCCAATCGGAGCGACGGGCGTGCCGTCACGCGTGCGCACGACGCGTTCCAGGGCGGGGATCAGCTCGGTGGCCACGAGGACATGCTCGCCGTCGGCTGTGCGCACGACCGAGTACGACGCCTCGGCCTGCACCGCCACAGCCATGTTGCCCAGGAGCGACCACGGCGTCGTTGTCCACACGAGCAAGTCGACTGCGGGTATATCACGCAGGTGGGCGGCTAGCGTCCTAGAGGGAATGAGGCGCAGGCGCACATAGGCGCTGCGGCTCATGTGCCGTTCGTCGTACTCAATCTCGGCCTCCGCCAGCGCCGTCTGCGTCGAGGGCGACCAGTAGACGGGGCGGAAGCGCTCGTAGATAAGCCCGCGCTCAACGGCACGCGCGAATACGCGCAGCTGCTCGCGCTCGTACGCAAACGAGAGGGTACGGTACGTGTGCTCGTCGGCCCAGCTGGCAAGGAGACCGAGTTCCTGGAACTCGGCGCGCTGTATCTGCACCTCGCGCAGAGCGACGGCGCGCGCGGCGCGACGGATCTCGGTCGGCGACAGATGAGTCTGTCCTGCGTCAGCAGCCTCTGCTACGGCCTTGATCTCGATGGGCAGTCCATGGCAGTCCCATCCAGGCATAAAGCTGCGTTAGTCGTTCGTACGCACTGGACGCGGCGACCTTGGAGGACGTGGAAGCGCACAAGCACGTCTTTGAGGATCTTGTTTAGCGCATGACCTAGGTGAGCGATGGCGACGTACCCATATGTAGACGCCCATTTGCGTACGGTGGCCCGTCGTGTAGCACAAAGTCGCGCACGCCCTGGCGTGCAAGGTGCTCGCGTTGCCACAGGTACAGCCGTTCCGTCGTCGCGGGGCGGAACAGGCGCTCGCGGTCCTTGGCCGAGGCGCGAAGCTGGAACGCCGTCTGAGGCAGCCGCAGCGTCGCCTGGTACGGGCGCGGCGCCTGCTTGGCCCAAGCGCGCACGCCTACGTGGAAGCAGCGCGTGGCGCCAGCGCCCGTCGCACCTGGCGCGGCGTGCATAGTCAGAGGGTACACGGTCGGATGAGTCAGCAGAAAAGCAGGTCGTCGGCGCTCTTCTCGACGTTGGACGATGAGCGACTGGGGTGCGTAGTGGGGGCTAACGTAGAAAACGACGACGTGGGGCCTGCGCCTGCGCCCCTCCCTAGCCGGCGCCGCTTTGAGGACGAGGACGTGGAGGAAGACGATATCAAGGACGACTGGGAAGAAGAAGATGAGGAGCCGCCGAAGCCTGCGCCTGCGCCGGAGCCCAAGAAGCGTCTGTCGGTGAAGCAAAAGATTGCCGAGAAAGAGGCGCAGCGCCAGCAAAACACGGTACGACTTTGATTTTAACCTCAGGGCAACGATTTTGATGACTGGGACCTCGAAGACGATGGCGAGGACGACGACGAGCGCCGCCGCCAGGAGAAGGAGGCGCAGATGCGCTCTGACCTCGACAATGCCGCGGCTCTGCTCGGTGCATCGTCCCTGGACGAAAAGAAGACGGCCGCCGGCGCAGCGGTGCCGTCTTCGCTCGCGGATGCCAAGCCGACGAGCAAGGATGAGTGGGAGGCCTTTGCCACGGAGCTGTACCAGACGCTCGTGCAGCCCAAGGCGTCTCGGCCCGGATTCGACAAGTACTTCTTCCCTCACCTGATCACGCTGCTCACTACAAACGGCCTGCGCGACGTCGACATGCGCAAGGGCGCCACAAAGCTGCGCGAGCTTGCCGAGGCCAAGGTGCGTGCGGACAAGGAGGCGAAGAAGACGGGCGGCAACGTCAAGCGACCGGCAGCCAAGCCCAAGCAGGTCGGCACGAGCAGTGCAAAGAATACGTACGTACGCTACACTTATGCAGAATCGACCTCAAGGCGTACGGCGACGAGGCACTGGACGACGATCTCGAGTTCATGTAGGTGTCTATACAGTACAACGTCTACGAGGTAATGACCATCCCTCGCAGGGTGTGCATGGTGTGCCACGTCCATTCCCACACCACGTCCCAAATGTGGCAGGCGTGCGCCCAGAGCGGTCGCAGCGATACATCCATCGGCGCCGGCGCCGATGTAGGCACCGCACCCGCCGCGGGTGCCGGTAGCGGCAGCATAGAGAGAGCTGCCGGCACCGACGCACTCCTCCGCGCTTCAAGCTCGTCGTCAGTATGCCCGTGCTCGGCGTGTCGGTCCGCGTGCCATCCCGTGGTCCTGACGCACTCGCGCGCATCGTTCGCAAGCCACTGGTACCAAAAGTACGTCAACGGAATCGTAGCACAGTGCCACAGCGAATGCGCATCAACAAGCCGCAGCAATGGCGGAAAGTCAAACAGCTCCAGCGCAGGCGCCAAAAACATGGCGGCCGCGAGCATCTGCAGGCGTTGCCGCTGGGGCGCAGAGAGCACCAGCGGCGGCGCAGCATCGGCAAGCGCCGATCCCTTGGGAGAGGCTGGCACTAAGCCTTCCCCGAAACACGAGCGCATACGCTCCAGCAGGTGCGGCGCCAACGCACACAGCAGCCACAGTGTATTGTGGACAACGCCAATCATGAGGCATGCAGCCATATTGTACGTGTAGTCGAGACGTCGCTGCGGCAGCAGGTACAGCACATGCAGGACCCATGCGCCAACACAGGCTAGCAGGGTCCGGCGGAAGAGCGGCGTGCCAGGTCGTAGGTACATGAGCCGGCAGATGGCGAGAAAGAGCCCTGAGAGGAGCACCGCAGCGGCACTGAAGTAGTCGAAGCGCTCCGTCCACCAAACGTCACGCGTGTGAAACAAGGTGCTGGCAGTCCATGCCACCGTCGCAATTCGCGCATGCCACAGGTACACGCATTTCAACGGGAAGGTGTCGGGGATCAAGTCTGAAAACACGTGGAATATGGCCTGCAGCTGCACAAGCAAGTTCAAAAGCGAGAATAGCACAGACATGGGCTCCTGCATGCCTAGTAGACGCAGCTGCGGCCACTTGCCATAGAACTGAACTGTTTGCTTGTCGATAGCCGGAAGCGACGTGAGTTCCAGTGCCACCATCGACTCGACCATGCGCCGGGTTTCAAGATCCGTCAATAGAGGCGGCGGAGGCTCTGTGAGCAGGGGTACACACTCGCCGGACGAGCTGAGGAAGTGTGTGTCGCCACACAGCTCCTTAAACTCATCGTCTTGTTTCTCCCATGCGAGCTGCTCCGACCAGCGCTCCTGTAGTGCCATGGTCGTAGCGCGCTCGCGTGCCGCACCGTCCACAATCTTGGATCGGATATCGCGCACACGCTTCTTTGCTTCATTGGTGATGCGGTGCGTGCAGTGATACGCGCAGTTCGACTCGCATGACCAGCCAGTCAAAATCAGGTACCACGGCAAGGGATCCGGCACGACAATGGTATCATCGGACAAGGACCTCGGCCGGTGGTCCTGGCAGGTATCGATTTCGCACGACTTCACACAGAGTTGAAATTTAGCAGACCGATCACCCATGGAGGCCATCGCACACTGTACAGACAAGGCCGCAATGGCGACCACGGCTGCAAGGAGGCGCTTCATGGTATCAGTCGCCTCGTAGCGATGGTATAAAAATAGGTGTGCTGGGTATGCGACGAGGTCCTGGCGCAGGAAAAAACACTCCCCCAACGCGCAGAAGAGAAGCACGACACGTCGCCCCCGGCCAAGCCACAGCGGAAAACCCGCTCGGTCTGCCTAGGTAAGCATCGGGGGAGATCGGGCCCCTAGTCCCCGGCCCGCCGCGTGGGGGTATCGACGAGTGCCGCTACGTAGAGCGTATTCCTATAGGTGACGGCCGACATCCGGAAGCACTAAGCCTCAGGCGGCTGGAGTGTCCCAGTCGGTGCGGCCCAGCCCATAGTTGGCAAGCCGTACGCCCCTTGCGCGCTCGGAAGCACTTGGTTTTTGCGCGCCTTCGCTGCCACAAGGCGTTCTGCTTCTGAGCCATGCCGTTCGCCATTCTTTCCGTCCTTACGCAAGGCAAACATGACAGTGATAGGACGGTTTAAAAGGAATTGACCATTCAGTGCCTCAATGGCAGCATCCGCGGACTCGAACGAATCGAACGAAACGAACCCATAGTTCTTGGACACATGTGTCGTCGGATCACGAGCGATTTTCGGCGTACCAACTATGTTGCCAAACGCCGCAAAGGTATCATAAAGCAGGCGCTCATCCACACTTGAGTCAAGGTTGCCCACAAATAGATTCGCGCCAATATCCACATCCTGCTTCTCATTCGCAGACATATTCACACGGATAGGTTTTCCGTAAAGCTTTATGCCGTTCAAAATACGGCAAGCATACTCGGCATCCGTTTCCGTACGGTACTCAGCAAACGCATACCCCTGGTGCATTTGCGTGATGCGGTCTTTCGGAAGATACACATGTGAGACGGGTCCAGCTTGAAGCATCAATTCCCATACAATTTCATCAGATACACGTTCATCTAGGTTTCCAACATAGCATGTCGCTTCCTGGTTGCGCTCTAGATTACGCGACATGGCGATGATCTCGCACGCGCTGCAGCGAGAGGAAGTGGTGCTGACTAAGAAAAGGATAGGTAAGTCCCACAGTGAAAATCTTCGTTCCCTTGAACAAAATCCTAGGAGGTATGTTGCTGGCCGCAATTTTCGTCTGACGCATTCAGACACAAAAGTTCGGACTCGGTGATCCAGTACCGTGGTTTCGCGTTCCCGTCTCCGAGATTGGAAACCTTGCCCTCCGTGGCGGGCAGGCCTGTGGGCCAAGTATGTGTCTTCCTTGGGCCAGCCGCTCTCCTTCGGGATAGAGCGACGGTTCAAGTCGAGGACGCAGCTTGGTCAACAGGTCTGGGTCGCCTGTCTTGAAAGCATAGCTGGCCTACCTTGCATAAGCGTAGGTTTGGACAGGCACCGATATCCCACGCGTGGATTGAATCTTGTCAGGTATGTGTCATCGAGCTCGACCGATCCATGTGATACGAAGGGGCCGCCTTGACAGCGCGCACCCGCGATGATGTGCAACAGTGTCGCCCCAAACTGAAGCCAATGCTGATCGACCATCGAAGTACAGCCAAACATTATCTTCATCTCTGAGCACCCTATTGCATGGATCGGTCGCTCCTGTATGGAACTTGAAGCTAACAGAACTACAGAGTCAATATGTAGAAATAGAAGTAGATTACCTAGCGATGATATTTGGATTTCTAGAGCATCACTTTATGACAGTCAGTCGACCCACAACAGTTTACTACATACAAATTTTTGTGATTTGGAACTCTTGATCATCCTTGGTCGTTGATTGAGCGCGAATGGGTGAAATTGGAATTAATTCTCCGCGCGTTCCTCAATAGTCGAGTGAGTGAAACGAACCAATAAAAAAATGTTAGTTGTGGGGAACATTCGGTGGAACATGGGGATGTCACCTTACTTCAGGCGCCAAGCTGGTCTAGAGGGAGGCCTTTAAATACGGCCTTCTTGGCACTTCGTGTCGTTGCCGTTTCACTATGCTTCACACTGTGTACGGGGCTCCGATCGGAGCTTTGACTTATGCAGTGGCCCTTCTGGCTTCTATGGGTGGTTTCCTTTTCGGCTGGGACACGGGTCAAATCGCCGACCTGATTGTTATGGAAGACTTTACAAATCGATTTGCCCAGTCCCCTCAGCCAGACGGCTCGGTTAAGTGGAATCCATGGATTCAAGGCCTTGTTGTGAGTCTCCTCAGTGCAGGAGGTATTATTGGCGCTGTGCTAGGCGCCCCTCTCACGGACAGAATCGGCCGCCGGTATGCCATTTCGGTTGGCTGCCTGATTTTTACCGCGGGCCTAATTGTCCAAATTGCGTCGCAATATAGCTGGGTTCAAATGATGATCGGACGACTCATCGTGGGTGTTTCGATCGGCTGGCTCAGCTCCGCTGTGCCTGTGTACCAGTCAGAGACAGTCCCCCGGCAAGTGCGTGGTTCTATGGTGGGCTCCTACCAATTACTTATTACTTTGGGTATTTTGTTGTCCTACTGTGCGTGCTATGGCACTCGTAACTACTCTGGATCGAGTCAATGGCGTATTCCCATTGGTATTGGGTTCGCTTGGGGCATTATGCTAGGTGTGGGCATTCTGTTTTGTCCGGAAAGTCCGCGCTGGCTGGCTAAGCGGGGCCGGTACGATCAGGCTCAAAAGGTTCTTGCCCTGATGCGTGGTGTCGATGAGTCGAATCATTTTGTATTAACAGAGTTTTATGAGATCAAACAAGAAATCTTAGAGGAGGAGAATATGAAGAAATTGGGCTGGCTCGATTGCTTCCGGTTGGAGCATAAAGCCCTTTATCGTACACTCATGGGTGTTTTGCTTCAGATGGGACAGCAACTTACTGGTGCCAATTACTTTTTCTATTATGGTGCGACGATTTTCAAGCCTGTGCAAATTTTCCCCGACCTTGAAAAGAACAGCTATGTGGCTCAAATTATTTTGGGTGCAGTGAATGTCGTTACCACGTTCCCGGGACTCTATGCACTTGATCGTTTTGGACGACGCGTTTGTCTCGGTGTGGGTGCCATTTGGATGACGATTTGGCTGATTGTGTTCGCCACCGCAGGTGTTCTCGGCGGCGAATGGGTGAATGGCGAATATGAAATCACAAGCAGCTCAATTGGCATTTTGATGATTTGTTCAGCGTGTTTCTTCATTCTTGGCTTTGCCAGTACTTGGGGTCCTGGTGTCTGGTCGTCTATTGCAGAGAATGCGGTTCCAGAACTTCGTGCAAAGCAAATGGCATTAGCCACTGCTAGCAATTGGACATGGAATTTTTTGCTCGCCTTTTTCACCAGTCCCATCACCAATAATATTGAATTTTATTATGGCTACGTGTTCGTGGGCTGCTGCTTAGGCAGCTTCGTGCTTGTCTACTTCTTTTTGTATGAAACAGCCAATTTGGACCTGGAAGCAATTCAAGCCATGTATGAGGAAAAATCATTGAAACCATGGAAATCGGCAAAATGGACACCGCCTGGCTATCAATCAAGAACATCAATTAAACAGGATGTCGAACACAAAGTCGCAGATATTCACCCAGCTAACAATACAGATGCTCATACGGCAGCTGAGATACAGTCTCATACCAACTAGGTGCCTGTATAAACATATTGTAACCATTTCGCTATCAGAGGCGCTTCAGATATTGAAGTGGATTGATATTGTCTATGTGGTAGAAGCTGTCGAATTAGGGATGAAGATCTTGCTTTCAAACCGCAGACTACCTGCTGGGGAGAATTGGAATAATCGGGTGCGATTTGAACTCCGTTCTGAGATTGGTCGAACGTCTGTAATCATCGACGCTTGTTGGAGTCTTTTGATAAGGGTCTCTTAGGCGCAATCCGGCCGAAGCACCATCAAGAGAAGCGTTGAAGCGCAGGGGTTGACCTGCTATGCCATTGTATCTTACATGGCGCCTGCTGGATAGAGACAATGTAGGCGATGTCAAACCCAATCCCGCCGGAGAAATGTCCATCATTCTATGCAGGGCGCCATGACTAGGTGCATCATAAAAGGAATGTTGAAACTCATCCATACTGGAATATTGATGGTACTTGCCGGACTTGAACAAACAGCTAGGTATCCCCCGAGCTGGTCTAGTGTCTGTTGAGATGGAATCGAGCCTCGGAAGCGAAGGACGAGCTAAGGAAGTGGGAATGTTCTGGAACCTTGACCCAAGATGAGTAGGCGCATCTTGTACGGGCGCAGACGATTTTGCGAGAGACGGGGACATAATGTCGTTGACATCGAGGCGAGAACGTGCCGTGGGACGAGGTAAAGTAGGAACTAAGCGTGACTCAGAAGATAACGATAATTGTTTCGATAACTGGTGCGTTGGGACAACTTTCCCATCGCTAGGCTTGGACTGGGGCAATGACCCCGGCGATGCGCCTCTCAACGGTGGCAGTTTCGTGTTAGGGGATTCAAACTTGCCATAGTTCCAGGAGGAGTCTACGCTTTCCGCCGGATAGCTCATCTCTGACGGATATTCAACACGCGATGCTGGATAAGGCATAGTCATACGTGTTGATGGCAAATCAGTTGGGTAAGCATATAAGGGGGGTCGACGGGGATAGGAATAAGGTGCAGGGCGTGTATATGACGTCATAGGGGGAGAGTAAGACCGACGCAACGGTTTCATAGACGAATAATTAGATTCCAAGGGCTCTCCATCCGAAAGCAATGTGTTGACAGCCATACCTGAGGTGTGACTGGGGGCACACTGTTGCACATCGCACCCTTCTTGCGAGGCAGGTGATGCACCAGATTTCCGCTTTTGTCGAACATTCTTATAGGCGCTCTGTGTGTGGCATTTGCTAGAAGCTCTCGATGCGTGACGATTCGTAGCCGCTACAGAGGCAGCGAGGTTCGTATGCAACGCCGTGAGCTTGCGAAGCAGTTCCTGGTTCTGTTCAGGTTTGTCGGAATGCACCGTTTGGCAATGCTGCCTTAAATTGTCCAGACGAGAGAAAGTTTTCTGACAGTGGCATTGAAAAGGACGTTCTCCTGTATGCTTTCGGATATGCCGGCCAGATGCTCGCTTCGTGTAAAAACCATCCGACAGTCACCAAAGCCTTGGCACTGAAATACAGCAGCACCATTACCTGATGTACCCAGTGTGGCCTTTCCGCGCCGTTCGCCGGTGGTATTTGAACCCACAGTCTTGGATTTAGACATTATGGGATATTGAGAAGTCATAGGAAGCTCAGGAACTAGGGCGGACTCGTTTTCCGACGAGCAGCGTTCCTGAGAACACCTGCAATCGCATTCATGCAGAGTAGCGCAATCTGCTTCCTGTACTTGCTCCGTGGAGAGAAGACAAAAATCATTGGCTAAAAGTATGTGGCAGGGTCTGAGTCGACGGATAAACTTGATCCGCTGACATGGCGGAGCTTTTATTCGGAGATAATAGCTATATTCTACAAATGGATATGAGTTGTAGACATAAGTTCTCCATCATTGGTTGAATCGTGTCGGCATACCTGAATTCTGTGCAACGGCTTGGCACATTGCTATAAGTTGAGATGACATAGCAATCACGTCAGAACTTAAAGTTGGGGTGATTGATTGGTGGCACGGTTCTCATGTCTGGCAAGATGGGCCAATGCAGCGAAGCTCCTCCGATTTGCAGTTCGGAAATAAGAGTTTAACCATTTGGAGACACAGCCCCTAATCCAGAAAGAATTATACTTTATTGGTTAAAATTTGAAGCCCCTGTACCCGGAACAGCAAGCCAAAGGCGCATGTGGAATGCGTCGCGTACGCAGGACAAATGAATGGAACAGTGCACATATTTTGAGATAGCTAATGCGTCTGTGCGAATCACCGCAGAAATTTCATTTGCTTGCCACAGGCGGGCTCGATTAGGCTGTAGTCGAACTACAATTGGTATCCCATTCCCTAAGTACTGCATTACTTTCAGTGCCCTCGCATTTCATAAGATCGAGGTTGTCAACCTTGTCCAAAAATTTCCATCTGCCACCTTGGAATGCC